AATTAAAAACACGTTAATATTAATATAAAATTATTATAAGATTAGCCTAGATATATATAATATATTAGGTATAAATAAAGAATTTATTTATTTAAAAAATAAAAAAAAAGAATATAATAATTATATTTAAATAATAAGTATATTAAATATTAAGTAATTATACTTTAAAAACCTTAGCGGGATTTTGTTTATAATATTTAAAATAATAATTAAATATAATATAAACTAAGTCTAGGGCGGATATATATAAAAAAAAAGAGTTTAATTAAAATTATTAATTTAATAAAACTAAAGGGTAAAAAATAATATTAATATAAATCTAAGTAAGAATTAAAAAAATAAAAAAATAAAAGTAAATAATAAATAAAGTTTATATATAATAAAAACTAACTTAACGCGAGTTTAAGCTAATTCCTCCTTAGATTTATTATAATAATAGAACTTTAATAAAATAATATATTTAAAAAAAAAATTATACGCGGGTAGAATAAGCCTTAGTATAAGATTAATATTATAAAAATTAGTATTTTATTTTATATTTTTTTATTATAAATAAAAAAAGACTATATTAAGGTTTTTATTAGAATTTTTCCTTAGGATTATTTAGCCTAGATAGCCTAGCTAGCTAGCGAGAAATACTTAACCTTAATTTTAGATTATATAAAGAATTTATAAATATTAAATAAAAAATATTTAAAGCGATATTTAATTTATAAAAAAAATAATTTTATTTATTTTATAAAAGAAAAATACTTATAAATTATAATAAAGATTTTTATTAAAAATATAATAATATTACTTAAAAATAAAATATAATTTTTTAGTTTTTAATTAAAATAATATTTTTTATAAAAACTATACTTATTAAGTAAAAAATAAATTAATAATAATATTTTTTATTAATAATAATAAATAATACTTAAAGAATATTAGTTTTATAAATGAAGGAGATTTATATAAATATTATTTAATTAATAATTATTTATAATTATTATATTTAATATATATTAATAAATACGAAAAAAATATAAAAAGAATTAAAATAAATTTAGATTAAATATAAGCTAAGTGTTTATAAAAAGTCCTTAAAATATATAAAAAAATAATTAAATAATACCTTAAGATTAATTAATTTATATTTAAATAAAAAATTAATTTAAGTTTATAAAAAAATATAAGCTAAATTAATTTTAAAAACTAAAGATACTTAAGTTTAAATTAAATATATTATAAAAAAGACTTAATAATTAATAATTAATAAAAAATCAAATTAATCCTTAATTAATATTATAAAATAACTCTAAGAATATAAAAATATATAAAAAATATATTCTTAAGAATAAATTAAAAAACTTAAAAAAAAAATTAAAAAAAAATTAAATTTAAAAATTCTTTTTATTAATTATTATTTATTCATAAAAAAAAATATTTTTTAAAATAAAAAATTATTAAAATATATTATATTTTATTTTATATAAATTAAAATTAATTATTTAAATTTAAAAATTTATTTTATATTTTAAAAAAAAATTTAAATATATTAAAATTTTTTTATAATTATAAAAGAAAATATTTTTTATTATATAATAAAAATATATTTAAATTAAATATAACTTAAATATAAATTATATATAATATATAATAATAAATATATATTTAATTTAATTTAAAATAAATAATAAATTAAATACTTAAAATAATTAATTTAAAATAATTAAAATTTATTTAAAAACTTAATTTTATATATAAAAAAAAAATATAATAAAAAATAAAAAAAAATATAATAAAGTTATTAAAATTAAAAAAATATATAAAAATCTAAGCTAAATATAATATAAAAATTTATAAAAATATTAAAATTTATTATTTAATTTATAAATAAGCTTATTTTTTTATTTATTATAGTTTTTAATTATTTTTTAAGTATTTTAAAAATAAATTTAAAAATTTATAATAAAAATAAATAAACTAAAATAATAATAATAATAATAATATATTTATAAAACTTAAATTTATTTTTCTTTCTTAAAAAAAAAGAAATTTATTTTAATTAATTCTCTTAAAAGAATTAGCTTATTTAGAAACTAAGTTAATCTTATTAAATTACTTATATATTACTTATTTTATAACGCGTAGGGGTATTTATAGCTTAATATTATATTTTATTAACTTAATACTTTTTAAGTAATTTATTAATATTTTTTAAATAACTTAAGAGTCTTAACGGCTATAATATTATATTTATTTCTATAATAAAAAAATATAAAATAAAATATTAATTTTTATAATATTAATCTAATATTAAGGCTTATTTTATTATAATATTATTATTATAATAAATATAAAGAAAAATTAATTTAGATTTATATTAAATTAAATTTTAATATATATAAACTTTATTTATTATAATTCTTTTTTTTATATTTTTCTTTATATAAATCTTACTTAGATTTATATTATTATTATTAAATTTTTTTTAATATTATTAAATTAATTATTTTAATTAATTATTTTTATATATATTTTTATTTTAGATTTTATTTATATTATATTTAATTATTACCTTAAATATTATAAATAAAATCTTATTAAGGTTTTTAGTATATAATATATTTATTATTTAAATATAATTATTATATTCTTTTTTTTTATTTTTTAAGTAAATAAGTTCTTTATTTATATTTAATATACTATACATATTAAAAATACTTTTATAATAATATCTTTTAATTCTAATATATCTATAGTTATTTTTAATTTCTATTTTAATTATTATTTTTAATATATTAATAATTATTTCTTTATATATATTTAGCCTAGTTCTTTATTATTCTTTTATCTAGCTTATATATATAGCTTATTAATACCTTATTTATTATTAATATTGTATAATTTATTAATTTAAGACTAACTTTAATATATATTTTATATAAAATTAATATACTTATTATTAATAATTATTAGTTTTTTAAAAATAATATAATTATTTTAATTTTAAATTAATATTATATTTAAAAAAAAGTTTAATATTATAGACTTAATTTTAAGATTTTTATTAATTTTAAAAATAATTCTATAAAATAATAAATAATTTTTAATTATATAAATATAATATAAAATTATTAATTCTTTTTAATATTATTTTTTAAATAATGTTTTTAATTATATTATAATTTTAATATTAATTAAATTATTAAACTTATTTATATTATAATTTAAAAATATATATTTTATTTAAAATTAATATTAATTTTTATTAATAATTATTAATTTTTTAAAAATAATATAATTATTTTAAATTTAAATTAATATTATATTAAAAAAAATTAATATTATAAATATAATTTTAATAATTTTATTAATTTTAAATATAATTTTATAAAATTATAATTAATTTTAAATTATATAAAAAGTTTTAATTAAATATATATTATTATTAAAATAAATATATTATAAAACTTAACTTAAATATATATAATATATAATTATAAATAAATCTTTTTTTTAAAAACTTTTTTAATAAATATATTTAAATAATAAATATATTAATATTTATATTATTATTTAATATTAATTTAAATTAAATTAAATTTATATTAATTAAATAAAATATAATTAAAATATAATAATAATAATAATAATAAATTATATATTTTTAATAAATATTTTTTATTAATTAATTAAAATATTTAAATTAAATAAGTATAAAAATATCTTTTAATAAAAACCTTAGTATAGTTTGTTTTATTTATTATAAAAAACATAAAATAAAATACTAGCTTTTATAATATTAGTTTTATATTAAGTCTTATTTTAGCTATATATTAATTATTTTTTTCTTAAGTATATTATTTTATTAAATTCTTATTATTATAATAAGTCTAGGGTAGAACTAGCCCGGACTTATATTAAATTAGCCTTTATTATATATAAACTTTATTTACTATCTCGCGTTATTTTTTTTATTCTTCTTTCTTTTCTTTTTATACTCTCATTTATATAATACTTACTTAGATTTATACCGCCCTCGTTCTTTATTCCTTAATTCTTTTACGCTAATAATTTTAATTAAATCTCCCCTTTCTTTATATATATCCGCCCCAGACCCGGTAAATAAAAGAAATATTTATATAAAGAAAGGGGGGATTTAATTAAAATATTTAATTATAAAAATAATAAAAAATAAAGAATAATAATAATATTAATTTAAATAAGAATTATATATATTATAATTCATATATTTATATAAAAAATATAAAATAAAAACTAAATTTATTTAAAATTATATTAAAATACTTAGATCTTAATAAAATATTATATATAAAAAAAACTATAATTAATATATTAATAAAACAAGCTTTATTATAAAATTAATATTATAAAAATTAATATTTTATTTTATATTTTATTATAATAAAAAAACTATATTAAGGTTTATATTAAGATTCTTTTTAATATCTTTAAGCTAAAATAACTTAATTAATTAAAAAATAAATACTTATAAGAGTATATAATTTATTATTATTATTAGATTTATAGCTTAATATTTTTAAGTAATATTAAGGGTATTAATAACTATAATATTATATTTATTTTATATAAAATATTAAATATATTATTAATTAAAAACTATAATATAATAGCGATTATATTATATAATAAAGAAACTAAGGGTATAAATTAAATAAGAAATACTTAAATAAGTTTATTAATAAAAATATTATTTTTAATATATATAAAAAAATATATTTAATAAATAAGGTTATTAATAAAATTAATATATTAAATAAATTATATTATAATTTTAAATCTTTATAATAAATATAATAAAAATATTATTTATATTTATTTTCTTTTATTTTTTTAATTATTAATATAAGAATTAAAGCTATTATAAGAATTATAAGTATAATAAAAGCTATAATTAAAATATCCTCTTATATATAATTAATTATAATCTAAAATCTAAGTATTTCTTAATAATAATTAAAATTACTAATATTTTAGCGACTAAAGACTTTTATAAGTGTCCTCCGTACTCGTGCTTCTTCTATTACTATCCCTTATAAAAATCTATACACTATACTCCGTAGACCACTTGTTTATTATATTCGTACCAAGTCGTACTACTTAACTATGTCTTCGCTAGGCTTCCTTGGCCTCTTGTATCTACCATACCCAGATTATCGTACTGGCTTCTGGGGTGGACAAACATCGACGCTCAATTTCTGTGAGGAGGTAGCTTAATATCTCTCTTCTCAATATTCTCTATCCATACTCATTGTTACAATCAGGATTATGCGCTGTCATTCTATTGCGCCGAGGTCGTCAATGTAAAGCATCGCTCCCACGCGGATAGGCCGGATGCACGGCGTTCGACGTTAAAACACGAATTCTTTGGCTAACATGTGTACAGGCATCGACGAATGCATTGTTCATGTGGTTGGGGTTCAAGGGCATTCGTAATTGCTTGAAAGAGTCCCATGATGGTGTCTTCTTGCTGGCTTACGTTGGCTACATTCTGGTCGGCCTGGGATCTATATCTTTTCATGCCACCCTGAAGTGTACCACTGCCAAACGCACCTCTTGTTCGTGAGCATGACTTTGCTGACTGCATCAGATCCCATGCAGCTCGTGGACGAGTTGTCTATGATATACACCACGTGCCTCATGATGCACGCAAGTTTCGCCTACTTACAGTCGACTTACTTCTCGACCATGTTGGGACTCGCACTACTGTGCTTATCGGGCACCATTACAGTAAGCTGCCCATCCAGTCAGATAATCACCGCATTGTGGCTGACAGCATCTAGTTGCACTATCACACAACCAAAGACCCGTTATTTCACCAGGTCGCGTATGCTGCGCTGACCGCGACTGTGGTCTTCCGAAGCATATGGGTAATGGAAACTCAGCTGCGACCTGCACTGGCGACTCGCAACAGTGATCGCGCACGGCATATACTGCAGACCATGTGGACAATGGTGGCCACAGGTGACAAAGTCCCCGCAGGTGGTTCAACAAGTGAACATGAATAGACTGACAAGCGCAGGTCTACTCGTGTTTGTAGGCGGTTTCCTGATCTGGAACCTGGACAATGTGTTCTGTGGTGAGATCCGCCGCCTCAGACGGGCAGTTGGGCTCCCCTGGGCTATCTTGCTCGAGGGCCACGGCTGGTGGCATCTGATGACCGGCGTAGGAGGTGAGTGTCCTTGCCCGGCCCCACGAGGGACGGTCGCATTAGTTCGGCGCTGGTACTGACGCGGGCAGCTTATTATTACATCACCTGGGGCATATGGCTGCGGCATTGTCTAGCCGGTCGTGAGCTCCAATATGTGCTGCACTGGCCTCATATCCTGACTTCAATGCCCGAAGTTCGCCGGCATAGAGAGTCGACAGACGATGCGCCCGTTGCCGGAACAAGGAAGAGTAGGGAGTAAAGTAAAGGCAAAATGATCGAGGGTCGCCGTGTTTGTATGTTATATCGCGTGGTACCGTAGCTATCCTGTGGTAGTGGTTTTTGGCAACATCTCATGTGAAATGTGAGCCCACACGTGTAATAAGCGATCAGCGGGAGTTTCTAGTTGTTGCGGGTGCAGACGCGGATTGAATACAAGCAGAATTGTTTAAAATGTATCAGGCGGTAACACGGACCGGAGAGCAAAGCGTGCCAAGTCGCGTTTCTTTTCTGTCACCCACACATGTACACCGTCTACCGCAGCGTTCGGTGGTGGCTGACCGTTACCGTGTCACCTAGGCTCCGTTTCGTCTCCGTTTTCACTTCTGGTGCTGCACCGCGAGTCCGCATCTCGGCCCCGTTTGATGAATGAGAGTTCCCTCGCCGGTCGCCGACCCTTTACTGTCATGGACAACACATTGAACCGACACCCAATTCGCACAACTCTGCCGTCTCGCTGTTGTTGACCTCGGACATAATGTCAATTCCAAATGAAGCTCTCCAAAAGGTGCGTGATTTTTTTTGGGTCTCAGGTGGCCACTGCTATGGTCGCCATCAACCCGGCTCAGAGGCCGCATTGGGAGTGCGGCTCATGACATTCTGCCACTGAGCCGTCTTCACTCTATCACTGGATGGCTGACAACCCTACAGCTCGTCCATGAGATCGAGAGCCAGGCCCTGGTTGCTCAGCAGCAGATTGGATTGACCAAATCTCAAGTGGCCTCAAAGCAACGTGAACAACGTCTCATCAAACTCACGCTGGGTGAAGTATCGAGCTTGCCAGAGGATGCAGTCGTCTATGAGGGCGTTGGAAAAATGTACGTTACGAGTGCAAGTTTGCACAGTTACTCAAGCCATCCTCGCAACAAAACGAGTCGTCTCGATACTAACGAACAAAGGTTTGCCTCACTACCTGTCGATTCATTGAGGCAAAAGCTAGATGTCCAAGGGAAAGACATTGAGGGCGAGGTCGAGAAACTCAACAAGCGCCTGCTGTATCTTGAAACGACCCAGAAGAACAGCCGCGAACACATTGAGCAAATGCTTCGGGGTCGCTGAGCACTCAGTGCGTTTGGTCAAAACTGCACACGGGCGCATCGCTGATGAATTCTAGTTTGTTTATTAGTTGGCACATGGTTTCACAAATAAGTAGCAGAATGCACCAGAAATTGTGAAGTAGCCTGCAGCAAACTCGCACTGGTCCGGCTCCTTTTTGGTAAGACGACGCCCGCGACCGGGTGCTGTCGCAACAACCAAAGAATAACCGCCCGCCCAGCCTGCCCCAGCCAACTAACTACTGCCTGGAGCTCTGGCAGCTGCTCTCTCCTGCGTTCTCAGTGCATGCTGCATGCTGCGCACCTGCAGCCTTATGTCAACAACAAGAGAAGAGCCGGGGCTGGTGACTGACGACCTTGCTAATCTATCCGTAGGTACGTTACGACGTACGTAGTTAGAAATGTCGTCCAGCCCTGCGAGGCCAGCGGCCCCGCCCACTGCTCAAGACTCTCACACATGGTTGGCTCCCAAGCATGTGCCTGAACCCCTCTTCCGCTCCTCTCCACTCACGCATCTCATAGACTCACCCTCACAGGCTCGTAGCTATCATGGGTGGTGCCGCCGCAGACCAAGCCCCTCTCCTCGGTCCGGTCCTGGCTTAGTGGTGCCCCCCCCCTTTCGGGATACAATAATAACCATGCCGCTGACGACGGCGTAAGCACGGGTCTGACCATCCGCTGCTCCCCCTCTCTCGCATCGTACAGGAAGTGATCGCTTGACTTGTCACCTCCATTCTGTGTGTCTTGAGCGAGTTCGAACACCCTGAAGTAGATGCCCCGGGGATAGTGTCTATCGTCGATCCATCCAAGTCGACCAGACTAAGTATTCGAGATCCGATCCCCGAAGACTGCAAAAGCGACAGTCACAATGAGCGGTTACTACGACGATGACGAGGACATCGATATCCACGTCCGCCACCGGGGTCACTCACCTCGCCCCGTGCGCTATGTTCAGAGCCCACCCAGGCCGCGATACTACCAGCCTGCCGACCCCGGGCCCAGCTGGCTTGCACCAGTCGATCAAAATCGGACGACTGTGATTGCCCGCTCACGCTCACGGTCTCGTGATCGGCGTCGCGCGAGCCCACCTCAAGCTCCCGCTCAGCCTCAACCACAGCCTGTCATAATCAACAATCAGTTTTACAATGAGTACTCGTCTGATGACAGTGAGTACGAGAAGCGCAATCGCCGCCGACAGGTCGTTCGCAGGGCAAGGTCGCCTTCGAGCTCCGAGTCTCGTTCGCGGTCTAGGTCCAGGGAACGATACCGAAGGGAGGCGCGTGAACAGTTTGAAGCCGAGAGCGCTCGCAAGGAGTTGGAGGCGCTGCGTCTCTCCCAGAGTCGAGAGAAGGCCGAGAAGCGCCTGGCTGACAAGTATCGCGATGACGCTGAGCTCCAACGCGCTAAGAGAGAGCTCGACGAAATCAAGCGCAAGGAAGCTCAGCTTGCCGAGCAGAAGCGAATCGAGGAGGAGCTGGAGCATAAGCGCCTCAAGGAGGAGAGAGACGCCGCTGAAGAGAAAAGGCGACTGAAGAAAGAGGCTGAAGCTGCCATTGAGAGATATAAGCAGGAAGAGCGCGAGAAGCGGGAGAGGGAGTCGGCAGAAAGGGAGGCTGCCGAGAAGGAATACCAACGCCGGCTGCAGGAGGATCTCATCAAGTCTGGCGTCGATGAGAAGGCTATAGCAGCCATCATGAAGAAGGAGAAGGTCCCGGAAGCCGAGGCTGAAGAACCACCTCAACAGCCTGGCGGACGCGCGACGTACACCCGCATGTTGCGCAAGCATCTATCGATTGAAACGTTGAGGACCTACCACGTTGAATGGGAATACGACGATGTGAGTGCCCCCTACCCCTAGTCTAGGTCACCGATTTAGCTATGCCGTTACTGACAACACGGCAGAATCCCGAAAGCATCCTGATCAAGCGCTGGGTTCCCGAATGGGAGCAGGACCGACTATGGAAGCATACCCGTGACCTACGCAAGAAGCGTGGCAAAGCCCTACTCATCGAGGAAAAGCGGCATCAAGAGGAGGACCCCCGTTTCGAATGGGTGCGTAAGAAGAGCCACTCCCGCAAGCGGAGCAAGTCCCCCGGTTTTCTGATGTATTTGGCTGGTGCGCGTCCGGCCTAGAGTCAGATGCGAGTCTGCCAGAGCCGGTCGTGGTGGCGGTCATGGAGTTCAATAGCAATTGATGACTTTTCCGTAATATGCTTGTTCTTATTCGAGACATTACTTATTCTTCAGTTAGCAGTGAGGCGCGAGTGGCTCCTTTCTATACCAGGGTTTACAAGATGCCTGATCTTCGTATCAGTTCTTCGTACACAGTCCACGCCAGCGCGGAGCTCATAGCCTTCCGGCTCATACGGAGGGCCAGTCCATCAAAAAATGAACGGAAGCCATCCTCGGCAAACATTTTTTGTGCAGCATGAACGAGGTTCTTGTACTTTTGCGGCTGAAGCTGGATCCGCGTCTTGACTGCATCAAAGGGGTTGGAAAGGGCGGAGCAAATGCCAGCTGCTAGTGTTGCTGAAGCGAAGTTGACAGAGCCTGATACGGAGGCACGCATAGCGGTCGGTTCAGAACTATCCCGGGTCGGACCATAGAGCAGACGCCCGAGCCTAGGTTTGAGCAGCTCATAGACCAAAACATAGGTGCCAGCATAAGGTGCATCGCGCAAGGCTGTTGCTCCGAATCCTGAGAAGAAACCTCGGAAGCCATCTGCTTGTCGGATGCCCTTCGCTGCTGCCCACACCGTGGTATAATTATAATAGGTAGACTCGAATCGGACCTTGATGACTGTGAGCGGCATGAGAATGAAACCCGCAAAAGTGCGAGCTGCTGCGCCCGACACGAGATTTGCTGAATTGCTCAAGGTAGGCAGCGCCGATGAACCGGAAGTTGGCGAGTTACGGCGCCCGAAAAGGGTGGACTTGGCAGCTTCTTGCCGCATGGCATTGAGCGTGGTGAAATACACCGCTGAGCCGAGCCCAGTCCGCAGGGCTGATGGAATGGTGCCTCTCCAAAGCCCGGAGAGAACACCAGATGTTCCTCGCAAGTCACGGATGGCCTGCGCAAGATTGGACCGCCCAGACTGCTGCATTCGTGTCTTCAACAGATCAAGCGGCTGCAAGATCACGGCCGACGCGATGCCCGATCCAAGACCAGAAACGAAATGTCGACCTGGGCATATCAGTCATGTGAGTTGTCGGGTTGTCACAGAAGCAACTCACTTGATTTGGACGAACGAGCTGACGCCGACGGTGTATCGTTCACAGCCGGCTGACGGGCCTCATTCTGATGCGCAACATGTTGCATTTTGAGCAACTGACATCATCCGAGCAAATTCACAGTATACTATCGGCGTTGCGTTGGAGACCGTAAAATAGGTATACAAGAGACACAGTGTGAAGCAGTACCAGGTCCAGAATAGTGATGTCGATGATGGAATGTTGCATGAATCCGAGCCGTCGGTAGAGCTTCGGCCCAGTGCAGCACACACCTCGTGCGAACAAGTCGACTTGTCACTGGCGCGTGGCGCACGGCTGGCCACTACTGTTCATGCGCGCAAATCAGTTACTGATGCTTCTTTTCTTTGACTTTATTAAAGCTATGCGACACGCGCAGACTGGCGTGCGCAGGGCAACTCTGCATCGTGCCCCGCGACAATGTCAAAGTCAAGTGCGTGCTTGTATGGGTGCGAGGCTCGACTTGATCACTTGTAAGTAGGTTAGTTAGTGTCCGCCACATGGTGTGTCGAGACAGGATAGCTTCTGCTATATCCGTTCCTCCTATCTGCTGCTGCAAGCAAGTCTCCGAAGCTCTTGGTTTGCAAACCTCCAGTCTGAACATGTGGACGGTGCTGGCGAAGCCCCCCTTGCTGTGTCGCATCCGTTCCCATAACCAGGCAGATATGACCAGGCGTCCGATTGTCGCTGGGGCTTTCCGACCACCGAGGTCACCGTGTCACCTTGTTCCTCCTGGCGCAAGGGAAGATAACCCCCCGATTCTTTCTGGGGATGAAGGTGATCAAAATCAAGCTTCAGCCTGGTCGCGGTGGTTCTGGACGTTGACGTGAAAATGTCCACCCATGGTCATTGTATGTTTGAGTGGCTTAGGTAGTTGCAGTGACTTGCCCGCGATTGTAGTCACCAATGACCGACTCAAGACGGCCTGCGAGTAGTCGGTGGCGCTTCACCAAATCTACCCACTCGCCAACGCCTATCGTGGCTAGAAGCATTCCAAAGTCAGCGCCAAGTCTGCCCAAGCTACCCGAGCAGTACAACATTTGCGTCAAGATGCTCTCACGGGCCGCTTGATCTTGCACAGTGGGCAAGTACGTCTGCAAAGTCTCGAGGAGCAAGTCAACCAAGTGAATAGGAAGTGTTGCGAGCGTCGACGGCAAAGGCTGTAACGGGTCTTGGTCATCAAGAGCGGCAGCAGTTGAGCTGAAGCTCGCGCTGACATTCTTGAAAACAGATGCAATGCTAAAGCTGTGTTCCCGAAAGATCTCGATGTAGCGTTTTAGGTATCTTTCAGTCTGCTGGCCCCCGAAAGATGATTGCGCGGATTTACCCTGGCGTAACCTCTCCTCATCGGCCAACTCGCGCAGGGGTCCTAATGCATCGAGCAACGAGACAAGCGTGGCCACCCGACAAACCAGGAACAGAGGCGGTAGAGATTCTTGAGGCGATACGTCCGAGACAAGGTCAGGTATCAGACGTTTCAACCAACCAATTGTCCGCAATGCAGCTGCGAGCTTCAGATTCGGAGCTTTGAGGGCACCGACTAAATCTGATGCCATCCGACGAATTGCGGTGTCCGCTTCCCTCAGGATTGATGTGATCAAAGGCGATTCGGGATAGAGTGAGGCAAGCCGGCGGATATGGGCGTAGAGGTCAAGAGTCGATGCATAGTTGACCGGGTTTGCGGACATGGCGGATGTGAGGAGTGGAGGTAGCTCCATGACGTCGACCAGCCTTTCTGAATTGTGCAAAAGTCGCAAAGCCTCTTTCCTCTTGACCAAAGTGGTGTTTCCCATTGCCTTTCCGAACGAATCTGAGAAGTGCTCAGCCTGTGAATCAAGCCGCGGAACCGCTTGGCTCAGCTCGGCCGATATGTGAGCAACAGTCGGAAGACTCTTCTTCAAAGAGGCATGAGTTGTAGCCGAGTTGACGATAGGCCTGTAAGATCGCTTAGACAAGCTCTGTGTGGACAGCAGCATTGTATGCGATGCTTGAGCTAGCCGTTGTGGCTCGGATGATCGCAGAGCTTCGACCGATTGCTCAGCCAGGTGAGCGAGGTACTCCAATGCATCTTTGTCGGACGCCACCCGCTGGACATCCAGTAGCTCTGCTAACATTTCCGCCATGGTGTCGAAAGAAATGTTTCGGGGGCCCCTGAGACCTTCACTGCACTACAGTCGACCCAGCAGTAATTAGCCCTTCAGAGCTGCGTCCACAGACAAAACGAGCCTACGGCTTGCAATGTCAATATCGTGCTTTGTTACGAGAGAGATGAACGCATAGCTCATGCTGATGTAATTTCGGCTGAGGCTCCAGTGTTGAGCAGTACACGCGGTCGCGGGACGCGCCTGAGGTTGTCCGGTGATACCAAGAACTGACGATGAGGACCAGCCCTGAGTTGAGCCAGCCAGCCACATGGGGCTGCCTCATGATCCAGTCATATTGGTCATGGGAGCCCCGCCTTGGCTTACATAAGGTAAATGACAACTTAACGGAGCAGACCAACCTCCAAAGGCCCTCCAAAGGCCCCAATTGCCCCAACAATTCCAGCCCGCGCCCCGCCAACTAATTGGACCAAGCGAGCACATGCCCCGCGCTGCCAGCAACAACCTAGGAGCCCGGGCAGTCTACAGGCGGCATGTGCCTCCAGCAGCGGCTCCTCGTCATCGCACACGACTGGACACGGCTGGACTTCGTGAAGCTGCGTTCGTTTCGACTCGGCGTCGTGACTTCCTTTGAATAGACCTCTCGTTGGCCCCCCCTGCCGTTGTCGTTTCGAAACCCATCCATCTACCTATCTGCCTGGACGTCCCCAACAACGAATCACCTATCTTGGAATCCGTCTTCACTGACTGAACGCGCCGACTGCGGCTCGCAATCAAGAAGGATGAAAGACCCTTTTGTACTACCACCCGTACCCTGGTTGTCGAACCTGGTGCAACCTTGGTGTGATTCGCTAAACCTAACGACGCTGCCTCTCCACGTACACGAAATCATCGCCTCAGCCTTACTCTACACGGTCGTATTCTGGCCAATATCGCCCATCGTATCAAAGATCCTGGCCCCTGAACACTATGGCAAACTATCCCGCAAAAAACGACTGAATTGGGATGCGCATGTCGTCTCCATGGTACAGAGCTGCCTCATCAACGCTCTCGCCATCTGGGTGATCTGGGCAGACGATGAGCGCAGAGCGATGTCATGGGAAGAACGCGTCTGGGGTTATACAGGGGCGTCTGCAATGGTGCAAGCCATGGCCGCCGGATACTTCGTGTGGGATCTTTTCGTAACGAGCCTCAACTTGGATGTCTTTGGCTTGGGGACGTTGGCGCATGCCGTCGCCGCCCTTTTGGTCTACTCCTTAGGCTTTGTAAGGCAATCCTTGACCCAATTTTTCGGTCGTAGAAGCGCGGTGCTAATTTGTGTACGTCCTCTAGCGGCCTCTTGTCAACTATTACTCCTGTGTCTTCATACTGTGGGAGCTTTCGACCCCATTCTTGAACGTCCATTGGTTCATGGACAAAGTCGGGATGACGGGCAGTCGTGCGCAGTTATACAATGGTGTTCTTCTCCTAGCGACATTTGGGATCTGCCGCCTGGTCTTTGGCACCTGGCAGTCTTATCTGGTGATGAAGGACCTTTTGCTCGCCGTCAACGCATCTCCCACCTTTGAGAAAGAGGGGCTCGCAACCATGATGTATGTTGACTCGCACACAACAGCGCCATGGTGGGCGGCGGGTGCGTACCTGCTGAGTAACTTGACTCTCAACGGCCTCAACTTCTACTGGTATTTCGCGATGATTCGCGCCGTCCGCAAGCGTTTCGAGCCCACCAGGGAGCATGGTCTGGTCACTGAAGCTGACCTCGACCTGTCGACTGTTGGGACAGGTGTTGCCGAAAAGCAACAGGCTCGACGCCGGAAAGCTTAGGCATGTCACCGGTAGGCTGCAAAGCTTTTGGTGGAGGCAATGCGCCTGCGGAATGGATATCCACGACACTCTTTGAGCAAGCAAGAGCGCAGCCATATGGTGTCAAGACCTCTGGCAGGCAGTTGCTGGAGGCTCCAAAGGGCCCCTACAAGACATGCCACTGCCAGGGCCACAAATGCCAGACAATTGGAGATTGCACGCGTGGTTCAATGCGAATGGATTCTAATTAGCGTGGCGCTGCATGGTGCCGTACGGCATTACGGATAGAACGACAGGATATCATCATGTCGAAAGCACATGGAAGGTTTAACTTAGACACGATGGGCGTATAGTTGGGGCGGAATTCTGACTGAAGACAACAATATTACAAATAAAACGCTTTCTTGCGAGCTGAATATGTAGAGCTCCTGATAGTAGTCGTATGTTCATGGGACTACTACATAAGACTGACCATGCCACCTTCGCCAGGTCGAATACATCGGTTGCTGATTGACAGAATTCCCTCCAGATGAGCACTCAAAATCCAAAGGGGTTCGACGGGGCTGTGAGGTATGTTAGTACTAAAGCCGGTAGAGATGAAGAGTCAAGAACCGAGATTGCTTACTTGCTTGGGATAGATTTGCTTTCCGCCCCGTGGGCTGGGGAACGAGCTTCTTCTCGGATGCTACACCGAAGCGAACTGGAGGTGCTGGACCAGTCTGCTGTGGCTGCAACGGCTGTGGTGTAGGCGCCATAGTTTGCTGCCCGAAGCCGGACATGCCCGTTTGCTGTGGTTGTAAGGCTGGCATCGCGGTTCTATGAGGCTCAAGGGGCTGGGGCAGGAAGCTATTGACACCTGCTTGCGGCTGCTGCTGGAAGCCGGTGGGCTGCGGCTGGAAGGGCGGCTGGAACCCAGTAGGCTGTGCCTGTATCGGCGAGAACGACCCAACACGGCCCGGGTCCGCAAAAGGGCTTTGCTGTGGCATCCCCTGCATCATAGGCTGCATGAACTGCGCTGCAGTGCCGTTTTGGTATCCTGGCATGGGCTGAGCCTGGCCTGTCGGGAAGCCTGTATAGTTGGGTTGCAGTTGGGCAGTGTACTGCTGCTGAAGCCTTGCCTGTGTCATATCATGGAGGCTTTGGCCAGGAGGAGCCACTTGTCCCTGGACCAGACCGGTCATCTGAGGCGCCAACATCCCGGGTGTATTGTATGCGCTAGGCTGTGCAGACTGAGGGGCAGATAGCGGCCGTTGAGGAGGCGGTGGCACCAGCGAACCACCCAGTGGGGACGTCTGAGGAGGCGCTGGACGCTGTCGCAGGGCAGACTGTGGTGCTCCTTGTCCATTCTGGCCAGTCGGTGGAAGGCCAGAGAAGAAGCCCGGAGAAGCTCCCTGCGGTGGCGGCGGTTGCTGCTGCTGTGGTGCTAAGACAGGAGGCGGGCTAGCGCTCGACAGCCCGGTCGCCTGTGCGCGAATTTGAGACTGAGCCGCCGTTGGCGTAGGTTGAAGAGGCTCAGATAGAAGAGACAAGTCCTTCATAGAACCTGACAAAGGAGCCGGAGGAGGCGAGGCAGCACTCGCAGGGGGCGGAGGCGATCGAGCTTTCGCAGCAGCTTCGCCCGCAGTTTGTCTGATGGGCTTAACATCCCACGCATCATCCTCAAAGCCACCACCAGACGATGGAGCTTTCTTTTCGGGAGCGGAGGCAGGGGTAGGGCTAGGACTGAGGCTGGCCGGTTGGGGCGATAGAGCCTCTCCATCTGTTGAGGTTGGCCTGTCCTTCGCAGAAAAAGCCGAGGCATCAACGACGTCGCTTGTTTGCACTGTTGGTGCTGGACGCCCCTTTCTTGTGTTGTTCCGCAGGGCACCCCCGGGACCGGAGAACAAGCCTCCTTCACCATCCTTGTGTCTCTGTCGACCATATTTGGCATCCAGTGTGCGCATAACTTTGATGATGTCGCCTTCACGTAAACCAAGGTTCCTAAGAATGCCTGCATCGACATCTGGCAGAACGCTTTCGTCCATGGAGTCCTTGTTGAAAGCTTGCGCATATCGTTCGCACAACCCTACGGCGACATTGCAATCGAGGAAGAACTGGAACCAGTCATACTCGGGTTTCGAGTCTCTGCCAGCTTTGGGTTCGTTTTCGCTTGAGGCTGCGGCCGATGGTCGAGACCTCTTAGCTTCCGCAGATGCTTTCTCGTTCTTTAGCGAAATTCCTGTCATACTCTCGACATATTCGATGTCCTCGGTCGACATCTTGCTCAAAGGCACAGCAATCTTGACACCGTTCAACTTGTGTAAGTGTATTTTACCATCCTTGAGACCCAGGAATTGGGCATCAACACTGAAGGACTTTGAGCGGTCGGTCCAGGTGTGTATCTTGGCAGGATCTGGTTCTGTTTGCGTCGGTAGGCAGAGTGTCAGCCACCGATCGACGTGAAGAAGGCATAGCGCTGCTGTTACCAGCGGGGACAGACTCACTTGACTTTGGCTTCGAGGCACCATCGCTTCTTCCATTCTGGCGTCGGCTTTGCTGCTCCGAATCATTTAGACTGCTGCCTCTTTCGGGAAGCGACATCCCAGGGCCTACCTGTGGTTCCTTGCTCGCCCTCAGAGCCTCCTTGGTCAGCCTGATCTCCTCCATGCGGTTCTGTTCCACTGTTGATTTAGCCGAGTCGACACCCGCAACAGGGGGCGGTGTCATAGTGCCCGTGATCTCGATGTAACTACTGGGGACCACTCCCTCTTTGCCGTTCTTCAAGCGACGAACTTGCCACCATTCTTCACTCTTGGAATCGTCCAAGATGATGACTTCGTCACCCGCAGCCACCGTCACTTCATCCTCACTCTGCGCCATGAAGTCGTAGAGGATCTGGCCCTTTCTGACGCTCTTTTTGGTTCCGGCGGCAATCACTTCCTTCAGGCCTTCAGCACGAACTGCTCCGGCCATCTCCCCGAGCGCCCGGACAATTTCGTCAGCGGTATCCTTGGCTCCGGCGTGGAAGTCAATGCTCTTGCTGGGCCTGACCAATTCCATGAAGACATGTTTCCCTTCCCGTGAGTAATGGGTCATCTTGTCCGCCGTCCATTCCTGGGAAGGTCCATCCTGGGTCTTTTCGGGAGCAATCAAGATCATGCCGGTCCTCAGGTTAATGCCCAGAGTGGTGGGCATCTTGCGCTTCTTTCCCATGACGGAGACCATCTCGTTGACATTGTACATATGAAAGCCACCAGGGGCCCTGTACGAGTCGTTCTGGTCCTCTTCTTGCTGCACATGACTATCGTACGTCGACTCCGGGGGAGGCCGCGGGCGGTTTGGCAACGGAGGCGATCTTGCGGGGGCTTCGTCGTCGGAAGCGTGGTGATAATCCTCGTATTGGGATACGCCCCGCGTCGGTTGTGAAAGAGGCGATTCGGGTTGCGAAAGACTGCGGCCATGCATCACCCCAGCGAGCGCGGCAGCAGGACCCGAGGGAGCAACAGGCGAGGCGGCCACAGGGCTCTCAGGTTCGTGGCTAACCGATTGTGGACGGGCAGGCAAAGCAGGGGCAGCAGGCGATGACATGGCCGCCGACGCAGTGTCACCGCCGTCCATGTCGATGTAGTTTGACGGGACAAAACCATATTCCTCATCAAGCCCAACTAGAATCCAATCCGGATCGGAGGTGTCGAAGATCTCGAGTACGGCGTCTTCAGGAAAGGACAGCTCTTCGTCCGTCTGGCGCGTGTACTCGTACAAGGCTCGGGCTCGTCCGAGGGCTGGGAACTGGAGCGAGTAGCATTGATCAGTGTCTGTGCGTGAATATTCGTCAATGTCCATGGAAACGACGCACCTCCTCAACATAATTGTGAGGCACAAGGCCTACAGGCTCATCCTCGTCATCTGCGCCAGCCTTCTTCTTCGCCTTCCACCAGCCATCGTCGGCGTTCTTTTCGAGAACATATAGCAGGTCATTCTCCTCAATCGTAAGCTCCCCTTCGGCTTGAGGAGCGTAATCGTACAAGGCCCGGTAAACGCCGAGGAACCCCATTGTGGCTTTCGTCCTGGGAGAGGGGGGCCTACGCCAAGCTCTCGTTTCGCGTCAAGCGTCGCAGTATGTATGAATGGGGGTTTCCCTGAATGTGTGGTGATGTCGCGCACAAAGCGCAGGTTTGTTGATGATAGGAGCGATATCTTGTAAGCCAAGCCAGGTCGTGCCTCCTGACCTAAGGATAATCGGGTAGCCGCCAGATGCTGAGAAGTGCTGCCGTCGGGCAGGGAGACTACTGGCTTGTGAGTACCTTACGCGATAAATGCTGGCAACGAATGAGCCTCGTGGGCGGAGCAAGTTTGGATAAGTCGACCGCTGGCAAGGTGCAGCTTGCTGTTGCGAATCGACCGTCGTCGCCGATTTCCCAAGCTGGCGTGCCCGTGACGATCCAGCTTCCGGATAAGTTGGATCCACTTCCTCCAGCCACATCTGCGAGCACCACTAACTTATTAGGTATGTGTCCGTACTGTAGTACTACTTGCCTGACGTCTGCAGTCCCATCTGCGTACGTACTTATTTGCGCATGTTGGTAAATACATTCATTCATTTGTATAGTGCTGCACCCGAAATCCCCCTGCGTGTCATAGACGTTCTTTTCTGCTTATGCTCTGCCGTCCAACTAGATTTGCGCCACAGAGTGAGCTAAAATGCGCGTGCACTCCAGTCACTCGGCTGCATTCCCGACGTCATCAGGTCCAGTGCGACAGTGGTGATCGATCCATCCAAAGGGGCAGCAGCCACTCAATCCACCGAGATACCCAAACATTCTCGCAACCCGTACACTTGCATATTTAGTTAGGAACATTTGTTGTCGATTGTTTGTGCAAATTCCGATGGCCACACGAGTCAAGTACCTCCGACCATGATTACATAAAGGTCTTCTAAAGACTACTACTAGTCTAGTCGTCTCTGCCGGTAGAGAGGGTGGACCAACAGCAGTCGCCTAAAACTTGCACAAGGTATTCACTTCTGATTCACTCAGAGACCGGAGCCGTCCACTGCACTAAGAGGTGTTTCCGTCGCTGGGTGTATGAGTACCCGGAGCTGGGTCGTCCTTCCGCAGGCTGCCTGTGCGGTTCCCGCGCGTGAAGACGCCAGGAAATGCGCGGGCCTCGTTTCCAGAAAGATGAGCACCGTAATCGTTGTGGTTTGCCTGTACGCTCTGGGGATCTTCCACCGTGCCTGATGGCGCCCCGTTTGTCGGTGCATCTGCGGGAGTTTGGAAACCTTTGGCTGGCGTACCGCCATTGGTGTTGGACTCGGGGCCACTTGTACTTGGTGGGACTGCTGTCTCTTGACCATGGTTTACATATTGTCGAAGCCTGCCAAATGCCATGTCAGTCACCAGCCATGCACTGTTATGTTTTCAAGTACTTACACATCCCTCTCCTGGAGGAGAGTGTGATACCTGAACTCGTCTCTTCGATCCGGCACGTTAGTCTTCACCATAACATTGCCGAGCCGTCCCGGCCGATCACAACCATCGCCCAACCACTTCTTCTTAATCGACAGTTCATAGCCGCTCTGCAGAACAGAGTTCTTTGCGAGTTCACACATGTCCACGGAGCTGAGCTTGTAGATTTGGGCCGCGACAGAGTACTCCTCAATCAGAGGCTCTTTGGTGAACGCAAACTGAAGGGGATCGTCGGTCGACAATGACACATTCAAGCCGCGCTTGAAGTACTGGTGAAATGGATTGCGGTCGTACGCGAGGAAGAGCGCGTTGTTGCTCAACGGGGACATTGCAATGCCAATCTGCTCCAGGTAAAACACATACTGCAGCAGTGGTACCTTGCGCAAAAGCAGTCCATGGCTGATACTGTGGCAGCACAGCGCTGCCACGGCCAAGTGCTCACTGTCACCGGCTTCGCCGCAATGTGGGCGAATTACCAAGGTGTTGAAGCCCCTCTTTTTCCTCCAGTAGTTGAGAGATGCTGTGTTGGAGTAGAGATAGTAGATCCAGTACGTGTAAGGCGGGTTTTGCTTGGTGTTCCATTCTTTGGGGACCGGGAACTTTTTGAAGAGCCGTCTTTCGACCTTGCTCTCATCATCGACACTGTCAAAGCCAATGACGCGTTGCAGGAACACATGTAGCTTGGGATGGCTTGATGGATCCTTGGTAACTTCGAAAAGTGGTTGGAAGATGTTCTGCACAATCGACTCATACGTGTCCATCAAGCCGCTTGCCTTATAGACATCGTAGAGACGTGGTATCTGAATCAGCCATCTCACATTGTGAGAGAATAGCTTGTTGTCAACCACCCACGCAGCGAGCTTATCCCATTCATCGATAGACTTTCCGTATATCGAAACTCTCCATTCAACCATCTGGTACTTGCTCGACTCCAAGTCAGAGATGACTTCTTTCGTGATCTCAGCCAAGTAGCGGCCGTGGATGAAATTGTCCGTCTTCAGAAAGATCGTGCGAAGACGCGACTCCCCGATGGGGTTGTACTTCAAGTTGAACTTATCGAATCGATGGAACGAGTCCGTGTGGGCCTACAAATATCGTCAGCATCGTTATGTGCCATAGATGATACCTGACTTACATGCATATCCAGAGTGTCAATGCTCAGATCGTATGCGGTCAAGTTGATACTGGCAAAGACCTCTGCCAACGTCAAGTGCTTGCCATCCCTGTATAGGACCACCTCGTTGGGGAATTTCTTCATCTTGCTCTTGATAAATCGCAGAAGATGCTTCTGGTTCATGCATGCCGAGTGGTGAACATGAGTATCGACCTTTCGAACGTTGTAGAAGTCTCGGTGCGGCACTTTCTTACTGTCTGCTGTCTCTTGATACTCGTTTAGTAGAACATAGAGGTTGAATTTGCCTTCAAGATATTGTAGTCGTCGAAAGGCAAAGCTTTTCGTGGGACCGTCCGACGATGTGTTCAGTAGCTCGTCCAAGTCCATGTAAAACTCGCGAATCGTGGGCACCTTCACCGCAGGTGCCTGGGCATCAGCGCTGTCGAAGACTTGATAAACGCCACTCGCATCTTGCTCAAAGATCATTCCATCATCCCCCGGCAATGGGAGAAGGTCTTCCATATCGAAATCTTCTCCGATGTCTTGGCCTGGTTTGCGCTTGCGGTTTGGTCGTTTCGAATCCTTCGCCTTTCCTTGATGAGCACCACCGGCAAGACCGTCTGGGGCACTGGATGGACCTCCAGGGCCATTTTGACCCTCGTTGCTGCGGGTCCAGGCGGGGTCAGGCGGTGGTGGGTAAACATCCCAACCTGGCTGGTCTCGAGGATTGTCGTTCGGGCCCTGGTTCGACAAATTGATATACTTGCGCCTCAAATCTAGAATGCGCTGGATGTTCTTCGAAATCTCACTCAATTCCGACGTAATGTGCGGTTCCGTGTCGAATAGACTATTCCCAGACAGCCCGACATTGGTGACTTGGGGGCCATGTCCTTCGAAGGAAGCTTGGGTTTCACGGGCAGCTGCGCCTCCCTGGTATCTAGCGGCGGGAGAGCCCTGAACCTTGGCCTTCTGAGGGAAGCTTGTTGGCGGTGTTGATTCCGCATGTTGGGAAGGTGTCTCTGGTCGGCTTTTCCAAGACCCTGGGACGTCTGAGTGACGACCGTCCGAGTCTAGTACCAGAGAGTCACCTCCATATTCGGTTGCCGGATGGGAGCCAGATGCTATCATGGGACTGCCAAAGGGCGTTGTGTGTGACCAGACAGCGCTTCCAGAGCCACTTTTGGGGTCGGCTTTGCTGCGCTGGTAGAAGAGCTTGGCATCGGTCTGGCTCATTTGACGCTCGGCCACTGGGTCGTAGAATGTTGTGCGTTTAGGCAAATCCCTGGGCAGCATTCCCTCCTCCAGATCGCCCTGTTCGTACTCCATAGCAGACTCGTTCCATGGGCTGGCCATATCGTCTGCTATCTCTTGTTGAGCTGCGCCAGAATCGACCCCGCCTTCGTCTTCCCCGTCCGACTCGCGTGTGCGTACATGATAAGCAATCGATTGCTCGGGATTGCCATGCTCTGGATGTAGGTAGACGGAATCAGGATCCAAAATCGCCAGTTGGGGTCGCAAGATGGTGGGAGGACTTACCGGCCATGACAAGCAATTGCGTACCCGAAGCCCACTGTGAAGAACGCAACCAGTGGAGTGGGCGGTGTCAATTGAAGTGCCTTCTTGGGGGTGAAGAATTGATGCTCTGAATAATCGCACTTCCACGGTCGTCCGAAACCTGGCGGGATACAATATCAGAAAAAGCCCGCCGAGAAGAGTCACGACTTTGGGCCGAAGACTGTTCTTATCGATGGTTCCATACTAGCTGCACCGTGACCTACTTAAGGTTCCACCGTGACACTTGGACCGTCATTAGGCGTTGGCGGGGGCCGCCACACTTTAGGTGCCTCCCGGCGGAGCATGCCTATATGCACAATTATGCGTATATCGATGATAGATATCGTCGACTGTTCGACTCAGTATCGTGCCCGTCAGCATGCGTACACGACTATGAGGGTTTTCTCTGGTTCAGCCAAGTATACGTAGTATGCTCTGTGAACGCCGTCGTATATGGCAAATGCAGAAGATGGCGCATTTTCTGTTTGATCTCATGTTCGGATATGATGCGATGCATTTCGTTGAACTACTTCAAACGTACCAGGTAGCTGTCACAACGTCTACTCTAAGAGTGATGAAGTGTCTGCCACGATGCACCTCAGCCCGCCTGAGCCAATTCTGTCTCACTAGCCAGACTTTTCTTCGCCCATGGCTTTCTTTTCTGATCCGCCCTGGCTTTGAGCTCGCTTGCCCCCTGATTCGCGACCAAAGGAGTAAAGGCCTCCGGCGCTGAACACGATGACCGCCCCAATCAGTGTGCCCGTCGCCAGCGAATTACCGAATAGCCAGATACTCAGTAGCAGACTGACAAGTTTTCGAATGTTCAAGACAATGGTGACTGTCAAAGCCGAAGACACAGCGGCAAGTAAGTTGACGCCCCGAATACATGCGTATTGTGTGAAAACATTGGCCCACAAGTACACAACTTGGCTGGGAACAGCGTTGATGAGGTTGTTGAGTACGGGCCATGGAGTCAACACTTCCAGCGGCTCTGTCATGGCCATGCTTTTGTAGGTGGTATACATAGACCGTAAGAAGGGCAGGAAGAGGGGCAGGGATAGCATGTGAGAGTAGAAGAGGTTCTCTTTCCACTGGGGACCATACTCACGGTAGGTCACTTCTGTGTATATGCCCATGATCGCGGACAGAACTTGTGCCAGAAAGAGGATGATCAAGCCAGCTCCGAAAGCAGGTCTCGCCTCATCAGGCGAAGCAGTCTAAGATGGTATCAGTACGCAATCTTGCGAAGGCAATAGGTAGAGTGAGGCAATGTACCTTTGCTTGAGCGTCGGACCATGCCGCGAGGATGACACCAAAGGTGAGCAGAATTACTGCGATAACTTGGACACGAGGATATCGCTTCCCCCAGAGATAGCCGGCTGCCATTGTCGTAATACTTCCTCCCGATCGAAGGATGATATGCACGGGGACAGAGATATCATAGCTGAAGGCATGGTTGTTCAACACATTGATACCGAAGAATAGTACAATATTGACAAGCCATCTGCGGATTGGTACTTTATTCGGCGTCAAGTAGAAAGGAGGACGTGACCGATCAAACTGCGCAACATACCCGGTCACGGCCACAAAGAGAAATTGTGTGAAGGTGAGAAGGATGCCTATGTCCATTGTGAGCTAAAACCCTCATTACATTTGGTTCAGGTTTGCCGAAGACATACCGCTGGAAGCGTCGAAGCTGGCGACGGGTCAGAGTGATGAAAGAGCTAACTGATGAGTACTTACTTGACAACCTTCTCGAGGGCATAGACCTTATCGTCATTCATTAGTCTGGGCGCGACGCGACAGTATGCCGGTACATACATTCGAGCAGCAGCCTCCGAAAATCAAGCTTAGCATGACAGTGGTCGCGAGGAGAGTCGGTGCCATTTCGGTAGCGACTCCTAGTATCACGCCTCGTGCCACGTCTTTCGGTATCGCCGAGCCATTCTGATTTGCCTTAGATGACTTCCCATCACTGATGATCCGGCGCCGCACCTCAGTCATTGTGGGCAAGGCTTCCAGGAAGGCTTTCTTCTTTGACGGTCGAGGCGAAAATAATGGCCCTTGGGAGCGACCTATCGATGTTGCAGCGGAATAACTATGAATCGAAACGAATGCACTTCAGGTCGGGATTGGTGCTCGTCCCCCTGCTGTAGAAGGGGTTAGGATTAGGAAGAAGATTGGAAATTAGGTATGTCACGACACGACCACGGTCCAAATTTGGATGTCCCGCCAAATCCTCCGGTCTCTAAACCACCAGTCACGCCCTGTGGAACACACGTCAAGGGTTCAGTAGTAGTAGCTATGAAGGCCCTTGCGTTCAATTGCATTCCGCGAGAGGTTCGATGTCCCTTTTAGTTTCTTGATTTTTTTTTAGAACTCGTAGGTGAGCCGTTGGACGTATTGGTACTCGGTGCTCGCCACGACTACCATTATACCCGTTCTCGCGTGTTTTGCATAGCACCTCACTCTGATCTCGTTGGCTCACGATGCGAGCATGTTCTAGGTCGGCACGTGCCACGGACGGTGTGCCCGAACGACGATGCCGCGCCACCTCGGGTCAGGAGTCAGGACTGAAAGTTGTTGGTCTTCATGTGTTGTATTGTAGTTGACATCTTGACGTTCTCTCAGGCCGTCTAGCGAAGAATACATATGTGGCAGGCGTTAAAACGCAACCCAGCACCCCTAGCTAATTCTACCTGCAATACGAGGCGAGGCCCTTTGCACCGCTGAGCCCATTCGAGCCTTGTTGGTCCAAGGTGCATGATAGCATGAGAAAAGCGAACGGTAACACGCTACTGGATTTTGATCATTGCCGCAGTCGCAGCATGCGCGACGTTGATTCGATTTCGCCAGAATATGAGTAGTCGCATTGACGCCAGAGCGCAAGGTTCAGCACGTGCTTCCCCATGTCATGTCCACACCCCTAATCTCACGCCGCTGGTTTCCCGCTGGTGTGTGGAGCGATTCGCGAACCCTACAACGCAGAGAAGACGAAGAGCTTGGACTACTGTTAGCGCATGTGCGCCAATCATAGCATGAGGGGAGGAACTCACATTGTTTGTCGCCGCAATGGCAATACTGTCCTCGAACGGATGCCAGCTCATGTGGAGAATCTTCTTGTTAAAGTCCATTTGTTCAGCATCTGTTTCCCTCTTCATGCGCTGCGCGCCCCCCGACGGGCTGCCTGCTCTTGATCCGTTCTTCTTGCCGTTGGAAGTAGGGCTCGTTGCTGAATTGATGGGCGTCGGTACTCCAATCTTCTTTGCCTTGAAAGCCGATTTGTCCGCCTGTAGCACGACCTCGGTCTCCGCCTCGGGATCTGAAGGGTAGATCATGAAGTTGTTGTTGTAGCTGCCTGTCATCACGTTCTTGGCGTCGCCGGAGAATACGACCTCGAATTTGTCGAAGATACTGTCGTTCTCGTAAGTATCGCACAATCTAGGTCGCAGATGCTCGTGTATCGGTATCGTCTTCAGCGGCTGACGTTCCATGTTGATATCCCAGATCTTGACAGTCAGGTAGTCGCGCGATAGGATGTAACGGCCGTCGTGCGAGAATCGCACATCAGAGATCGAAGATATGATCTCAGAAAAGAAGGATCTGGACTGGGGATCTTCCTCTTGCTCGAACACTAAGCAATGTCAGTGGATGGCACCTCGACGAGACGATGACTATCTTACTCTTAGCATGCTGGTCGCAGAGTGCACTCTCCCGCATGTCTGCCAGCTTGATCGTGCCTTTTGAACTGGCATACATGAACCAATTACAGCTTTGAGGGTGGAACTCGGCCGCTGTGATGACTTCGGTCAGCTCCTCCATGTTGGCTGGTTTTATGTCCACAATATTGAAGCTCTGGTCCTGGATATTCAGGTTCCATAGGTTGATCCGTAAGTCATCGCTGCTGATGTACGTTTCCCCGTCGCTGTTGACTGAGATGCTATTGATGTGGTAGGCATGAGCATTGGCATAGGTCCTGCGTGGCACAGCAGCAACTACTGTGTCATGATGGGTCAACCGCGGGAGCTTCAGGTCATCGGCTGTCTGGAACGAGGAAGATGGCGGAGGACGAGGGGCGCCACCGCCACCAGCGACATTGGCAGGCGTCAGGTCATGGGAGAGGTTGTTCTCCGCCACGACCTTGAGTGACTTTTCGAAGACCTTCCAAAGTTTGATTGTCTTGTCGTTGGTCGATAGAAGGTAATGCGAAGCATTCTGTCGGCGGCACCATTTGATCTTGTTAATCTTCTCCTCTATTTCAAGGGATTTCAGATAATCGAACTCGGGCTCGTGGGACTGGAACTCGGTATGGAACTTGTATTCGCAGGACTTCTTCTGCCATGGGTGTTAGTGCACGCTGTCGCGGGGGTTCGCTCTCATGACTGCTGTCCATCGACCCTTGAGGAACATACCGTTTCGTTCCTTTCGAACAGTACGACTCTTCCTCCTTTGTCGCCAGTGGCGAGATAGTTGCCAGTGTGATCGAACTCGACGGTGGAAATAATATCGGCTGTGGCACGCACGAGGGGTCAGTAATTACCCTGGTAGTGAAATGCTATTGTTGAGGGGGTCACGTACCTTCAGTGATGTCTTCCACATCTCCCTTGTCGCCGAAACACCTGTTGCACCATGTTGGCTACCATTGCGCGCGTGATACGGTCATCGGTACCTACTGTGTGAATTTCCACGTCGGGGTGTTGATGTCGCTGTCAACCATGGTGTTGAGTCGCTCGCGTGCTCTTGGCAAGACAAGATATGGAGTGTTCGATGACTATGGTACAGATGGCGCGACGTGACGTGACGGAGACTGCGAGGCTACGGTGGAAATCGAGGGGAGCGAGCGGTGATGGAGCTCGGAGCGTGTGGTATGGAGGGGAGTGGGGAGCTCTCGAAGTGGAAAGTTGAGAACGAAAGGCGGCGGCAGCGACGGGAAAGGACGAGATCACGGTCTTGCGATGATAGCGCTCAGGGCGAGATGGCGACTTAGTGAGCCTTTCTACTGATCAGTGCCAATTGCGTTCGATATTCGCTGGATTGCGTAGACGCCAACAAAGACAGTGTTGGCAGCGGCGAAATGGTGGATGATGCACCTTGCGTCGCTGGCTTAGCCCGACTGAGGGGAGGATTTATCGCGTTTGATTGACCGCTGCCCAATCCAAGGCGAAGTACCTTATCTCGCTGTTAGTGTGTCGAGTGACCACTGCACTCACTCAGTGAGTTAGAAACAAAGCCCCGCAGCTTGGATCTTGTTTTGTCTGCTACCTACCCTGCATCTTGCCTCACCAGTGTTCGTCGCTAAGGTAAGGGACCTTGATATTATTTACAATGTGTTTGCACCTAGTAGAGTACCATTTACTTGCCTGCTTAACGTAGGTAATTTATGGATTGGTCAGTTCGCTTGAATACATGTTGGCTCCCATGAAATAGTACGTGGTCAACCCGGAAAGAATATTTTTGTTGTAGAAGGGGCGACTCATTGTTTAAGGCCGGGAAGCGTGGGACAATCACATGCTGCTCATACAACTTCCGCGGCGACTAAGTTAGTAGGCGCCAAGATGGACAGTCCCGACCTATTTCAGGGAGTCCCCGTCTTAGCTAGGCTTCAAGGCTTTTCGGAGTCCTCCAAGTTATTACTGAGCCACCGACGACTCTTGATCGGAAGAGTGGGACCGACTTAGCCGAAGAGCACTACGTGTACGTTCGGGCCATACATGTATTGCCGTGAGCCCGACCCAAGACCAGCCCGGGATATCTAATTATGTCGTCGGGTTCAAGCTTTCACGAGCGGCATCGTGATTTGGGAAAAACGCCACAGAAAACAGCAACAATGACGAGGCATGTTACAGATGAAGCGCCCCCGGAGCTAAATGCCAATTCCGTCGAGAAGGACGTGGGCCAAACTGCGAGTGCTGAAGGCAAGGGCAAGGACACGGGCAGCAGCACCTCCGCCTTGGCTCGTTTACAATCGTCCAGCAACATGCTATCCCGAGCCGTGCTCTCGGGCTCTACGATAAGCGACGGATCAGAACCTTCGGCTGGAGCAAGTGTGGCCGCAAAGGCTGGAGGCAGCAGGCCGATCAACGGCCAAGGCGAGTCAGCACACACTGCGTACAGGAGTGTAAATGGTGGACTTGAAGCACCTGGTCAGTCACCTGGATTTCGGAGAACACAAGACGCTCCGCGCGCATCGGAAGACTTTGAGAAATTCATGAACGGACATGATAAGGACCCAGGGTTCATCATCGGGCACTCCAAAGGCAAGGGCATCGCTGAAGCGGATCTGGATGAGGCCAGGGATGGCTCTGGTGTCCTTGAGCTTCTGTCTAGTGCTGATGCGCTTGAGGAGGTTTACTCGATGTCGGAAAACGACGACTCAGTTGATCCCCAAGCCGCCGACATGCTGCGCAAGGCGCTTTTCGAGGCACCAGGATCGAGAAACGTCCCTTGGGATCATCTGCTTAACTTTGAACCCGACTTTATCAGTACCCCAAAAGGAGACTCCAATGAGGCTTTCAATCAGCTAGGGACAAATGATGTTGACGAGGCGAGGGAGATGTGGGTTGATCAATGGCGAGACGTCCTGTCGTCGTATACCGACGAAGTGTGGGGTGCCCTCGAGCCACTGGTGGTTGCAGCACGACAGGAGGTGGAAGCGGCAGCTGGTGCGAGCGATACCGTCCACAAAGATAACAACTTGAAAGCTAGTAATGGGGCACTGCAGAGATTGAGGATGATATTAGCTCACGTCAGAGGATCTTCATAGTCCAAGTCATTCCCACGGGGTGTTCAAGTACTTACTTAGTGCGAAGTGAGTGTGCAAGAGGCGCTTTAACATCTGCGAGTGTTCCTTGACCTTCGCGACCGTTGTTCGGCCAACGACAAGTGCGGGTAGTCCAAGGCTTGGCCAGCCGGGGTATTATGACGACTTGGGGACCGGGGTCCAGTCGCCTTACGGAAATTAATAACTGCGAAGAGGCTTCAAACCGCGATCGTTAGGATGCAACATGGCAGCAGTTCGAGCGCTGGTGTCAAGTTCTCCATAAGGTACCTTGCTTGAACCAGTAGCTGCAGCGGCCCAATCTGGCATTAGGTATTCGACAACTGGCGAGGAGTTGCATCCCTCCAACATTGGACTTCACGAGGCCCCAGGTGTCCTTGAATTCAAGTTCTTGGCGATTTCCCAGACGCGAACCACCTCAATTGCCCATCCAGCTATCAACAACACCCACCGAAACGTACCTCGCCAACTTTCTGTCGCTAGCCAGCGCACTGGACCACGTTCCTCTGCAAGTCAACCGACATGAGTGACAAATATGCGACTCCAGTATGGCTAGTTGCTGCTTGTGCCACCGCAGTTACAGCCTCGAGTATGCCAGCACCAACGTCGGCCCCCATTCCGCCGGTGCTTCTCGCCAGGGCCGAATGCCCCTCGAACATGTTTCAGTGCCCGACCTCGCTCGGCGCCGTGTTCAGCGACATATGCTGCGAAAATGGGCAGACATGTGCTCTCGACAATGAAGACAAGGCAGCTTGCTGTCCATCGGGGTCAGTGTTCCAGTGCTCAGCTTGTAGTGCAGAAGGGAGAGCTAACTTGGCCCCAGCGTTGTGTGTACTGGCGCTGCGCCGACTGGTAACAACCCAGCCCCAACACAAAGCCAGGGTACATCCTTCGTATCGAATTCGTACTTTTCTTTCCCGTACGCCTTCACCGACTTTGACAATAAAGCGGCCTGCACGTCCGCCCAGGATGCTTGCTCAGACAACTACGATGTGTGCACATCGAACCTTGGCGGTAATCAACGAGACCTTGCCGTAACGATCGAAGTGCCAGGCGGAGGCGGAGTAACAGTCGGTGGCTCTGGCGAGGCGCTTGCAACTTCGGAAGCCGCCTCGATTTGCTCTAGCCTTTACATTGAGGCCTGCTCTGCCGTAGAGACGGCGGATTGCGGCGAGTACGAGAATGGTGCAACGCAGCTTGGGGCACAGTCGGTATTGTTTACCAGGACGGCAGCACTGCTGATGGCATATTCGCTTGGTCTTCTCTTAGGGTGAATTTTGACCCTCGACGTCTCAAAAGCTTTTGATCGAGCCATATACGTATATACCCCCGAGCCAATCATTGGTGCACGGCAGGCTCTAGAGTGTTCTCAGACTTTATGCGCCAAACCTCCGCGTACAGGGAGAATCGCGCCGACACGACCAGGAATTGCAATTGCTACAATAGGAAGCAGCGCACCGTTCACTGCGGTCCACGATGATCCCCAGACACCTGCTTTGATGCTGTGTCACGAGAACCGACCTGTATTGCCCGAGGTCTCAAGAGGCATGAAGAATTTCAGAGCAGGTTACGATAGCTGCCCGAAAAAAACTTATTGACATGGTCAAGCTACTGCGGTTTCCGGTCGAAGCCAGTGCTGTCAAGCCAGTGCATTGTCATTATAAGATATCATAAGAAGGACCATAGTCTCAGCATTCTAACACGCATGTGCCACTTATCCCAACACTAACGTGAGAGCTTCATTGAGCTTGCCCGGATCTTGGTCTTCAAAGTCGAGTTCTAAAAACCGACGGGCCACAGATTCAGCACACTGCAGCTGTTCTTCCTCCGACTCACAGAGCTGCGCGCAGGCGAAGCTCAGATCCTCATCAAGTGCCACGAGGCGTGCAATAGCTTCGGCACGGTTGACCACAGCACTCGGAACTCCGTTCATAAGAGCGCAGTGGCTTCCATAACTGGAGTTGCTGTGTCCGGGCGCTAATTTGAACAGGTAGGTGATCTGGTCATCAGTCTTGCGCGACTGTTCATCACTCAAAATTTCCATGTGCGCTACGTCAAGTCCCGGGTGGTTTGACAGCAGCCCAGTCTCGAAGAGCTCATGGAAATGCGTTGCCAGCAAAAGCCGAGGGCTTGGCTTATCCCGATCCAAGAAGAAGTTCACTGCCGCTGCCATAAGCCCAGCGCCGTCGTCCGAGTTAGTGCCTTTACCAAATTCGTCTATCAATATAAGGCTTTTGGGTGTTGAGCTAGCCATCGCAAATGCCATTTGTCTCAGATCAATGGCAAAGGCGCTTTCGTTCCGAGAAACACTCTCCCTGGTGGATATGCGTGCGAGGATCTTGTCCGTGATACCGATTGTCGCGCGCTCAGCAGGCACAAAGCTGCCGACGTGCGCCAAGTACACAATAATGGCGGTCTGCTTCAGGTAGACACTTTTCCCCGAATGGTTGGGTCCTGTCAGAGCCAAACCCGCTTGACCTTTACCTTTACAGGCCGCGGTTTGATCGGCATCCATGTGACAGTCGTTTGGCACGAAGCAGGGCACAACAAGTTCCTGAAGTGGATGACGGCCTCCAACGATATGCAGCTCTGTTGCTTCAGTTAGACGAGGGCAGGTCCACGAGTACTTTTCAGCTCCTCTGGCGAGGGATAAGAGGGCGTCGAACGCGCCGCAGACGACTGACGCTTTGATCAGGGAAGACTCATGACGAAGTACTTGCTGAGCGAGGCTGTGGATGATTTCGACCTCTCTGTCACCAATCTCGCAGTAAATGTCGCCAAACTGCTCGTCAAGCTCCCTCATGTAGTTGTTCTTATAACACACCGCACCATCTGCCGTGAAAACCCTTTCCCACTGGTCATCGCCAGCAGCTTCGCCTTCATATCGTCCTTTCCCAGTCTGATTATCAGGCTCCACAACCGTTAGGAAACCAAGTTGTGGCAGGAATATGCAAGATCGTATATACTGCCTTGGCCATGCAGGAAGACTTTGTGTGATGTGGTTGATAACTTCAGTGAGAAAACTACCCATCCCATCATAACGACGTTTGAGTTCGTCTAGTTCAGGGTCAATGCCCACTCGAACAGACGGTCGCTGTCGGGATTTGGACTGTTCGAAATCGATCGTCTTGTTGATGAGACTCCCAATGACCGATAATGACTCGGGGTGAATCTCACCGAGAATCTTCTGGACAATTTGGATTCTCCGACCATGTGGCAATCTACCGACTAGATCCCTCAAGCGAAGCGCATGCAAGGCAAAGGTCTGGAGTCCAGCCCATACGCTGCGATCTGACGATTGAGTAGCCGATGGGGACTCGGCACCTCTTCGTAGATGTGCAATGAGCGAACTCGCATTCTTGATCTTCGACAGCACAGACCCAATGTCCTTGATATCAGTAGCGAGCTCCGGCTGGAGAAAAAACTCAATTGTTTGTTGCCGCTCGGCGATGAGTTCTTTGTCTACCGACGGACGAATCAACATCGACCTCAGGGCCGAGCGTCCTTGTGGCGTACAAGCGAGCGAGTGAAAAAGCCCATATATAGACAAGCTTTGCCTCGTTTCTGTGCCATTGCCGTTGGAGTTCCAGGTTTGGCCATTTGGGTGAAGCTCTGGTCGAATGATCTGCAACGACCGCAAAGTGTCAATGCCAACCATCATGTGTCCAGCCAGCGAGAACTGCCTCAAGGTCCGCACATGGAAGACCATCTCTGCCCTCTGACCGTCTGGTAAGAACCCTACAGACCTTCGTTGATGAAGGTCAGAAAGGACAGCACCAGCGCAGCTGACGGAGACTTCGTTGTCGAGATTGATGAGACCGCCACAGCGCAATGCTCTAACGTGGCTGGCTTCTCGCGTGCTGCAGCCGTCGTGGTGCAGGTCCAACTCGGCTGATGCAAGGCTCCCGTCATCCATCGTTGTGAACAGCGCATGGGATGGCTCAGCGGAATCCAGAACTAAGTGCATTAACTTGTCTCGAGCCGTTTGGTAATCGAAGTCCGCAGAAGCTAACGCCTTCAGCGTGAACCCGTTGCCTAGAGCCGTGAGTCTCACATACGAATCGGAATTGCTTGAAAGATAGATTGACATACTGCAGTCCATCCGAGATTTGTCTTCCAACAAGTCTAGGAGGCTCTCCACAGCTCTGCCAGAGACGATTACTGTGGTCGGCTCAGCCTGCAACAGGAATTGCTCTGCGACTTCCAGGTCTGCCATTATGATGTCCTCAGCGATCATAAGATCGCCATGGGCGGTGTCAAAATAAGCACAACCCATCGTGTCCTTGTTGCGCAATTCTATAGCCATTATCACTTCGTTCATTTCAGATCCGTCCCATGTTTGAGAGTGCTCGGTTGTTCCTCCAAGACCGTCGTCATGGTCTGCTAGAGTTGGCGTTGTAATCCCCTGCGCTTCCATTTCTGAAGACGGTTGGACTAGCGGGCTGATCTGGAGAACTTGGTGTGCTGGGGGATGTGTGTGATAGTGAGAGTGCCAGCCACTGGTCTGCTGCCCCTTGAAAAGCACTAGTATCGAAGCGGCTGCAAATGCTGTGATGTGAAAAATGTCACGACTGAGTGAGCAGTGCTCAACCCACCGAGTAAGTAGGGCATCTGCGTTGACAAAGGGAAGTAACAAACCACTGAGCGTCGACTTTTGTTCTAGTAGCACCCTTTCACAAGGAAGGTGCGATGGACAGCACGGGTATAGGAAATTGGCGGACACCAGTAAGTGGCTGAATTCGGTAGATTCATGCCCAGAGAATGTATACTATGCCGTTGCAAGACTTTGGTGAATAGAGAATAGTGTCATCCATTTCCCGCATGATGTTTGCTGTGCCTGGTAGCTCCCGTGCGCTTCAAGCTCGCACCACCAACATCACATGTGCTCGCGAGTGCGCAAGCACAAAAGAATCGGCAACCCAGAATTGATACCTTTGGCGATTATCTCGCGCCAGCCTCTTCCTCTTTGTCGTATGACTAGGTGCTCTCGCTCTTGGCCCACTCGGCAAACTCTCGTCGTTGCTTGCGAATGTCCACGAAGCCGGGCCTCGACTCCAGTGTGCTGAAAGGGTTACCCCTGTAGTCCTTTTCAACAGCTCCCGAACTGTCCCGAAAGCCTTCTGCGCCCTCGCGTTCAATCTTGCCAGCCCAAACGTTCCACTGAATTGGCCGAAGGTTCGGTGTGTTGAGGACAAGCCCGATGCAGACAGCCATGGTGGCAACTATCGTTTCTATGCTGATGTCGATGGGTAACGAGGTCGATGTGCCTGCTTGATTCGAGTGCTGCGCTGTTGTCGATGCTAGGGCGGCATGTTCTTGGGCAGAGTAGCCGCTATAGAAGATCATTAGACTCGTCCGGCAAAGACCCATTTGGCGACTCACGCGTGGGCTAGAAGAACCAAGCCCGTGAAGGTGATGAATCTAGGTATCCATGCCATCTTTGCAGTTGCGAAGAGTCTCGATGTCGTGACAGGTCGTCCACTCAGAGCTCTGATCTACGTGGGCAGGTCGGCAAATGACTAATCACCTGGAATTGGAGGAGGTGAGGGGGGTGACGTTGCGCTGTGCCAGGATTGGTCGGCATTCGTCAACGGAGAAACAATTTGACTGACTTGGGAGATGGTAGTAGCATCTTGCTGTTGTAGTATTTTTTGCGACGGTATATTGAATGAATACTAAACAAATGCACGGAAATATCATGATTTTCCGACACTGGACACATTTAAGGATACGCTCTTAAATAAAGCATGTGTACTCCAGTCCCAAACTCCCTAATACCGCCAGAACATCATCACTCCTAGATAACCGCAAATTTACCAACTCCCTCTATGGACCTGAACAACAAAACCTGAAATCCGTGGGGGCCAAAATTTTATGACGAGGCAGCAAAAAAAGACCGAAGGAAACATGAAAGACGCTTCCATTGAACGTTCCACAAGCCGGAAACGGGACACTACGCTGATCGCACAACGCATGGCGAAGAGCTAGGGAATAGTCAAGTGAGTTGCTCCAGAGGATCATCCTCCAGTCCGTGTGACCAGATGTTGGCGTCCCAAGTGTAATTGTGGTAGCCAGCATCGTGTTCTACCGGTTCAACATGCCATTCATTTGCGTCGGAACCCGGGAGTTGCTGGAACACCATATCTCCGCCGGGAATAGATGAAAGCACAGAGCCACCGCCTTGCCAAAGATCGGCAGAGTTGCGACGGGCTGGATCGACCGTCGACTCCTGGTAAATTGACGGATCAAGAAGATCAGCAAAGTTGTCTTTTGGCGGCACGCCAGCGGGTACCCGTGAAAAGTCGATGCTGGGCATGTTGGTGAAAGCATGAGCCGGCACGACATAGCCTGGTTCCTCCGAGGTTGAGCGTGAAGGGGTATAGTCTGAAAAGGATCCAGAGAGGCTCGGGTCGACAGCGCCGTAGTCCCACGCAGAGAGAGATGACTGCTGGCTGAAAGCGGGTGACACCGATCTTGCTAGACGACCTCGTACAGGTGTAGACCACTGTGACCCAATGCAGGGCGGTGATGGGTATAGAAAGCCCTCGTGTCCTCCGCCTAGAGGATGGGAGTGGTAGCCCGTTGATGTCGGGGCTGGACCACATGGAGTGTTGTAGGCCTCGTTCCCAGAATAACGCCCGGAATCGAACCGAGGAGATCCTTGATAGCTGACACTCCGATTCGAAGACCCCCCAGGCGTGCCGGAGTAATCACTAGGTGGGCAGCTGCCGTTGCGCATCGGCGTTGTAGGCGCCTGACGGCCTTGAGGTGATTGGTCTTGGCCTGTCTGGGTCTTCTTTGTGCCTGGTTTGTACTTGTAATCGGGAAAAGCCTTCCGCAACCCTTCTCTCTCGAGCTCAGAATACTTGGTATATCCGCGTTTGAATTCGTCCGATTCTTTAGCCCAGGACTCTCCCACAAGCGTCACCAGCGGTGGCTGAGTTCTGGCCAGACTGGGGTGATGGATCGTCATCCAAGCTTGCGCAACATTCGCATAAGCCTGCTTGTAGAGGAAAAAGACATTGAGATTCCGCTTGACGTAGCCGTCTTTCACAGCTCTGGTGATCCTCTTCTTGATGTCCCTAGTTGCGAAGTTATGCACACTGAGTGGCTGAATCTCATGGTCCTTCGCCCACCGGGAAAGGGGCTCAACCAGATCCGGAAACTGTTCTTTCTTGTCCTTCCGTCGTGGCTTTCCAGGTGCCTTCTTCTTGCCCTTCACTGTCTTCTTCGAACTCTGGAGGTCAAGCCCAGTATTACCATGGTGATTCGCTGAAGTATAGCTGTACCCATCCTGTTGCTGGGCCTGATGACCTATCACCGGCACTTCACAAGTGCTTAGCATGTCGTGCTTGGCCATTGACCCCTGTGGAGCCTCTGAATGATGTTCCGTGGCGTGTAGTGTATAGTCTTGAAGATTGAATATCGGGTGAAGGCGGGCATCTGCGCAGCCAGGTCCATCATCCAGCGGAGGGGTGTCATACCCTAACTGAGCGTGCTGGGACCATTCGTTGCCGCAGTCGCTCGTTGACATTGGGCAGGTTTGTGACAACTCGTCAGTCGATGGCGTCGGTGACGGTGCAGCCATTCGGGCCATCCTGTCACTGGCGGTGGGATGATACGCGAAGCGAGGGCCTGGTTCTCCAGGTTTATGAATGATCGAGAGCACAGAAGTCTTGATGCTCTCTGCCGCCGTAATCTAGCCACGGCTTCAAGCGAACAAGATCGTATCTAGAATCTGAAGTAAGTACAGTCAAGAGGAACCTGGCGAGGCGAGCTTGTGGAGATGCTGGATGATGGAGGAATAGAACACATGGGCCAGCAGTGCCTTTTGTCGCTACCGTCTAAGAGCTGCAGCGGCGCCTTGCGCCGTCTCCGTACTTTGTTTCCGGTGAGATCTGGACTTCGGTCGGTGCTGCAACCTAGAGCACTGCGGCGCAGCGCTTGTAAGCTCTCGCCAACCGATATGGTGTTCAGCTGCAGGTGCCATGACCATTGCCACAAATAGAACACCAAGCAGACTAGTTGCGTGCTTGTTGTTGATGTGAGGGCGCCCTGTCAAAGGGGCTGCTTTGCGGCTCGCGCCCCCAGAAATGAGCTCAAACCACGCGAGCGATGTTCATTGTCCATGGACAGCAACAGTGGTAGCGTTTCACGCTACAGCAATCAGGGAGACTGTTGGTCCGAGCGTCCGTTTATTTACCAAGCGCCACAAGGCTACGATCATTGGAAAGACTAGGGCGTTGACGGGGGGGCTGTAAATGTGACCGTTGCGGTTCTTGATTGGCTTCATCTCGCGTTGACCCCATGTCGGATTATCTGCTCAATAGATGTCAAAGGCCCGCTCCTTGGGACGCTGAGATCATCTACCCGACGACATGAGTTGCCAGAGACAGTTCTCAAATGTTGCTCCATCGATGCATGAAGTCGGCTGGCCCAGTCGTTGATCGTCGCGGAAAAGCGACTAGTGGATTGCCATATCTCCATAAGTGGTATTTCTGTTTGCCTTCCAGGCTCATCCATGATTGCGAGTCGACCAAAGCAGTGCGATACACGCAAGCAATCGCCGCCCTTGCTCCAAGGAACCAGGAGCTGCGACTCTATTTTTCTCACTATTCGCCTTGGTTGCATCCATAACGCTCAACAATCGTTGTGAATGCGGAGCAGTGACCACCAGGTGATCCGTTCCCTATTCATTTGCCTGGTGCCAGGTGGCAGGTGCACATTTTCCGTCAACCGAGTCGATCAGAATTAGATCTATCCAGTAGCGTGTTGCTAATTATCGTAGCGTCATTCTGTCTTTGGACATGCGCACATGCTGAGCTGCAGCAGGCATGGGCACAGACTTGGGTTATCCCCACACCGGTGACTGTCCTCGTCTGGAATCATGGTCGACTTATTGCTGGCTATTAGGCCTGCTCAATTCTTGGTGTTTGGTCGGAGGTGTCATGATCGTCTTCTGAGGCGTTGGCGAGAGGGTGATGCCTGGCGGTATGCGGATTGGTGTAATCCCGCTTTGGATTGTGCCGTTTGAAGTAAAGGAATTGTGAGGTGATTGTTTTGTCGGAGACATACCGCCACTAGCTGGGATGTTTCCATTTTGATCATGAGTGGCACGATATATTTCGCGACTGATGGCAGGCGTATTGAGTTTTGATTCAGACACCGGATGCATCCCTGCGGACGGAGTCGTAAGACCACCTGGGGTTCGCTCAGAGTACATAGCACTGGGAGAGTGCACCTGCTCGGGGGGGATAATGCGATTCTTGATGCTGGCATCATTTTCCCTCAGCCTTACAGCGCCGTTAGGCTCTGGACCAGTTTGCGTCATACATGGCATGCTGGTGCTCTCCGTGCTATGCACCTTCTCAACATTGTGTTTTTGCGGAGAGGGAGGGCGCGTACCCACAGACTCGGAACCCACAGCCTGGGTCGAATCCGCCGTATCGTTGTTTCGTAGATCGTCGACCATATGTTGGTGCGTATCGCTTGTATTCTGATCGCGTTTGATCTTCAGCTTGATGGTGGTATGTGGCTTGGCATTCCTGGCTTCAACCTGACGTCGCTTGCAAGCAGCGCATACGAAATGGGACTCGGGAGATTCCACTTCGTCCTCGCTGAGACCGAGACATCTGCTGTGCTGCCAGACATTGCAGCTCTCGCAGGCCACGCTGTGCGTGCCGTCGTCCACCTTACCATAGAGCCCACACACACAGTCGAATATCCATTCGTCGTCTTCATCGTCCAGGTCCTTCAAGGCTTGCTGGGCCCTCTCGATCTCGGCTTGCCTGCGTCGTTCAGACAATCTACTTTGCCCGTTTTCCTGGCATTTGCTGTCTTCAGAGAGGTGGGCGAGCTCCTCCTCATGTTGTATTCGTCGTGCTTCTCTTTCTCTTAACCTTTGGCCACGGGAGGCCATCCTGAAGTCTCTCTCAGTCTCGCGCTTGAGGCGAGCCTGCTCCTCGCGTAGTCTCGTCAGGGCAGCTTGCTGCTGCTGCTGTTCTTCTTCCCTAACCTTCTCCTCGAGCTTCTGCTGTTCGAGTTTGCTGGCCAGACGGCTGGACCGCTTCGCATTGGCCAACTTTGCCATGGTAAGCAGTTCACGCTCTCTCTGAGCAATCCTGCGCTGTCTGCTCTCCTCTTGTTTCTCCAGAATGGGCAGAAGATGTTGTTCGAGCTGTTTGCGTAGGACCTTCTCGTTTTCGTCCCGACTTTTCCGAAACCCATCGATCAGCAGCCGGGCTTCCTCCAAAGTCACAGCAAGACATTCCCACACCATACCCCCCAGCCCATCGTCAGGAGCCTTGGCGGAATCATGATCCTTCTGTGGCTGCTCTTGTTCGCTCATCTCGTCCAATTCGGCGTCCAGTTCTGCATTTGTTTGCGTTCTTCGTCTCTTGCTCGATCGACGACCGCTTCGAAAGGCCTTCTTTGATCTCTTTTTTGAAGTGGACGGAGGAGCTGGCGGTGGCTCTGTCAGGCGGTAGACTCGGTTGTCGTCGAGCACAAAATAGGTACGATCTTCACTGTCCCAACCGTAGGGCTCAATACGCTGTTGTCGATTCGTTAGTCTCAGCCCCAACAAAGTCGGAGGAATGGAACGGACCCAAGTTGTTTGGTCGATGTCACGCTGCTCGTCCATTCTCTCTCGAATGCGCTCGGGGAAGATCATGACCCACTGAGTCAGCTGCTGTAGCACGCGGATCTGTATCGTCAGCGACTAGTGACCTGGGGGTGTGTTTGCCAGCAGACCTTTGTGGGTACATCGAAGTCTTGAAATTTCGCAGGCGCGTCATCGTTTCCAAACGGATTTGCGTCGGGTGCCTTGTCCAAGTACTGCTTGCGAGCCTGGCTATCGAAGATATCGTGACTGTATGCATGGGTCATCAGCGATTGCCCGGAAGGGTGGGAGGGGGACCAACGTCAACCCTCGATGCGAGGATATGAGTTTGAGGAGAGCGAGGGCGATGTCGCAAAGCAGATTCGTTTCAGGAGTCAGGCAGTCAGATTCAATATCCTAAATTTGATTAGACACGAGGATTGTTATCATCGGAGAAAGGGTGTACAACCTCGATGTCAATGTTTTCGTCGATCCGCGCAGCTTTACCAAACGTGTAGACCCATTGGCAAAAGTTCGCGAATTGCCACATGCCTCGAAGCGTGACAAGAAGAGAGTGATCGGGCTGACCACCCTCAACAGTGTCGGTAGGCCTCTTTCGCGTCGGCATACTGGCGTTTTGGGGTGCAGTGTTGCAGAAGCTGCTGTCAATGAGCCGCTGCTCGAGAAAGTTAAGCCGAACGAGATGCAGCTCGCGGCCTGAAGCACGCGTTACGACATGACATGGACTTGAGAATCGGGTCCAGGTCAGATTGTGGCGCGCCTGTACGCGCTAGTCCAGATAAAGACGATACTAACCGGGGCAGCAGACTGCAGGGACCAGCAACCCCCACAGGGCAGGCAGTCAGCGTAACTTTCAGGGGCCGTCGTGTATCATTGGCACTGTATTCCGCGCCTTCTTCCGATGCTTCCCCCGCGCAGCACAGTGCGAGACCAATCCTTTCTCAGACAGCGAATTTCTAAGAATAACAATACCCTGTCGTCGTGCTGATGAGCCACGCAATACGGGGTACACTCCTGGAAACTGTACGAGTCTGATCACAAACCATCCCGTGGCATGTAACGACGTGCATCTAATTACTACGTACAATCTCGAACCTCCGCATCCCACCCCGATCAGAATCAGAATACCCTCACGAAATATGCGGCATCGCGCGCTCTTGCTTTCTCGGCGCATGTAAAGCTGAACCTCCCCGATATCCTCTAGTGCCGCCAAGCGCCCTTCGTCCCTTCCGCCAATGCCTACCGGAACCCATGGGGGCTCGTCGACACCGCGGCGCGGGTCAATAACGTCGCGAGATTTGAACAACTCCGGCGGGAGTAACAACGGAAGACATGGCTCCTCTCAGCTCTTGGGGCCTTCAATGGCTTCGGCTTCGCCAGGTTCCCCGTCGAACCTCCCAACAGTGTCGCCTTACTGGGATCAGCCATACGACGCCCGTTCCGACGATGCTTTGAGTGACGACTCGTACTTGGATCCAACGGCTCTACAAGCGGCGCTTCCTCCCGACTTTCGCTCCTCCCAGGACTCAGCTGTGGGCCACAGTAGTACCTCGTATAACGACGGTGGACGGTTCGCCGGCGAAGACGTCCTGTCGCGGGGCCAGATTGGCGCGGATGCAGACACGGTCCCACTGACATCGAGCGCGCAGCCCATATCAGGCTCCCTCAGTGTCAACAATCACCCCGAGTCCCATCCCAGGGATAGCTTCCAAACGGTTTCCGATGTCGACAATAGCATCCGCGGGCCAAGGGACACACTCCATCCCGAAGATGTCGAATTTGGTCGTCGTGGTTCCAGACACCGCAGCTATGGCATGTCTCTCATGCCGAACGAGTCAACGGGTTCGCGCCCTTCATCGACATCAGGCGCCCTGTCTCGCGCAGGATCCATTGTGCGAGCAATGTCACAGAGAGTGGTCAACATCAGCGGAGAAGCAGAACTGGCGGAGCAGATTGCCTCGAGGCATCGGTCGAGGTCACCTGCAGGATCAGAGCGTGGGTTTGGACGCGATCGGTCGCATTCTGTCTTTGAGGACACGGCGTATCACTCGCCCGCAGCCCACTTGGCTTCTGAGAAAGCCGAGGACCAGCGACGCTCGTCAGCTGAACTGCCACATGAAGTTCCTCGACAACCGGCACCCAACCCACTAAAAGGCCGTACGCTCAACACATTCACTGCAGACAGCCGTGTAAGGAACTGGCTTTGTGACTTGCTCGTTTACCCTTATACCGAGCCGCTAATTCTACTGCTCATCGTCCTTCAGACAGTGCTTTTGATCGTCGAGTCGGCCACAAGCGTTTATAAGGATGGTAATGGGCGGCCCGATCGATGGGGTCAACGTTGGACAGACTGGGCACTGCTTGTTTTATTCATCATCTTTACCATGGAGCTTGTTGCGCGCATCATAGTCTCGGGCTTCATCCTCAATGCTGCTGAATACAGCACCATCGACCGGAAGAAGGGCCTCCGCGTTGCCTTGACAAACCAGTACAGATCTATTTTTCAACCCGAGAAGCAAAAGTCCACCAAAACCAACAGCGTGCACGTGGTGCCGGAGTCTTCCACAATATCAAGGTCTTTCACTACACTTGTCCAAGGGCAACAAGCACTCCCCGAAACCCTAGAGGAGCAGCAACGATATCACTTGGCGCGCCGCGCCTTTCTCCGACACTCTTTCAATCGCCTCGATTTTGTCGCAGTGGTATCGTTTTGGATCTCCTTTGTCCTGGGCGTGGCCGGCCTCGAAAGCCAGTATCACCTCTACGTCTTCAAGATGATGAGCTGCCTGCGTATTTTGAGGCTCTTGGCTCTGACACATGGTACTGCAATCATCCTGCGGAGTCTCAAAAAGGCTGCGCCACTGCTGGTCAGAGTAGCCTTTCTCATAATTTTCTTCTGGCTACTATTCGCCATTATCGGAGTTCAGAGTTTCAAGTCAAGCTTGAGTCGACATTGTGTGTGGCTTGACCCCGAGGATCCTACGAGTTTGGAAGCGTCATATCGCCATGATGATCAAACTTGTGGCGGACACCGTGATAACGACACCGGCCATGTGCTTCCTTGGGTTTGGATGGTTCGCCCTGGGGACCTTGCCGACCTGGTAAATGGCACAGATGACGGTAAAGGCTATATTTGCCCGAGGGGCCTGATCTGCCTGAAACAAGACAGCCCTTATAACGATACGGTCAATTTCGACAATATTTTACAATCCTTGGAGCTCGTCTTTGTCATCATGAGCAGCAATACATTTACAGGGTTGATGTACGACACGATGGGGTCTGACTATACCGCAGCTGCTTTATTCTTCGCAGCCGGTATCATGATCTTGACTCTTTGGTTAGTCAACTTGTTGATCGCCGTTATCACGTCGTCATTCCAGGTCATTCGGGAGGAAAGCAAGTCTAGTGCGTTCACAGCGGACCATCACCGCACACTCGCACCGGATGCAGGAGATCAGTATCGCCGACCTTCACAACTGCAGGTCATCTACAGCAAGACGCGCTTGTTCTGGGTCTTGGTGATTGTGTTCGGCCTTTTCTGCCAAGCACTTCGTTCAGCAAGTATGTCAAAAGATCGGGAACGGTTCATCAACGTAGCAGAGATCGTTGTCACCATCGTCCTGGATCTCGATATGCTTGCCAGGATCATTACAGATTGGAGGGGATTCCATCGCAGCCGCCAGAACCTATTTGATCTTTTCCTGGCTGTGATTACATCAATCATTCTTTTGCCGGTCATTAGGCGACACCGCGCCTATGCGTGGCTTACCGTCTTCCAGATTGTGCGAGCATATCGCGTGGTGCTTGCCATTCCGATTACGAGGCAGCTCATTCTTCTGGTGCTGGGCAATGCAGCTGGTATCGCCAATCTGATGATGTTCGTCTTCCTCATGACCTTTCTCATGGCTATTCTCGCCTCTCAGCTATTTCGTGGAGAGCTACCCGTGTTCGACGATGGCGAGCTGGTGCGGGCGTCATTTTACACCATCTACAACTCATTCCTTGGCATGTACCAGATCTTGACCAGCGAGAACTGGACAGACATCCTTTTCAGTGTCACCGGCTATCTGACAGATCGCAAGACGGCTTGGATTGGGGCGACGTTCCTAATTGGCTGGTTCATCCTCTCCTTCTTCATCTTGATCAGTATGTTTATTGCGGTCATTCAGGAGAATTTTGATATATCGGAGGATGAGAAACGCCTGGAACAGGTGAAAGCCTTTTTGCAACAGAAGGAGTTGGGCTCTTCATCAAGCAACCTGGCGCTGTCCACCGTCTTCACTCTAGGGAGATCGCATCAACGCAGAGATCCCCTGGACTACGGTCCCGCTATGACTGAGATGTTGCTTAAGGACGCCGTCGTTCGGGAGTTCCTCGATGAGCCGGCCGCAGCAGAGCGTGACCATCTACCCGAACAAGGACCGCCCCAACGAGCTGCGACCAATCTACTTGGTAATGTCAAAACAGGGTTTCTCTCGAAACTCTGGGGTCGCCTAGTTCGCCGCGTTGCGAAAAGGGAGCCGAATCCATTCTACTCCAATACCGATTTCAACAAGATGAAAGAGACACTGGATGCCAGAGAGATGGCTCAGCAAGCTGTCTCGGCCTCGTCGGAGCGCCGAAGAGCGCAGCGAGAATATCTTGCAAAACACCCCACTTACAACAACTCCCTCTACTTCTTCACCCCGAGGAACAGGCTCCGCCGCCTGTGCCAAAGGCTCGTTGGTCCGGCTAGAGGAGGCGAGCGGTTTGACGGCGTAGAACCCAACAAAGTGGCATGGTTCATATTTTCCGTGTTCATCTATGCTGCCATTGTCGCCATGGTAGTGATCGCCTGTATCACGACACCACTGTACCAGCGGGAATATCAACTGCGACATGAAAACGACCACCTCAAGTGGTATGTGTGGACAGACTTGGCATTCGCCATCTTGTTTACTGGAGAGAGCATCATCAAGATTATCGCGGATGGCCTCGTCTCGACTCCTAATGCGTATTTGCGAAGCTCCTGGGGATTCGTCGACGCTGTCGTGCTGATCACATTGTGGATCAATGTTGGCACGCTGATTGTGAACGATGGCGCAGTTTCGAGGGCCATTGGGGCTTTCAAAGCACTGAGGGCTCTGCGCCTTCTCAACGTCAGCAACAGTGCGAGAGATACTTTCCATTCGCTCATTATCGTTGGGTGGTGGAAAATTTTCGGAGCAGCATTCATTTCGATTTCGCTGCTTATCCCGTTTGCAATTTACGGGTTGAATCTCTTCAACGCGCTTTTGGTTTCCTGCAACGATGGCGACGGCATTGTCAGTCTACAGCAATGCTTTGGGGAGTATCAGGACATCCCTTACAGTGACGATTGGCCTCTACTGGCTCCAAGAGTAGCCTCGAACCCCTATTACAACTTTGACGACTTTGGATCTTCGCTCTTCACGCTTTTCCAACTTGTCAGTCAAGAGGGCTGGGCTGACGCCACATACACACTGCAGGCAATCACGGCCAGAGGCCAGCAGCAAGAGGACCTGGCTTCTCAGGGCAACGCCATGTTCATGGTCGTATTCAACATCATGGCGACGGTCTTCATCCTCACCCTCTTCATATCTGTGTTCATGCGCAACTACACTGAGCAAACAGGTGTGGCGTACTTGACCGCAGACCAGCGATCCTGGCTTGAACTTCGCAAACTTTTGCGCCAGATTTCACCGTCTAAAAGCTCGTACGATCGCACTGGCAGTCACAAGCTGAAACGTTGGTGCCATAAGAGGGCAATCGAGAAGCGTGGCAAGTGGTACCAGGCCGTTACGGTTGTACTCATACTGCACCTGCTGCTGCTGGTGGTTGAATACACGGGTGAGCCTTTCTGGTGGACGATTACCAGAAGTTTATTGTTCGTCGCCTTTAGTCTCGTCTACTTGGGCAACGTAATCATCCGTGTGTTGGGCCTCGGGTGGGCGCGATATCGCAAAAGCTCCTGGGACTTGTTCGCTCTCTTTACCGTCTCTGGGGCCTTGGTCTGCAACATAGCACTTGCGGCGACTTCATACGGTCGAGATAGCGTGATGCAGATCCACAAGTTCTTCCTTGTGGCTATCCTCCTCCTGATCATCCCTCGCAACGATGCTTTGGATCAATTGTTCAAGACAGCTGCCGCGAGTCTGCCTGTGATCGGAAATCTCTTGGCAACTTGGCTGGTGCTGTTCCTCGTCTTTGCTATTGCGTTCACCCAGGCTTTCAGCTTGACGCGATTTGGCGAGGAGGCGGCTAGCGACATCAACTTTCGATCCGTTCCCAAGGCGCTCATTCTCCTATTTCGGATGAGTTTCGGAGAAGGATGGAATGCTGTCATGGAAGGATTTGCGGCCATTGAGCCCCCCCTCTGCGTGGAGGAGGACAATTTCTTCGACAGCGACTGCGGAAGCAAGCCTTGGGCAAGGTTCCTTTTCGTCATGTGGAACCTGCTGAGCATGTACATTTTCGTCAACTTGTTCGTTTCGCTCATCTACGAAAGTTTCAGTTATGTCTATCAACGCTCGGCTTGGGTGGCTGCCGTTGATCGGGATGAGATACGACGCTTCAAAGAAGCCTGGCGTCATGTCGATCCTGCTGGCACCGGTGCTATCAGCAAAGAAGCCTTTCCACGTCTGCTTGGAGAGCTGTCGGGCGTGTTCCAGATGCGCATCTATGATCCCGAAGATTCGGTCCATCAGATTTTGGACGACGTGCGGGACGATGCCAAGACGGCTCGACACACGTCCCTTGCAACACACAGTGGCGCTACCGAGATTGATCTCGATAAGCTGAATGCAAGGATTGCTAAATTGGACGTGGCGAAGATCCGTGAGCGCAGGAGGCGCTTCAACATCTTCTATGAGGAAGTTCTCGTCAGTGCTGACCCTGACAAAGGCATCACATTCACAAGTGTGTTGTTGATTCTGGCGAACTGGAACATTATCCACGATAGCAAGAGTTTAAAGTAAGTTTTGCACACGCGAGGCATCCGGCACGCTAACTCTCAATCTAGACTCGACGAGTTCCTCCGACGACGTGCACGGCTGCAGCGTGTCGACGACTCCGTACGACGGAAGACTGTCCAGGGCTTCTTTGACACGCTCTACTGGGCCAGAAGGTTCAAAAAGCGGCTCCAGGCTAAGCAGTCTGCGCGCATGACTGGCGTGCCGCAATTAGATATTCCGGACATTTTTGTGGATGACGAGGACGACACAACGCAAGGCACGCGGACCCCAAGAGAATCGTCACGACGCCCCTCGCTTCAAGCATCTCCCTCTCATCTCAGCGTCGATGGAGGCCACAACTCACCCAGAGTCTCGTCCGAAACAGCGGGTCCGGCATGGCACAGTGGTATTCGACACCCCCTCAGTGCACCGAGATCCGCAACATCAACGCCATCGCCCCCCGGAACGCCGTCAGGATTTGGTTTCGACCTCTTGGAAGGTGGACAAGCACGCTCTTCGACTGACTTCAGCCGCCCAACGAGCGCTGTTAGCCCATCACAAGCTCGTGATCTGCTGGAAGATTCCGCATGGCTCGACAGCATTCGCCGGAGCACAACACGGCGTTCTGATGGCAAGAGCTCCTATCGATACGCGGACCTAGGATAGCATAAATGCAAGCACCGGTCCTTCTAGCGCATTTTTCTTCATTCTCAAATCATGATTGTCACGGCGTTACAGCGTTACGTGTCCTGGTGCAGCGAGGCGTTTTCGGGTCAGATCTCAGATATAGAACGGCGGGAAGCGATGTACGTGACGAACGACACGATAATAGAAAGTTTTCTTTTCTTGCTCGTGAAACATGGACTGGACAGCTCATTGTGTGTTTTAGTACTCTGCGCAAGCATATCCGCCGCCTGTTCTCGCGTATTTGACCTCAACTTCTGGGGCTGTTTTCATGCCACTGATTATAGTTCTGAAGGGGTGAGCGAGTTTATCAAGTAGATGCGGGCGACATGACCAGCGACGCACTCTTACTAGGCATTAGGTAGGACAATGGACGCCCATCAGGTCACGGGCGTCGTGTACTTTGTCCTCGTGGCTAGGGACTAAACTAGTCCACTCGCGAGCTGCCAAAGTTAGCACATGGATCATTTCCAAGTAACAGGTTCAATTGCCCGTCAGACATAATCATGACTGTTGTGTCAATGCCTTCGTTCATGTTCACGCAGCTCATTGCTCTTTGTGGCTCGGCGTCGCAGAAAGCCAACCTGAAACGACGGGGCGAAACCCCCGAGCCCCCTGATGTTGGACAGTTACTACTAATGGTTGTCTAGCGTGTAATGCCCATTGCTTCAGGTCTGCTGCACGGTATAACGTAGTACAGTTTGTTTAAGCGAAGCTTGTGCTGGATCAACAAGTCCAATTCAGGCCAGACAAAACGTCACGAAGCCGAGTACTAATATATGTGCCCATGTGCCATCCCTGACTCTTCCTCCTCACCTTTGCTCATTGTTCTTGATATTTCGCTTGTCGCTCGCTTCATTCATTATCAGCAGGCTGGTCCTGATTTCTATTCGTTCTATATTTACATCACACACGCTCACTTACTTTCGAGTCGACTCGACAGTGTGCAGGCACAGTTGTTGAACTGAAGATTGTGGTGACGGACCAACGACACAGCTCTCTAAACTCACTCTTGAACCGCAAACGATGGCATCTTCCACCATTAGATCAGTCATTGATAGGTTCTCTATCACCCGGTCACTGCGTCGTGCTTCAGCATCATCAAACGCCTCTACCGACAGTACATCCTCCACTGCCAGCGCTGTCAACAACAGAATCTCAAGAATACCGTCGATCGCCAACCTAGAGATAGAGCGGCAGGTTGTCCCGCAGGAGCTCAGAGTGCTATTGGAACCCAGGCCCTTGGTCTACTGGGAGAGTATGGATGGGAGGATGGGTTCCTTGTGCTTCTAAGCTGCCAAAGGAACGATGCACAAGGCGACGTGCGATGTTTACGACTTGAGACACGAACTACTGGACGATTCAGGAAGAACAGGATACACAAATGGGGCACTGGGCGAATTACGTTCAGCAATATGGTCCTGGGAGAGAAGTCATGAGTCGATGCAGCAGGCACCATGCTGGACATGCTGGCTGAAGACACACTGCAATGCTAGCGACAACATTTCAACCTGTAGAGGCGTACTCGGGTTGGCCATGTTACAAGTACAAAGGCAATAATAGAGTGCATCATTGCACCCGTAGTATTGCGTTCTTTCTACAAAGACAAAGCACCCCAGCTCGGTCAACAACACGCATGCTAGCCCTCAAATTTCATAAATTCATCAAGTTCGTGAGCAGCGAACATGTAATCAAGCTCCCGCGAAATCAATGGCGCCCGTCCTGCGAAGACCATACCCGGCTGGTCTTCTTCCACACCTGTGTCTATAGCCGCAAGCCATCACACGCTGAGCGCAGGAAGCCATAGCTGGACAATGCTGCGAATGAGCCACCACGATCCCGCTACCGCACTAGTCACAAGCACTGCCAAGAAAACCAGCATTGTGCTGCGGATCTTGAACGCATCCTCTGTCTCCATTCGCAGAAGCTTCTTCTGCTTGGTATGGTAGTACCATGGAACACCGGTGCCGGCATTGGGTGAGGTGCCATCCTCGTACGGGCGGTACAGCAGGGCGTGAAGCCAGGCTGGTAGTCGGCTGTGAGCTTGGGCGTGGTTGTGTGATCGCTTGAGCGAGTACTGGATGTCGATGATGACGAGCGACAAGACAAAGGTGATGAAGTTGACGGGTGTCATGACAAGCTGTTCGCTCTCAGGGGTTTGCACAGTCACCCTGATGTTGAAGCACTCACATTGTACAGCGCAGAAGGTCGTGATGCATTGCTCGCAGGCATGCCGCCAGCAGTGCGGGACGATGGTGGTGCCGAGGCCATGGCGAATGCTGTCAATTCGGCTGTTGCTGGAAGCCTAAGAGCCTGGAACCGTTTGTATCCATGGAACTTGAAGAACTTGAATTCCTGTGCCGTGATTTAGAACTGAGCTATGTACGTACGTACGTATTCAGGACTTCCAGTAGGGTGCCGGGCGGAAGAGTCGGCCCCAGAATTATGTCGTCACACGCCAACAAGCCCGATGGAATGATGGATGCAGTGCTGATCATCCAGTAGTTTGTAATACTATGTACATTAATGACCGAAGGACTCGAGAAGGAAAGCCCGCACGCAGCCCCTCGTGAGAAGTATAGGAATTGTTGAAAAGTGGCAGCCTTAAAGTACACACATAGGTACTTACCCTAGATAAGACTTGATATTCATTGCTAGCCCTCCCCTTGGCAATTGCGTATAACTTCATTCGTAGATCTAGATCAAAGCAGATTTTTATCATTGAACCCGTTATCGGTCTTGTTATCCATGCGTCCGGCAACTTGTCAATCTCGTCCGTCCGCCGGTCATCTTGCTCGCCTAGTAATGATCGCAGTTATCGGCTCGGCAAGACGCGGTTGTTGGGTCGTGGAAAAGTCATCTCTATATATACTCAATATGCAAGCCGTTCTGTCACATACGACCATACCCAGTGGAAAATACGGGATCCCGTCCGCTCTCCCATAGTCAAGCCGCTGAGGGGCTGATTAGTAGTTGGGTCGGTGACGACCAGCGAATACCGGCTGTTGTATGTTTTTTTTGCTTCCCCTCGAACACCGACTGTTGTATTTTTTTTTTAGCTCCCTCTCTCTAGACCTAGACTAGACGTTCCTGCCAACGTTATCATTGTTGAGTTCTCCCTGCAGATCTTGAAAAACATCAACTTGGAACATGCCCGGATCGAAGAGCGGCACGCAATCCTCAAACATGCAGGCCGGCTTGCGCTCGAGCTCCAACTTGGAGTGCCCGCTCAACCCGGCGCAATAGCCCCTGCGAGGTCACTTGTCACAGATGGCCTTCACGTCATCTTCGTGGACAAAGGCCTTGCTGAGCCCCAGGAGATCGTGCCCAGCGCCGAGCACGATAAGCGCAAGGGTTAGCCTGCAGCGCGAGCTGAAGTCCCTGAACTCGATCGTGTGTCGAGCAATGGACTCGCATGCCTCGTCCGCCCACCCGAGAGGCAGTTCCGGCGATCTTCCCGCCGCGACAAAGTCCACTCCTGTGCCAGAATCCATTCTCGCGCCATGATGCCGCCCCAGAGCTCGAGCGACATGCGACTCTTTAGCCCGTCCTTTATATCAAATCCCATCTCGTGGAGGGCCCATGCGAGGAAGATCAACTCCCTGTCGAAACCCAGTTCGCGGGCCCTCACGCTTCGATCCCAGCCTGCATGGTTCGCAATGGCGAGCGTGAATGCGTAGGTGAGGAAGGCGTGGTTGCCGATCCAGGCTGGAAGATATTCTCCAACAAAAGTCTCTGACTTCTTGCAGATGGCTGAGTCGGGAACGCTGAAGAACCCGGCGCCTTTCGGAGTAGGAGGCAGCGCGTTGAGGGATGCGACGTGCTCAAGAAGTGGTGTCGGAACGGCAGACATGGCTGATCTGCTTGGAGGAGTATTGGGTGTACTGACCGACGTCTACTGGCCCAAGAAACAGTGATGGGTGTCGAACCTCGCCGCAACCTCAGGTGTTGATGATGTGAGGCTGTTGTGCTTTTATCTCGACTCGTCGCACAAGGCCGTGCCATCGGAACGACCCCTATCAAGCGGGTACCCAACTACCAATGCATCTGCAATGCATCTGACCATGTTCGTGTTGACAGATAATGATCAATGGGCGCCGTTTACACCCAAACGCGCCAGGTGATACGCAACATCAACCTCACGCCGCTCATGTCGCTGGGAGAAGGTGTCGGATTGCTATTTCTACTCTGGTGCCCCTATCAAGCCGACTGCTTCCTCGCCTCGACCTCGATCTCAATCTGCATCGGCGGGAACGCCAACCTCGGCACGCCAATGGCCGTCCAGACAGGCCGGTGAGGGATGCGGCTCTTTAGCTTCTTGACCGTCAAGTCAAAGGACGTGCCAATGTCGACGTGGTATGTGCGCATCAGGTATACGTCCTCCCAGCCGCGGAAGCCGGCGGCCTGCAGAACACGGTCGACGTTCTCGAACGCGAGCTCGACCTGGCCTGCCACGTCGTCGGCGTCCACATTGCCGGTGGTATCCCATCCGCCCTGGCCGGAACACTTGGCGACATCGCCGAAGACAACGGCCTGGGAGTAGTGGCATAGGTCGCTGTGCTTCTGGCCGGCGCCGGCGTCGTTGAAGTATTGCTCGTTGGACATTTTGACAAGGGGGGGGGGGGGGGTTCGGGCCTCGATGCGTGTTAGCTTTTGTGCGTACGTATACAATTGGGGTGTCAAATTATCAAAGTAGCAGTTTCAATTTCATACATTGTACTTGAGAGCTGGGGGTCGGGTACATGTATCTTCTGGCAGCGACAGGGAGCTGTTGCGTTCTCTGGCACTCCGTTGCTTATAGCCTTTCAAGCTGCCCCGTTGAGCTGTGCTACCTTTAGTAATGTATCAACAACACGGCAAAGCCGGCTCCGATGATGCCTGTGAATCCACTGTCTGCCCTTATTACCCCTCGTCCACACGAGATTGTTGTCCTACGTAGTACGTATCTTACGTAGACACGCGTGAGTCGTGACGCACTAATCAAGCCTGGGTTGAGGCGGCTCGGATATCGGTCCGAATTCAGGGGGGCGTCAGTTGACTCAGTTCTCCGTACTCCGTACTGATACTCCGATATGTACTACTCCGGAGTCCGATATATCAATGGGAACCATCTCCAACTACTGTAGCGCCGCCCGATGACAAGGCAAACCAACAAACAGCCAAGCAATGTTCCGGGCAAAATGGCTCCCAGATGCCTCCAGTCCGGTGATGAGGAGGCGTGATAAACAGAATGAGCCCATGTTTCTGCACAATTACGTGGTTCGACGATCCTTCCACCCTATCTTCTACAGAACGAGCATGATACCCCAGTCTCCTCGACAAGTCGGGTGCTACCCAAGTACATAGAAACGAACAAGTCGAGGAACACGGCCATCTTCATCACACTATAAGGCTCTGACGCCCCGTGGCCATATGCTCTCGGGGCAGACAGGCCGGCGACGCCAACTAAGAGGTTCCCCTGGCTGCCGGGTGAGGCGTCATCTGACGAAAACCTGTAAAGATGTAGATGTAGCGGCGTAAAAGCGGTGGAAGAGGGACTGGAGACGGTATCGCTGAAGCGAACGCGTATCAACAGGCTTTGAAATCAATGGGTGGACGGTCTTACCAGCACCACCCACGGGACTCGCAGCCTGATCAACGAACTGGGTGTCGATGGTGAGATGAACCTAGAACCAGCGCGTCGCGGCGGCGGGAAATGCTTCGCCGACTTGTCGTCTGCCTTCATAGGCTGCTAGACAGGAAAAAAGTGGTGAGTACAACAATTCCTGGACCACAGGTGACGCGCTATGGAAAAGTGTCAAGCAACGCGGGGCTTATTATTAGTCTAGTGTGATGCTCGGGTTTGGCTAGCTATAGGGTAGATATATCGGAAGTCGTTTTGTGAGGAAAATCTCTAGGCGGCGACATAGAACGCAAAGCACGGCTTGGTGGACTATCAATGTGGGATTCAGGAGAAACAGATCATCGGAGTCAAGAGGAATGATCAGTAATACTGGGAGTAATAGAAAATTCAGGAGTAATTATGATGGAATGTCTTGATCTATACGAGGAGTATCTATCGCAGAATAATCTATCGGCGAGTTAAAACGCACTATACGTAGCTAGGCAAGCTACGTTGACCGTCAGGATTATTGAAGTGATTGATAGAGATGGCTCTCAATACAGAATTATTTGTGTCTTCCTATCAGGGTGTTCCGCTGCAGGATCACGGTCATCGGCACCGAAGAGTAATTATCTAGCAATTAGGGAAGGAAACATTCTGGTGACGGCAATTCAGTGACCAGTCACAGTCTTGCCGGTCTGGGTATTCCCGTACTTCGCCCGGCCGTCAGGCTCTCGCTTATTAGGTAGTTCAGCTTGTCGGCCACAATGATCAACTCGATGTTGCTCCAAGAGATGGCCATAGCTCGCATGACCCTTGTCAGCAGCCTCCCTCGGCATCCCCCATCTGACCACATCCGTGCTCTGCCCTGACCCAAGTGATGCGTCCTCCTTCTGCATCAACAAACGCACGGCCCCGATCCCCGATTCCAAACGACCAGACACCCCCAATCCCGACGCCGACGCAATTAATAAAGCACCACCAATCTTACGGATACAATTCTTCGACGGCACAGCGGGGCCGGGCTTCAGAAGTAACGAGCGACCTCCGTGGGTCCAAGTGCTAGGAAGGGCGCAGCTCAGCAATAGCTAGCCGTGAGCCTTGTGGCCGTGAACGCCATGGATCCTCCGTACCATCCGTCCGACGCGACGCGACAAGCGAATGCGGAACGACCGTCAGCGTACGAACAAACCCCCTACTACCAGTCGCAGAATGGCCCCCCTCCACCTGCTCCAGGCCACTATCACCATCAACAATACGTGCAACAACCTCTGGCGTACCCTCCATCGGACATCACGCCGCAATATCTTCCGCCACTTCACAACGTTATACACACGACTAGTACGCAAGATGCGCGTTACCAGCAGGCACAGTCGCGGCCGCAAGCACAGCCGAACTTGCACACGTACGCGCATACCGTACAGCCGGTGCAGCAGGAGCCGCCACCCGGGAGCAGTAGTGTGCAGGTAGACGAAGCAGACGCTACGTCCCTGCCCGAGGCGCACACCAATTGGACGTACAAGTCAGTCACCGGCCCGCAGAGCGGGTTGGAACTCCGGCTGACAAGAGTCTCAGGCTAGAAGTGAAGCAACAGCCGGCCCGAGCACGCATGTGCGGCTCTGGCGAAAGGGTGAGCCCTGGAACTCGCCCATGTGCTTGGACGTTAAGCAAGCGCTAATACACAGACCAGGACCGAAGACCACTTTCGCCGCCGCCGTGCATACGACTGGCCATCTTCGATCAGGACGGTGTCGAGATCAATTACGAGTCAGTCAAGCGCGCGAATCAAGGCCATCGAATCAAGGCACTGACTATGACCGTCTAGCAACATCGACCCTTCCCTATTCATTATTCTCGTCGATTTATGGAACGTCGACGGGACGCAGGAGATGAATCTCACCTCTGCAGTGTCAAACTCTACCAATGATTCGGGGATCACCACACCATCCACGACGTACATGCCCCTTGGGAACGAGCCGGCATCTCTGGGCTACCAAAATCCCGCGCAGGCTTCAATGCGAGACGTCACGTATGGCGGACATCAATCCAATGGCTACCCTGCAGCAGAATACGCAATGCAACCCAATCCCGCGCATGGTATGCCTCGTGTACCTTTTGTTTGAAAACGAGCGTTGTCTGACATGGCAAGCCCACCCATCTAGGAACTCGAACGGGGGGTACACTCATTCACCCATGCTCCCTTCTCAACAGTATTACCTCCCTTCGGACTATAGACCCGTGCCGCCGGGTCTCAGCACATTGCCTACGCAGGGCTACGACACGCCGAACGGATACGGAGAAGGCAGCGGCCCACCCGTCGCTCAAATACCTGGAAAGGCCTCTAGCAGATATAACTTGGTCGGGAACCGCGCGGTGACTGCGTTCATCCTCCGAGACACGGAACAGCGGCCTGGCGTCTGGTTCATCCTTCACGATCTGAGCATTCGCCACGAAGGGTTCTATAGGTAAGACGGCGCCCTTGGTTGGGTGCGCGTACTGGACTGACCTTGGTAGACTGAAATTCTCTGTTGTTCACATGCTTAGACCTGGCGCTAGGCACAAGCAGGAGGCCAACATCACCAAGGAGCGAACGCCCATCCTCGTGTCGTGCTTCAGTCAAGCATTCCAGGTCTGGTCCGCGAAGAAGTTTCCAGGCGTGAAGAAAAGCACTGCCCTAAGTAAGGTATTTTCTGATCAAGGGATCAAGATACCCATTCGCAAAGGTGGCGAGGGTAGCGACGACGAAAACCAAGCTGAATAAAATGCTGTGCGGCAACTTCCCGCTTGCTCGAGGACGTTGCTGCCGTTTCCCCAAGATGAGCGCGGGCACAACCAATGCGGTCGCAACGACCTATCTCCCCAGGAAGTGAAGACGATTAGCATGCATCTAGGCACGACTGAAGCCATACCATGTGACATGTCAAGGAGGCGGGTTACTAGCGCATTTTGCAGAGGAGCCAGCGCGGTTTCCCGAAGGCTGGGCATTGGAAACGGACTGGCTCACTCCTCGTAACAGTACGCTGTGCTGCTGACTTCGCGCCAAGCCCGAGCGAGGTTGGTTTGCGTTGGACACGGTACCATCTGCCACGCTTGAGCAACATCATGGGATGGGGGCCGAGACCGAAGGAAAGTTGGACGAGGTTCGGGCCCAAGCTCAATCCAGGGATCGATCGACCTGCATACGTACCGCCCGTCGCCCGACGCATGGTAATTTTTAAGGTTATTGAAGGTGAAATCGCGGGGAAAAGTGGCTTTGGTCTGGACTCTGGCCGTTACGTACAGCCGTTTTGTAATGACACCGACTAAAGGGCCCGAGTCACGACCCCAACTGAAAACCTCAGTTCGTCGTGCGCCCAACACCTCAGTTTCCGCCACGCTCTGTTTTCTCTCTTTCCCTGGGGTCACGCTAATTGGGAGCCTTGCCTGAATTCTATCGAACTTTTCTGCAAAGCACACTCGGCCTTTCAGCGACAGAACCCGCACGAAATGTCGCAATTCGCTTCGCATGGGCGCGGCGGCGCGGGGAACATGGTCGACCCGACAAAGTCCCCGAAAATCCAGCCCTCGGACCTCGAGACGCCGACGCTGAAAAAGGCCGTGGTCACCACGGGTCGTGGCGGCACGGGCAACATGGCCAAGAACACTGATCCCGCCGAAACCCGGTTGCGACAGGACGTCCAAGGGTATGTCATGGACTCTGGAATCCCTTGCTTTGTCGGTATGGTGCGACTGACTTCTCTGGGCAGTGTTCCTCGTCGCCCTAGCTATGGTGCGCAGCATTCCGGTCGCGGCGGCGCCGGCAACGTGTGGAAGGACAAGGAGGTGAACGCAAAGGCTGATCGCCAGGATACGCCTCCCGAACAAGCCATTCGCGACGACGAAGACAGCGCCATCAGTGGCGAAGATGGCGACAAGCTCGAGAAGGCTGAGAAGGCGGCGAAGAAGCACTGGCTATTCGGGAAGGGCAAGGCGTAGTGTGGCTTATGTCGCTGCCTTTGATTTGGTTCTTTTGTTTTTTTCCAATTACGGCTATCATGGGTTGCTACAGGAAAGGAGTTCATATGGGTTAGATGAATGGTTCATCCTCGATATCAAGGCATGTCACAGGACATCAAAGGCGCAGTGCGTTGCACTTTCATTCGGCATGCTTCTATCTTCTGTTCCCCTTTTGGAAGCAAATGAGGCCCTTTGGCTCCCTCGCTTCATGAGCTTTTTGTCAGTCGATGGATCTCCTCAAAGTAAAACTTCAAGTTATCGGGATCAACACCAGGGGTGATTCCTACGCTTCCAGTCAGTGAACAAACTTTCGATGCTCCAAAGAATCATTTACCGTGACCCAGATTGGCGATCCAGCCCTTGTTTCCGCTACCAACCCAAAAGCCATTCACCATCTCCTCCACAGCCCTTGTGATGCTCTCCTTGGTCCCGTACAGAATGCCGGGGTCGGCGTTGCCCTGGAAGGTGACGTTGCGCGACCCACGGATCTTGACGGCGTCAGCTGGGCTCTGGAGCCAGTCCATGCCGACAACATCGTAGCCCATGCTGCATGCCGAGTTCAACGCGTGCCACGCGCCCTTTGGGAAAACGATCTTGGGGACGCTATCAATGTTGAGGCTCGCGAGTTTCCGGGGCAGCATGAAAGAGATATGCATGAGGTAAGGCTCCGAGAACTCCTTGTAGGAAGCCGGGCCTAGCTCGCCAGCCCATGAGTCAAACACCTGCACAACCTGCAACAAGGTTAGCACATAGCTGGTCTACACCGAGGGCGACGAATGAACCGTACCTGTGCTCCAGCTCGCACTTGGCATGCCAGGTGCTCCACGCAAATGTCGGCAATCTTTTGCAGCATCTTCTTTGAAGCCTCGGGGTACCTGTAGATCCATGTCTTGACCTGCGAAAACAGCTTCGTTCCGCCGCCTTCTACCATGTAGCAGAACAGTGTCCAGGGGGCACCGCAAAATCCAATCAGGGGCACACGGCCGGCCAGCTTCTTCCTCGTAAGGGTGATGGCCTTGTACACGTAGTCCAGCTCCTCGGCAACGTTGACGTTGCGCTGCAGCACCTCCTCGTACTGGCCGTCGTCGGGGGACTTGAGCGGGTTGGGGAAATGCGGTCCCTTCTTGTCAATCATCTCCACCACCATGCCCATGGCCTGGGGGATGACCAGAATGTCGGAGAAGATGATGGCGGCATCGATCAGGCCGGCGTAACGCTCGATGGGTTGCAGGGTCAGCGTTGAGGCGACCTCGGGATCGCGGCAGCATTCGAAGAAGTCGCGGCCGCCTTTGGCCTCGTGGTACTCGGGGAGATAGCGCCCAGCTGCAGTTGCACACGACATGTCAGCAGAGCGAGACGACTTGGAGCGGGGTGGCTGTGGCACGAACCTTGACGCATCACCCACATGGGCGGTCGCTCCACGACTTGACCTATCCACGACACCATCTCAGCATAGCTCTCTCGAGTATCTCGGCGCGCGCGTCTGTCCGCACGCGTGGGAGGGGTCTACCCACCCTGCGCTGCCCGCAGCAACAGGTCATTCTTCAATGGTTCGAATGTCAGCTCCATGGCGTTGAATTGATGGTCTGACGGGGAGATTAATGAGTGCGAAGGGTCACAGGAGGGCCCTTGTCTGGTGGATTTTCTCAGAATCATGGACTCGCACCCCGCTATAGAGGAGGGGCACGCGGAGGCCGAGACTGGACGTCTGACGCGCGCCGACACATGAGTGGCATCTTTCCACGTCCTATTCCCGGAGTCCCGGCGACCGCTAGGCCAGCACTCCGCCAAGTGTCATACTGTAAAATAGAAGCCTAATGCTTCTACGTACTGTATGGTGTCTGGCCAACTGCTTGATTCAATTAGTTCCTGCTAGAAGGACACATTGGGGTGTTTTCAAAGCACAGGCGCAACTTCTATCAATCCTGAATGAACGCTTGCTCTCCCCCAGCGTTGAAGTCTTGCCATGCGCAGTAACGTAATCTTACAAAATCGACTGCGCTCAATGACTATGCCTCTTTCAATTGTTCGAAATATCAGTGGACCGCTTTAGTATTACGTACCCGGCACAATGGTGCATTTGGCGGCAGAAATCCAGGCTATGAAGTCGACATCACGTGACGCAGACTATGCTCCCCTGTGGAGCTACGACTTGAAGCTATCACTAGCCAAGTCCGACCATCCATCCAAACGTCTTCGCCCAAGCAAAGCAGTCTCAGGGACCAGCATCACCCAAATAATCGTCGCAGACCCGGAGAAATAAGAGCAACCCCTCTTCGCGTCATTGAAGCACCACGACCATGTCCATCGAACGAGAAAATCAGATCCATCCGATTGTCACGGAGTCCGTGATACACAACACCAAGGCAAGCACCCCCAGACGCTCTACAAGGCGACAGTATTCTGACCGACTTTAGACACTCTCGAATCTCTACAGCCTCACATCTTCGCTTTTCGGCGTCACGGCCGGTATCCTCGGCCTCGAATCTTACAACGGCTTCCTCCTCTACCTCGTCCTCTCCGTCATCACGACTATTTTCGTCTACGTCGTCAAAGTACTACCCGAGTCGTTATCCGAAGGGCGGTCGATCGGGGACACGGAGCGTTTCTTCAAAGGCGCTTTGCAGTTTTGGAGCGGTGGATTGGCGAGCGGCATGCCGGGGTTTGTGCTGACGTGGACGCTGTTCTACGGCCTTGTACGGGTATGAGCAGGTTGTCTTTGAGCGAATAAATAATCTTCCAAGATCACGACTACGTACCGTACAGACGATCTGCACATTGACTACTCCACAATCTCTATGATCCTCCCAGCATAACCCTCCAGCCCGGTTTTGTCCTGGCTACCGCCCTCCAACAGAATGACGGGCGACCCCAATTCAACCCACTCTCGGTTATGCAACAGCTCCAGGAACACTTCGGCGCCGAATTTCGGGCCCTCTGCACCGCCAGTCACCCCTTGCTCGAGTTCGTCGTTGAGGGCAAAGACATCATCAAAGTCGTCATCTGCTGCTGCAGCAGCGTCACGGCGATGATGCGAGATGCCCCGGACGCGCGCAGTCGCTCTCACACTAGCGACATATACGTTAACAAACGCACCAACCGCCAGAGAGTTTATATCGGGGTCCTTGAATGTGGCAGTGAACCCGCTCGCGGCCTGCAATGACAGGCCTGTGTTGACCATGTGTTTCGATGGGATGGCAAGTACCATTCCACGCCGTATCCTGGGAGAGTCTTGCAGCGCGCATTCACCACCTTCGTGCCCAGCTGTGGATGGATTTTTGAGAATGAGACCAATCGTTCCAGCCTGGCCTGATTCAAGAGTCCGGACTGGCAGACGTAGATTTCTTATGCTCACAATCTCAGCCGTATGCCACTCGCCTGCAATTGTCGACGCCGATACGGCGTTCTTCATGGCGACTTTAGCCAGCTCCGCGGAGGAGGGATGGGATATCGACAGCCCGTAGTTACCGGGAGATGCCTTATCCTCGGGTGCGAAGACCCTTGCCTCGTCATCCTCTGGAGGGAACGGCCCAACCACGAGAAAGTCCCCGACAGACAGGTTGCCAAACCGCAAATGTCCCGAGACAACGATGCCGCGGTCACGCTTAGCGGCCGCATTGCTGGCAGGTATGCTGTATGATGCAGGTAGTGTAAAGGTGTCGTCGACGTGGAAGAGGACCTTGGGCTGCTCTGGATTCAAGGCCATGCCGACAAAATCTTCAGAGGTTGGTGTCGGTGGCATAGGCAGACTCTGTAACAAAGCATGCAGCAGCCCGATCCCAGTGCCTTTTACTGCGCTGGTGAGAACAATCGGCACATGCTTTGTCAAATCGCCGCACTCCGTGATGCTGCTCACGACGCCGCGTATCTTGGTAAGATCCTCGTCGGGGATCCGCAGCAGGCCTGCATGGCCCTTAGCATCAGGCTGCACAATCTTGGGCACCCGGCCAGCGTCCTTTATGGCCGAAAGAATCTTGGACATTGTTTTTTGCACGCTGCTCTTCGACGCAAGGTCCATCTTGGTCACGACAATAGCCATCGGGACATTGAGCTTCAGTGACAAGTCCAAGTGCGCCCTGACAAAGGCGCCATTGACAGCGACGGCAGCTGGGACATTACCCGTGCCCGGCGTGGCACCTTGCTTGTCTTGCTCGAGCTCCTTGTCGTCGCCCGCGATGCAGAGAACACTCCAGTGAGGCGCCCAATTCATGAGACCCCGAAGGACCGTCCTGCGGTATCGAGGATGACCTCCTGAGTCGGACGCAAAAACCAGCCGTCCGCCCTCGGCACAAGCGTGAATGTCGATCCAGGATTCAATGCTTCTTTGCGCAAAGTTCAGTATGTCCTGGCCCTTGTACCCAATGAGCTCCTGAGCAATGGAGCTGGTAATGCCCGAGACCACCTCATGCCGGTGCTTAAGCAGATTGAGACGGCTCTTGCCTCTCCCATTGTCCAGTGCACCAGTGGAAAGGGTCCCGAGCAGACTCGATTTCCCAGAAGTCGTAGGGCCTGTGAATGTGACTCTGAGCTGAGGCGTTCCTGACTTGCCTGTGTGAGGCACGACCATGGCCTCCTCCTTTCTTGGCGTGGTGCTTGCAGATGTCGACCCGGCTTTGCTGTTCTCGGCCTCGTCACCATTGCGGTGTTCGCCGCCCAGATCTGGCGTGACGAGGGCCTCGGCAACCCACAAGGGGGCTTCTCTTGGGACTTCTGTCTTCTCCGGCCCAAGAGTGTCGAACCATTCGCAGTCTCCGACGATTACCATGCGTAGTACCTCTACAGAGCAACCAAGACTAGCGGCCATGACTCGAAGGGTCTTGATACTCTCGTCCATCTCATCTTTCGTAAGTCCAACAAGAGTCCCATCGTCAGAAACGCCGATCTCGTACAAGGCACCCCTGGACTCTTCGAGGCCGGGTAGGAGACTTGCCGGGCTGTTTGCCCGTTCCAAATCGATATCGTCACCCGGCAACCTTGGCAATGTGATCTCCTTGGAGCTCGATACATGGTAGGGAGAGGACTGCTGTAGCCGCCACAGCAACTGTGTGGTCAGCTGGAGCAACCGCTGCTGGCGTGGCTGGCTTGCTGCTGCATGCGTGGAATCCGACGTAGGCTCCCTCGGTCGTCCCGTATACGACCCGACAGACCTTGAGGCCGTGGTCATGGACTTATAAGCCCTACGGGGTCGCAAAAGCAGGTGGAGCTTGTACTCGGTAGGCCCATCTTCGGGTTCGGCTCGAAGCTTGGTGACTCCGTAATCCGACAGCAATCCTGCGTGTGGGGCCGAGCCTGGCTTCGACTTGACTGTGTCCCCATTCTTGGACTTGCCAGAGTCTGTTGGTATCAGCCATGGGGAGGCAACCTTGGGAGGGTTGGGATCCCAGGTGAAAATAGATGCCATTTTGATATCACAGCGTAACGCTCCCTCAATTGTTTCGTATTGTTCTTGCGGTTTGCCGTTGACCCATGCTTATTGTATAACGTGTACAATTCCCGGTGACTTTGCGTAGGTGATTGTTTCTTATCATCTTGTTGAGGTGACCCAAGGTCGTAATGTGATGGCCCAGATCAGGATTGACGCGGGAGGGGAGGCGTGGTTTATGTATCAGTGATATAGCTAGATCATGTCGGTGAGTCAACACTCCCGTCGGCGGTGGCTCATATGATAGCGAAGAACTGAACAGAATCCCACGGTAACGGCTTGCGCCAGATACGTAGATTAATATGCGAGATGAGAAACACACAGATCAAAACGTTCAGGGGGGGAGATTGTAGAAGAGGCGCTCACGATAAACCAGACTGGTGAGTTCAAGTTGGAACCGGCGAGACTGTGTCGTCGAATGGTGAGATCACGTTCATGACTGGTCAATAGCGTCCTCAAATAGGCTTAGCGAGACGGAGCCGCCACTTCCAGACTACCCTACATTGACGCCGACCCAGACTGGCCGAGTCAAAGTACTGTATCCCGCGTGGTGGAGGCCATTATATACCAGCTCAGTACATTATATCAAGTTAGATAAAGTGCATTTGTCAGTAAGTTAATCAAGTAAATCAAAGTGGGTATTGCCGTATGCTCGACAACAAGACTGGCGCAGCACACAATTACAAGTAATCACACCTCAAAGAGGAACTGAGTGCAAAACATGTGTGATATGTGTCAACACAATTGATTTGAATGACCCAGTGATATTTCGAAGCTAAGTTAGTGTACTGGACCTTGTGAGAGCTATTGCATTCACCGCAGATTGTAGTTATCGCGCTGTGCCCAGGTGGCAAGGTAGCCTGCAGTTCGAAGCTGAAACCTTCAGCAAGCGGCCGGAACTCGAAACTGTTGCGACGCCAGTCTCACCCAATGGACCCTGAATGCATGACCGGACAGTGTGTGGGGGTTCAATCACCAGCCTAACTTCTCATCTACAGGTACCTTTTAAGCGGCGCAACAGAACATTAAATACAGCATGTTCGGAGCTGACACAGTGTGCAGGTGTGCAGGACAGGTTCAAGGTCCCGAAACGCTAATAACCAGCACCGCTGCAGCAGGTGTCTCACTAATAAAGGCAAGGTGCTCTCTGCCTCCAGTCGTGGCCTCCCCAGCGGCTTGCATCGCCACAACCCAGCCCAGTCGGATCAGGCACCTGTCGGACAGTTTGCGTGTCCCGGCCATCTCAACTTCTTCTTTCCTCCACACCACGATCCTGCTCTCGTCTCAGGGTCATTCAATCACCATTATTCGACAGAGGCATTCACCATGGGCAAGTTCAGCTTCGGAAGCAAAAAGGGCGGCGACGAAGACGACGGCGGTCGCAGTAGCCTATTCAGTCGAAAGAAGTCGTCCCCTGCCCCTCAATCCGACAACCCTTATGCTCGACAACCCTCCCAGGCCGACCCATATGCCGACCCTGCGAAGATGACCGCCTATCAGAGAGCTCGAGCTGGCCTCGACCGACCGGCAGGGCCCCAAGGAGGCAACGGATCATACGAAGGAGGACCTTCTGGGGCACCTCGCCCTCAAGCACAAAACACGTATCCGTCGTCCTCATCCTCGCCAGGGCCAAAGAGCGGTGGAGGGTACGGCGCACCTCCTCCTCAACAGGGCTATGGCAGTGACCGCTATGGTTCCGGTGGTGGATACGGCGGCAATCGATACGAAGCGCCCTCCCAGAACCAGTACAATGCCCCGGCAGCCGGTGCTAGAGGCCCTGGCGGCTATGGCGGTCTTGGTTCAGTGAACAACGACGAGCCCGACAGCAACCGCGACGCACTCTTCTCTGGAGCTCAGGAGCGCGCGCAAAGACACCCGCCGCAGGCGCACGATCCGCCCCCGACTTATTCACAGGCCGGCGATGCCCCAGCCGGCGGCGCCCCGGCCAGCGGCGATTACGGGGGCTATGGCGAGCAAAGGGAGCTCACGGCTGAGGAGCAGGAAGAGCAAGAATATCAGGCCATCCTGGCGGAGAAGAGGAAGATCCAACAAGAAAGTGCTGGCTCCGTCAATCGCTCCCTCTTGGTCGCACAGCAAGCCACTGAGGTTGGGCAAGCCACCTTGGCTCGCCTGGGAGCACAAGGCGAGCGTTTGCACAACACCGAGAAGCACCTCGATCTCGCATCGAACCAGAACAAGATTGCGCAGGATAGGGCAGCCGAACTCAAGACGCTGAACCGCAGCATGTTTGCGGTCCACGTGGGCAACCCCTTCACTTCCAAGCAGCGACAGATGAAGGAGGACGAGGAGGTCCTCGAGCGCCATCGCTCCGAGCGAGAGCAGAGGGAGGCTACGCGTCGAGACGGCTATGCCGCGAACCAGCGGATGGAAAGCAATTTCAAAGATGTGTCGCGCGGGCCACAGGTTCGTCGAACTGGCAACAAGAACTACGGCAAATATAACCTTGACGACGAGGATGACGAGGCGCGGCAGCTGGAGGACCAAATCGATGATGGTATTGATCAACTCAGTGGCCAAGTCCACCTGATGAACCGCATCGGTAAGGCCATTGGCCAAGAGGTCGACACCCAAAACTCGCAAATCAACCGCATCATGGACAAGGTAACTTCCCGCCCTTCAAATGCTCGTGACAAGGTGCTAACGGCCAAATCAGAGCGATGCTGTAGACGATCAAACAAGGATGAACAGAGAGCGGCTGGCTCGTATCAAATAGAGGTGTTCACTTTACACCAGATTCAGCATTGGGAACTACGCGCTTGCGCGGCTGTCGCCTACGGTAGCTGGGTCGATCTCTCCCTGGCTCGTCATAAGCACACTCGCATATCAATATACTAAAGGGTTTCTTTTGCCGTTGTACGTAGCTTGGGAGTGGGTGCCCCCTGGCTCAGACGTACCAGGTTGCTTTGGATATGGAAGCTCCCAAGACACGACGATAATAAAACCTCATGGCCCACCTGGTGAAGGGCGATTTCGTCATTACCAAATACCGACATGTAGCAATTTTGAAAATAAACTACAGCACGCCGCTTCAATGCAAGTGACGTTTAATATACTGCTGACAAGCCCGGGCTAGGCGGCCGGGCCCGGGGCCCGCCTGTAGATCACGTGTACCGGCCTTCAGTCAGAAAATAGACACCCAGCACCAACATCAAGACCACCAACTATTACATACGATCTCACTGTCTCCATCACCGACTGGACCCGACATCATGGCGCCACCTGCCAAACGCAGGAAGACTCTTGACCCGTTGGCCCAAGCTATAGCCAATTTTGCCAATGCGCCAGTCGTAAAGCGTGCGCCGCCAGCAGTGGCACCAGAGGCTACTACGCCTGCGCCTTCAGATGCAGCACTGGTGCCCTCACCGAGACAGGCCTCAGCGACAGTGTCCAACCCAGACAAAGCACATGCGCACAACCCTAAGAGAGACCGCAAAGCCAATATCGCAGCAGCACCATCAAAAACGCCGTCTGACATCCGTAAAGCCCAAGATGAGCTCCCTATCGCACAGTACCGTGGTGAGATACAGCGGGCGGTGCGCAACTCTGAGGTTCTCGTCCTGGTTGGTGAAACGGGTTCAGGAAAAAGTACCCAAGTACCACAGTATCTACACCGTCAATCATGGTGTAAGCGCCGGAAAGTCAAGATTGGGAATGAGGAGGTCAACGTGGGCGGCATGATTGCAATCACCCAGCCGCGAAGGGTCGCAGCCACAACGTTGGCGCACCGCGTCGCTCGCGAGGAGGGGACACCGTTGAAGCCTGGTGAGCGGGATGGGACAGTTGGTTACTCGGTGCGGTTCGACCACAAGGTCCCGCGTGGCACGCGGATCAAGTTCCTCACCGAAGGCATGATCTTGCAGGAGTTGCTGCGCGATCCCAATCTGAGAGACTACAGCGCTGTCATCGTCGACGAGATCCATGAGCGCAGTCTGGACGTTGATCTACTCGTGGGGTTTCTGAAGCAGATGCTTGCGGGAGACAATGCGGGCCGTGGAGGTATCCCCTTGAAGGTCATCATCATGAGTGCTACGGCCGATGTGGAGGTTATCCAGTCATTCTTCCGGGACATATATCCTGAAGAAAAGCAGGGAGAGGCCATCCAGGTCCTGAAGATCGAGGGGCGGCAATATCCCGTACAGACCATATACGAACCCGAGCCTGTGACCAACATCAACGACGCACTAGTCGACATGGCGCTCAAGGTTCACACGCAGGAACCGTTTCCGGGAGACATACTAGCATTCTTCATTGGACAAGAAGAGATCGAATCAGCACAGAAGCTCATCGAGCAGCGAGCGGCTGAGCTCGCGTCGAATGTACCGAAAATCAAGGTCGTTCCCTTGTACGGGCAGTTGTCCATGGAAGCCCAAAAGGATGCCTTCATGCCGGTCAAAGCCCCCTTCACCCGCAAAATCGTGCTGGCAACCAACATTGCCGAGACGTCAGTGACGGTCCCCGGTGTCAGATACGTCATTGACTGCGGCAAAGCCAAGGTCAAGCAATTCCGAACGCGCTTGGGTATGGAATCGCTTCTCGTGAAACCAATCTCGAAGTCGTCCGCTATTCAACGAAAAGGTCGTGCTGGTCGTGAGGGACCGGGCAAATGCTTCAGGCTCTATACTGAGGAAGGTTATGAAGGTCTGCGCGAGGCCGATCTACCTGAAATCTTGCGAAACGACGTGCTCGGCGCTGTCTTGACGATGAAAGCCAGAGGTATCCAAGATGTGATTAACTTTCCCCTGATCGATCCCCCGGACATTGAAGCTATCAAGAAGGCCATGTTTCATCTCTACTTCCTCGGTGCTCTGGATCAGAGTGGCCAACTCACACCTGAAGGCTCTCAGATGGCGAGATTGCCGTTGCCAGCACCACTGGCCACTGTTCTCCTGGCCGCGCCTTTGCCCGAGTACGACTGTCTTCTTGAGGCCATTGACGTGGTGTCGCTCATTACGGCCGGCGGCGATATCTTCTTGCAGCTCCAATCGGAGGAGGAGCAAGAAGAAATTGGCGAGGTGCGCAGTGAGCTTCACCGCCGTGAAGGCGATATCATTACGCTTCTGACGACCATGCAACGCTACACGTCAGAGAACACTGACAGGAACGCGTGGTGTCAGGCCCGCGGGATTAACGGACGCAACATGCGGCAAGCCCTGAATATCCGACGACAGCTACGCGACCTCTGCGTCAAACAGAAACTCTTGGCTGACAAGCCACCTGTCGACCCCCAGCCATTCGTACCTGTATCGCCCGATCGAGCCGAGAACATCATCAAATGCTTCCTCAAGGGCTTCGCCCACAAAGTGGCTACCTTGCAGCCAGACGGTACCTACGCCACAGCCGAGGGGAAGCACACCGTGGCCATACATCCGTCGAGTGTGCTCTACGGCAAGAAGAAGGAGGCCATCATGTTTCTGGAGCACATCTACACCACCAAGAATTTCGCTAAAAAGGTCAGTGCTATTCAAGGCGCGTGGATACTGGAGGCAATGGAGTCTAGATATTCCTGACAATAGGTGATGAATAAAGTATAAATGTCATCATGGAGGCTGTGCCCAACTATGAAGGTTTATTCAGTGTTGCTTGTGGCTTGCTATGATAACTGAAGAAATGTTCACTCCGCTCCGTATGCAATTAACTATACAAAATCATACACGCCTCCCATGTCTGTGTCGAAACCTTGGATGGCCACGTTACGAGCTCGACCCGTCGTCATCCGACCCGCGCTTCTGTATCGCCTGCATGAGTTCGTAGAGTTGGTGGACCTGCTCGTCCGACAACTTCTGTAGTTTGCCGTCCTCAATCTTCTCGCCCTTCCATGCATCACCCTCGACTTTCTGTGCGTATAATTGCCACTCTGTGAGGAAGCCAATCTATGAGACGTTAGGGGGTGGGTGCTCGCCATGAGATGCGTCGCGTTGTCGGGAAACAGTACCAGATGGGCGGGATTGTCCACCTTGCGATGCGCCCGGAATTCTGCCTTGATGTATTCATCCCCCAGCACGCGCATCTCGCGAGGCAAGTGTTTCCTGTGCGCGCGGAAGAGACGACGATATAGGGGAATGGGCGGCAGCAGTGCCATGGGACTGGGTTTGAAGCCAGAGGCGGCTGTCGCGGCTGCCTGCCGGGCAATAGATGAGCGCATGACCACGAAATTAATATCTTTTTACAGATAATTGTTATACGAAGGCGGAAATCGCAGATTGTAAGTAAACTGAGGGTAATGGTGAGGCGCACGCGATGATGGCGTCGATGAGACGTCCGATTTTTGGCCCCACAATCCCAGGCCAATACAGTGTCGCAAATCTCAACGTCAAGACTCAAGACGGTTCGAATAAAATCTCATCCTTGATTCAGTCCAACTCTGACCATGGCATTCTCCTTCGGCTTCTCAGGCGACGATATAGATGGCGCGAGCGATACATCCGCGCCGCCTCCTCCCTCAAAACCGAGCGCCTTCCCAGTAGCAGGAAAACCACAACTTCCACCAACGTATCATGACCTTCCGGCCTTGCTCTCAACCTTGCCCTCCAAGATTGCTTTCAGTAACTTGGACGTCAGTCTTGATGATGGAAGCTCGATGCAGATTCCCCGTCGAGAGCTATGGGATGTGAGGATCCAGCTGATGGCCGAGGATGAGGGTCAAGCAGAGGGTATGGAAGGGCTGGGAAGCCACGATGTGAAGACGGGCGTGTATGAGGGCGGCTTCAAGAGCTGGGAGAGCAGTCTTGATCTAGTCAAAGTACTGGCGTCGGGAAATCACCTTTCCAGTGACGACGCTACGCCTGTGCGCATAATCGAGGTGAGACTTCTTGAAAAACTACCGTTCTTGACACGCAGTGGCTGATCAGCAACAGCTTGGCTGCGGTACCGCCCTACCCTCGCTGGCAATGTTCCAATGGTCCCTCGCATCTACAGCGGAGACCCAGAGACGGATCTCCTTTGTGATAGCTGACTACAATCCCACCGTTCTCCAGCTCGTCACCCTGCCCAACTTCGTCCTCAGTTGGGCTCTCACACAGCAAGCCACCACGCCGGCTCTGCAGGACGCATTCGCCGAGGACGGAGAGCTCGAACTTTCGCCCGAAGTCATTAACGCATTCCAAGCATTTCTCACGTCTCGTGGTATCAGCTTGTCCTTCCTGTCAGGGGGCTGGTCCGAGCAATTTGTCGACCTTGTCTACGGGCAGGCTCCACAGACGGAGGCTTCATCTACTCTCGTCCTCGGAGCAGAAACGATTTATTCCCCGTCAGCATTACAAGCCTTTGCGGAGACCACGCTATCTCTCCTTGAACGCGAGCGGGCTGCTGGTACTGCAAAGGCAGTGGCCCTGGTGGGTGCCAAGCAGCATTACTTTGGCGTCGGGGGCTCACTGGAGGACTTCGTGATCGATGTCCAGGGGAGAGGAGCTATAGTGGACAAATTGAGAGAAGAGACAGCCGGAGTCAGGCGTGGGGTTGTCAGCTGCACACTCCGGAATGACTTCAAGGGGTAGTACACCGTGAAAATAAAAAAGACAAGAATCAAACTTTCCCAATGTGCAATCGCATTCGTGGTATTGACAGGCTATGTACGCCTAAACATGTGAGCGAGGGTATCAGCCGTGACAAACGCCGAGGCACGCCGGCCTCCATATCCCAATTCCCAACACAAACCATTCCTAGGTTCCCATGATCATCTGCCGCTGCCTCATCTGCCTTTCTTAAATTTCTCAGAGCACACGGGGCAGTACCAGGTCCCGTTCGGCTCGCTTTTGAGGCCAACACAGGACCAGTGAAACCATTCATATGGACAATCGTCGTTGTCGCACGCAACCATATCGCCATGGCTCACATTGTTGCACAGACAGTATTTCCGGTCATCGTTACCATCGTCCTCGTCCTCGTCCGCATCCAGAACAGCGTCGTCGCCGTCGGCGTCTTTGCCATCACCAGCCGGAGTCCCTCTTGAGCGGTGCTCGCCATCGTCCACCTCGCTACCGCTAACAGCATCAGAGAGGTCACTATCCGCTGTAGATGCCGGCGAATTCCTGTTGGAAGCCTTCTTGACCCGCGATAGCGATGATTTGCTGGCTGTCTTCTTACGTACGACTCCGGTAGGTGTTCCGCGTCGCGAGCCGCTGCCCGCCGTTGTTTTTGCAGAGTTGGGCTTCGGGCCGACACTGCCAGCCCTCGAAGCGCCGCCCTGACCGCCCGCAGGCGCGCCTTTGGGCGTGCCGGGGCCGAGGGACGAATGTCTGGCGAGTCCGCTGGAGGTGACCGGTACGTTTCCGAGGCCGGAGCTGACACGGACCCCCCGCTTTGTCGCAGGGCCAGTGGAGCCTTCCCGTTGCTGGCGGTTGAGAATCATACTGGCAGCTGGAGTAGCCGGTGCCGAGGAGGCGTGCTGCTGTAGCTGCTGCTGAGTCTGGGTGGCTCGGACATTGGCATGACTGGGCAATCGATCGAGCGCAGGCGACGCGGCGCCATTCGGAGGAGCAGTAGCGGCGGCAGCAGCAGGACCTGGAGCCATGTTGCCACCTGTGGGCATTGGTCTGAAGGTGGCTGTTTTATTGGCAGCGCTTGGTCGGATGAGTGATGGGAGCTCGTCGGGATTTGAGAAACCGTGTTCGCTGCGGTCGTAAAGTTGCTTGATCTGATAATCCAAGCTCTTGATGTGTTTATCCATGATGAGTGCCGAGTTCTGCACAAGCTTGATCTTCTCTAGTTGAATCTTGTCGGCTCGCTCGTAGGCTTCGCGTATTTGTGCCCGGAGCCCCTCCTCCTTAGGATTTGGCTCATGGCTGCCGTGCGCCTTGATGTGTTTCTGGATCTTCGAGTCGCGATCTTCGATTATTCGTATTTGTTCGTTGTATTGGCGGTCTCTGTCTGCAATCTCGTCGTGGCAGAAACGTATCTCTTCCGGGAGATTCTGAACGCGGTTGATCCAGTCGTCGAGGATCACCCCTGGATCCACAGCTTCGGCTGGAGGCATCCTCTTGACGAAATCAATCGACAAGTCGTCTCTGGGCATGACTGTAAGCTTGGTGTCCGAAGGCTCGAGGAGCGATCAGACGGAAAATTCAATGTCGCGAAGAAGGGTTGCGCATGAGTAAGCAACGCGTGGAATGAGGTTTGGTGTGCTGAAAGCAGGCGCACAGGAAGTAATAGCATGCAAGCAGTCTGAAAAAATGTGTTCAAGAACCACTCGCTCGCTCGCTCATGCTCTGATGAGTTCGAAATCCAACAAAAAGTGATGTGTGCGGCGAAATAGGTAGGTGAAACTTCTCAGCCCACCACGCGACGTAGAGCCGAAGCTCGGATAGAGACCGGGACCCCAGTCGCACCGTCGCCAGTGACGGACGGTGACGGTCGGTCAGTCAGGTTGTCGTCGGCAACGTGGGTCTCCAGCGTGCGACGCCAAAGTACTCGCAGAGTCGCAAGCACTGTTGTAATCGCAGGGCAGCTAAGCAGCGTGTCGCGAAAGCACGCGCAAAGAATGAAGAGTTCGATGAATGTCGGAGCTCACCTCTGGTCCGTGTTTTCAGGGTAATAATATGTACCTTAGATAGATGGTGGAAGGTGGCGGTGTTCCAGTCGAGGCCCAACTCTTGCAGCTCAGATCGCTACGCTCAGTACACCGGGAGCAGGTCTTGAAAGAGAAGCGGACTCTCAAACTGTTTGAAAATAGAAGAAGGCTGCAAATGTGGCTTGCTGTCACGGTCGGTGATAGTTGAGTTGGGAGAAGACTCGATTGAATGGTGATCGTTGAACCACGACCACGACATCCGGTCTATCATCTGAGCCAGAACTCAAATTATTGCATCAGTCAGCAGCAACAGCAACAGCAACAGCAGCCGCCTGCTGCCTCTGCCTGCCGGCCGACAAAATCCCCGCACTAGGCCTCTTGAAGCTTAGCGTCGGAAGGTACCTGCATGATCTCCAAGTCCACTGAATTTCAGATGGTACCTTCGATCACTCACTCACTCACTCACTCACACAACCTTCCATCGTCACTTTCGCGCGACGCACCCTGCGCAGCCCTATTAGCGGTTCATATGGTAGTTCGCCTCGGACTGCGCACGCTTCTCAGCCGACAGCGGGATCATCCATCCCCACCCACGCCCGGAGGCGTCCGCGCCTTCATGACAGTATGGACACCTACCGTTTTAGGGTTCCAAAGCCCAACTACCTGCCTCACAAGAGGCTCGATGCCTCAGAGAAAGACGACATCGTCGAGGAGTACAACATCCCTCTCGGAAAGGCCAGCGAGCTTGAAAATGCTAAGTTTGCTGCCAAATGTGAGCGCTACGCCCTTGAGGCAGGTGTGACGCGACCCAAAGGCTACAATGTCTCGTTCCATTGCAATCCAGACATGGAGAAGCATCATTTCGGGCAGACACACCCCATGAAACCGTGGCGCTTGACTCTCTCCAAGAGCCTGATCTACTCCTATGGCATGTCCTTCGCCATGGACAATTACATCTCGCGCGCTGCCACGTACGAGGAACTCGCCTCGTTCCACGCGACAGACTACCTGGACTTCCTTGGCACGGTCCTGCCCGAACCAGTCCCTTTCGATGTAGAGAACCCGAACCCTGATCTCAAGTTCAACCTGGGTGGATCGGATTGCCCCCTTTTCGAGGGCCTCTACGACTATTGTTCCATGTCAGCAGGGGGCGCGCTGGATGCTGCTCGCAAGCTTTGCACCAAGCAGTCCGATATTGCCATTGCTTGGGGAGGCGGTCTTCACCATGCCAAGAAATCGGAAGCTTCGGGCTTCTGTTACATAAATGACATTGTCATTGCAATCTTGCAGCTGCTGCGCTGTTACCCGCGCGTACTCTACATCGACATTGATGTCCACCACGGTGATGGGGTTGAAGAGGCGTTCTTCTCCACCGATAGGGTCATGACCGTATCCTTCCACAAGTACGACCCTCAAAACTTCTTCCCCGGAACTGGCGCGCTTGACGACAATGGCCCCCAGAGTGAGCACAACCCAGGCTCCCACCATGCAATCAACGTTCCTCTTAACGACGGAATCACCGATGAGCAGTATGACTGGCTTTTCAACTCGGTCATTGGAAAATGCATCGAGAAGTTCAGGCCAAGTGCCATTGCGCTGCAGTGCGGCGCGGATTCCCTGGCCGGCGACAGACTAGGCCGGTTCAACCTGCAGGTACAAGGTCACGGCGCCTGTGTGGACTTTTGCAAACGAGTTGGAATCCCTCTCATCCTGTTCGGGGGTGGTGGTTACACGCCAAGGAACGTTGCCCGCGCTTGGACGTACGAAACAAGCATAGCCATCGATCACCAAGACAAGCTCAATCACATGATCCCGACTCATACGCCCTGGAGGGATCACTTCAGGCACGAAACGCTCTTCCCGACTCTTGAGCAGATCCTCGGCGAGCCGCGACAGAATCGCAACACACAGAAAAAGCTGCAAGATATTGTACAGCATGTGACAGAGCAGCTGCGCTTTGTCCAGGCAGCCCCAAGTGTTCCTTTGCAGGTGATCCCGCCAGATCTAGGCGGCGTCAGGGACGATGTCGAACAACGCATCAAGGAGGAGACTGAGGAGAAGAGAGATGAGCTTCGAAGAGCTCGAGAGGCGGCGATCGGGCAAGCCATGGAGTACTGAAACAGGGAAGGCCTAGCCTTGCATGTCGGATGTGTCGTTGAATCCGACTTGCTCCCTCCCCCTTTCCCCCAATGCGACGGACTACTTCAACCATCCTTACTTTGGTCCGAACGATCTCAATCCGGGCCGGCGAGCCCTGGCACTCCAGTGCATGCCACAAGCACCGCATTTGATACCACGGCACAAAGAAATATCATCGCCAGTCTCGAAGAGATTCATCATCAAGGCATGACACTGCTGTCCATGACCGCCCCATCCCCCCCGGTTCTTAGCACGACGCCGGCCCTAGTCTGACTTCAGAACAAAGACGCCCTTTGCCTTCAATATCAGGCTGCATTGTTCTGTTTCGTCCCTTGCCCATGCGCGAGTGATAGCCTGACAGGTCAAATTGTCAAAACGGGCTAAAACAACAAGGTTGGACGGTTGGGTATCGGATTTCGGCTGGTGGAGCCTTCTTGGCTGACCAAGACGACGTGCGGGTTGCGTACCCAAATAGTCGCTCTATAGCAATCGAGCGACTCACACCTCTTCTAAACCTAGCTTACCTGGCTACTACATAGCGTGCCAGCGCGGGTTCTGACTAGATCAGGATAGCACTGGCTTGCTTCCCTTGATCATGAAGTAGGCTTGACCAAGCAATTTGCATTCGCAACATGCTCGTGTCGAGGCCCCTGCTAGGTCTTAGCTCTTAGCTCTTACATAGAGAGGGACCAGGACAGGGACCAGGTGCAAGGAATTGCGACCATGTTTCGAAATTGAATCCTATAGGCTTTCGATATTGAATCCTTTCGACATGCCTGGGTAACACCTTGAGCCTAGCTGCTGCTGATCTTTAAAAAGGAGTGCCCTCCCATGGTTTATAACAGAAGCTCATCAAATCTACTCTCCTGTCTTACAGATTCCAATAACCGAAGCCCCCTTTGCGAAATAAGCTATTGTTCCAATCGCCCACCATGGTCAACTCCAAGACCCTCTCAGTATTTGTGGCTTTGGCAGCTAGCTCTGTTCCAACTGCTGCCAATGTCTTTGACGGTCTTGAAAGGGGCGCCAAGTGGAATATCTGCATCCACAAACCTATCAAGCATGATTCGCCGGACGATATAGTCCCCAAAGACGGGCTTGTCTACGACATTGACATGGAGCACGCTCGTGATTTCCCTGGCATCATCCCCACGATCAAGGTACGTTGACCAACTCCAACTCGCTCCAAAGCCGTGCACTGACCTGATGTCAGGAGTCCGGTAAAGTTGTCCTTTGCTACTTCAATGCGGGCGCCCTCCAGGACTGGGACGCCGATAAAGATGACTTTCCAAAGGCTGCCATTGGGAAGACATTGGGCGGCGACTACGAGGATGAGTGGTACCTCGACATCCGCAACCAAGATGTCGTAGAACTCATGTACAAGCGCCTCGAGGAGGCTGCCGCCCTCGGGTGCGACGGCGTTGACCCTGACAATGTGGATGCTTGGGCCCAGGGAGACGAGGATGCGACTGGCTTTGGACTGACGCAGCAAGACTACACGGACTATCTCATCAAGCTCGCCCAATTTGCGCATGACTCTGGTTCCCTTGTGATTGGCCAGAAGAACGCGCCCGCCATGGCCCCTGCCTTGGTCGAGACGCTGGACTTTGCCGTCCTGGAATCCTGTCGTGAATGGGACTTTTGCGAGGACTTCCAGGTCTACGTCGAGGCTGGCAAGCCAGTCTTCCAGATTGAGTACCCTGTGTCCATCATGGAGCAGGGTGAGCTCAGCCCCGAGGACTACAGGAAGCACTGTCAAGGAGATGCCGGCGACGCAGGGTTCAGCAAGGTCTTGAAGAGAGCCAGCGCGCAGCTCGATGGATGGACCCAATACTGCGATGAGGAGCCTTTCGAGCAGGCCGTTATCGATTGGTAGATTCACACTGCAAGGTAATACAAAGCACTAAATCCGGGGGAGATATGAATCATAGCCAGCATCTCAGGGTATATTCAATCTCACTGTATTATCAATATCATGTGCACGGCAGCAACACCATCGGAGCGGCAACTCTGCTCCTTACGTCTGATACTCATGTTCACCCATATGCATAGACATCGAAGAGGCTTTCCTACTGTCTTCTTCGCACCTGCACAGCGACAAACACCACCAAGGACAGGCCCACAGCCATGCCAGCAGCCAGCAACATCAGATTGACTGGTACGGGGTTCCCATGGAAGGTCTTGTGGAACATCAAGTCCAGCGCCGACTGCGACAGATTCAGTAACCCGGAAAGACAGATGATCAGTCCGTAGACGGTGCCAAACGTCCGGAACCCGAACACCTTTGCGCTGTAATCCGACACCGCCGTGTAATAGAACGGCCGATATAGCACAAACAGGACGATGTTGGCATACGCGGCCCAGGCGGACGGAAGGACACCGAGAACACCAATCAGACTGGCAATCGACACCAAGACGGACAGAACGGCGACTGTGCTGGTGTGGTCGAGGATGATGCCGATAAAGGGAATGGCAAAAATGCCGCCCACCGGGAGGGCGATATCGAAGAAGTTATTGATCTCCGCCGCTCTGTCCGCATCGCCGAGCAAGTGTCTGTACTGCGGCCTGATTGTCGCCACAAAGTAGTTGATGCGCGTCATCTGGATGACGGTGAAGAGACAGATCAGGATGAACCAAGGCGATGTGATCTGCTCGTAGACAGTCTTGTCATGCATGACACCCCACACGCCCGACGTTGTGTTCTTGCGTTGCTCCTCCTCGACCAAGTCATCGGCTGTGACCGAGCCAAGCAGGGATTCAACCTCGTCCACGATATGCTCGCGCTCCTGGCGCTGCTCAATCTGCAGCTGACGGCGCTCATTGTGCAGCAGGGCGGTCTCCTCCGTCACCTGGTCATCAAAGGAGGTGCTCGGCGTTTGACTGTTGTTGGCCGCTTGTGCCTCATCCGCCTGATCGACCAGTTCGCCCACCGTCTTGTATGATTTGGCAGGCATATACAGGATCTGGACAATAACGATGAACACAGGGACGACCAGATATACCAGGAAGAACCGTCGCTGGTCGAATTGCCCGTCCGTGTCGTTGTAGATGATGCGATAGACCAAAAAGACAGCGCTCGACGAGTCGAAAGCGCCTGTCAGTAGCGCAAGGATGAGGCCCGAGTGACGAGGGAAAGCATTGGATAGCTGGAAGGAGGATATGAAGGTGAAGGGACCGCCAAGAGCAAGAAGCAGGTATCCAAGTAGGTATGCGTCAAAGGGCAGCTCTTGTGCATACGCCAACAGAAGGGCTCCAAGTGTCAAGAACACGCTGCCGAGGATACCGCAGACGCGTGGTCCAAAGTTATCGAGAATGGCCCCCACGGGCAGAGCAGCGAGGTTGGTGCCAACAGCTGCGACCGTGAACATGAGGTTGAGATGGATCTCGACGCAGGTGTCGTCGTCGCTCTCTGGGCATATGTTGCTGTATGCGCCCTCGCGTATGAACACGGGTTTGATGGCAGCGTAGCCAAACACGACACCAGCTGCGAACAGACAGTAGACGACTACCGTCCCGATTTGTACTTGATGAGTATTAGCTTTCCGTCACATTGTATAGGTGCAGGCGGCGCGGGTGACTTACAATATCTCATCCATGGTGAGACGTCGAATGCACTCACAGGCTCATCGCCCAATGGCTTCGTGGCTGGCTTGCGCTCCTCAGGAGGAGCCAGAGCTCCGTGCTCTTGTTCCCCGAAGAAGTCCTGCCGGTCGGTAGACTTATTGGGAGATGGTTGAGGAGAACTCCATTCTTGTGGAATGGGGTTGAAGCTCAGACGCCGTGGCCGAGTCCCTGCGTCGCTTCCTCGACGTACATTCAGGTCTGTGAGCGTCTCGATGCTCCCGATGCGGTTGAGAGACATGGTCGTCAGACGGTCTTATACAGGCTTCTGTGGTATCATGGGCTGGGTCTGTAGAAGTTGAAGAGTGTCATCCACTGGAGCTGATCACTCCTATCTTCTGTGCGAGCGACCACCGTGTCGTATGTATGGAGGACCACAAGTAAGAACACCTTGCCGGTGAAATATATTCTTGGAGCGCAGAATCAGGCTTGTTGGCTGCTGGGTGGAGTTCCAGGTACAGTGCTGCAGTGTTGGTTGGCCTGCAGGCTAAATATCTGATGCGGCGTGGTGCTATGGATGGGCAAGCATCAACAGCATGGGAAAAGAATGCGACCGGCGTTTGAAGCGATAGAGTACGTGAGACCCATGATAACAGACTGACAACGTAGATTAACTAGCTGCGGAGAGGAGTGGTTTAAGGCCGATAAAGCGTTGCGCTAGGCGATCTCGATAACGTAGGATGCTTCGGGGTTCTTCGTCCGGCGGGCGCACTGCAAGCACGGATCGCCGACGCAGTGGCGGCGGTGGATAAAATTGAAGGCAAGCTACGGCATACAGCAAAACATCCGGACTACTCTGGGTGAGGGCTTCTCAGGCAAACGAAAGGTTGTGACAGTTCTTGTTGCTCGATCTCTCTCTGTCTGTGGGGAGATGGATGGATGACGATGACCAAGATGCCAGCATTTCCTGGTGGTTTTCTTATCAAGGTGACGATAGGTGCTGAAGTGAAGCCTGGGGCGGCCTATCCTGACTGGCTCAGGCTGCCTGACGCTTGCGCACGTCAGATTGACGTGTGTGATTGGCTTATTTCTCCAATTCACTGCCAGCCTCCAGCCTCCAGGGCCCAGGCACCCTCCAACCTACTAATTAATTAGGACCTTCCCTTGCCATATTATTACTGAGGTCCGTAGATCACCCTTCACGTCGACCACTCCAAGAGCACCGAATCACTCAATGGCAACGTGCAAAGGGCCTCATTTCAAAGCCTGTCTTCAAGCGTCGCAACCGGCCGAGATACATTATATACAAGAAGATGAGGCGCACGCCAGGAGCAGGGGCACTACGACGCTGGCAGGCAGCGAGGCAACGCACAGCAAACACACAGGGACCGATGCGAACGAAACAGCAATACTCTTCAAATACACAACAATGGCGCACGGCCGCCCTCCCCCATGCCAGCCAGCACTGAGCTGGCAGAAGCCCACCGGTCCCAAGGCCCACAAGAAGGTTCAACAACACACAACATTCAACGTCCGAGCCACGACTTCGACAATAGCTTAGAAGTAACGGAAGGTGGCCTTGCCACCCTTCTTGAAGGCAGTCTGCAACCACGTTAGCATTGGTCACTCCAAATTCAAAGATCAGTCTCCACTTACCGTGCAGCCGTTGCTGCCACCGGTCCACTTGCCATCGATGTAGGAGCACTTGGAGTTGACATCGCCGACAATCTCAATGTTGAAGTCCAGCTTGGCCGTGCTCATGGGCGAGTTCTGGAAGATGGAGAGGAAGGTGTTGCCATCATCAGTGTAGCCGACACCAGCGATGACGGGAGCCCAGTTACCGAGCTTGTCGGGGAACGTGTCGCTCTTCCAGACGCAGGCCTCCTCCTTGTCGAAGCCCTTGGGGTTGACGTAGTACTGGGCAGAGGTGCCCTTGTTGTCCCAGACGTAGTAGTTCTGGTCGGGGTTGCAGAGCTCGACCTTGTCGCCGGGGCCAGCAACAGCAGGGATGTACATACCCTCAGTGCCGGGGTAGTCGGTGCGGCAGGTGGAGACAACCTCATCGAGGTCGTTTTGGATGAAGACACCGCCCTCACCCTTCATGCAAAGAGGGTACTCGCCATCGCCGTTGGGATCGTGGGTCAGCCTGAGCATGCCCTCGCTGTCGCAGTAGAGTCCACCAATGGACTCCAAGGTGCTGCCCTGGGCCTCGGGGAACTGGGTCTTCTGGTAGCCGGCAGGGCAAGCGTAGGAGCACATGGTGCCCGAATCGCAGTTGTCTCCAGAAATGCCAGTGCGGATGTCAACAATGCTCTTCAACGAGCCCAGGACAAAATCGGGGACCTGTTGAAGACCGGACCACCCGTGGAAGCCGAGCCAGTCAAGGCCGACGGCGCCATAGTCGGAGGGGAAGTCGGAGCACTTGACCTTGTTGTCGGGGAACGGAGTGTCGACACCGCCGCCGGTGACGGGCTTGGGAGTCGACGACTTCGCGGGCGCAGCGGAAGTCGTGGGGGCCGCCGAGCTGGTGGTGGTCTCGGGCTCGGGGGCTTCAGAGCTGCTGGTGGTCTTCTCGATGAATTGGGCACCAAGCTCAGGCGCCTCGGAGGTGGTGGTCGGCTTCGGTGCTGGCGGGGGAGGAGGGACGAACGTCGGGGTCGACTCGCCGATGATGGTCAGTTCACCTCCGTCGATGCGGTCCTTGGCCTCGTCGGCCTCAATCTGCTCGCCGTCGAGGACGTAGACGGTCTCGGTGGGACCGGCTACCCAAGCAGTGACAGCGTCGGGTGCGTCGCGCTCCTCCACACGGGCGACATGGCGAGCGTGGAACTGCTGGTGGCCGTGCTGGTGACCGCCGGCAGCAGCAGCGCCAGCGACCAGAGTGGCCGCCAGGGTATACTGAGTGTATCTCATTGTTGCGAATCACAACGAAGTCGTCGAAAAGCTGCGCAAGTGGCCATGGTTAGCTCGTCGTCCTCTTATCTCTGCTTTGGGCGCGTCCGGGCATCTGCTGTCGGGATTCTAGGGGTCTGGGATATGGTTGTTTTGCGACATCGCAGGTGCTACCGATTCCCAGATCTTGTACAGCTGGCCCGGGTCTCGTCTGTCGTCGCGCCGTCTAGTACTCACCAGATGACAGTTATCCTTCTCTTCGGTCTTAGCGAACGGCGTAGAGTTGGTAGCAAAAGCGAGCGTGAGGGTCGGTGAACCGATCAAATGAGTGTGGGCGAGAGCAGAGATAATCTGACACTCGTTTAGGTGAGGAAGCAAGGCGTTAAAGGAGCGACAAGGCCTGATGAGAGCTGGATAGGAGAGCAGAGGGAAGGAGAGGGAATAGGGCGGTGGAGATTGGGAGCATTGACAGACCCTGTCCGTCTGCTCGACCGACCCATTCGAGTCGCCAATGATATTAGCTCATTACGGCGACGCAGCGCGCAGCGCCAGAAACTCCATTGTCGGTGGATCCGCCGCTGTTCTCCTCTGCGCGTCTTTCCAGGGGTGGGAACATGCCTGACCCGGTCTGGAAAGGCTGGCTTGGCTCGCCGTGTCTGGGAAATTAACAATACATTGGCTTGACGAAGAGGGCCAACCATGATCCACGCGCATGAGCACGCACTAGATGCCTATCCACACAGTCGCCGCATGTACAAAATGGGCCCGTCAGGGTCGCAAAGACAGAGCGCTCCGGACGAGAAAGTCTGCTCCATCATCCGCGAGGGAGAAGCAGACGAGAAAGACAGCCTACAGGCCAACATTGTTAATAGGATGCAGCCGCTGCAGCGTTCGTGATTGTTATGGATGCTGTTGGGATCGACATTGCGCGCTGTCGGCAGCACTGTAACACTGTGCTGGATTATCCAGCCCGGCTCCCTCCCTCTGCACCAAGTCGCGAGTCTTCGCAGCAATCTCTGGGACAATGTTATTATTATTACCAATGACTGACCACTACAGAGGAGTAGCCTGGGCTCTGGACCGACCTCTGACGGCTGCGCCTCTCATCGAACGCGTCCCGTTCCAAGCAGGCTTGGCCATGGTCCATGGACCACGAACGGGCGACAAGTAGTCAGACACAGTGCCTCTTGGTCCCTTGGGGACTGTAGACACATGCGCCAATTCAGGAACCCGCTCTCGTTCCTGGCGCTAGTCTCTCCACGGTCGAGTCGTCGACACGGTTGGTTGTTGGCCTCTTCCATGTGCCTTTCGTCTCATTATACGGAGTAAAACGGTCAGTAATCTCATCGCGACGGCCTGGGTATAATCGCCGTTGAAAAGAGACCCGCACGAGTGCTGCCCTTATAATAATATCTCGAGACTTGCGAAAATGAAACCCGGTAAGGCGGCAGTTGGGGGCGACGCGTGTCCCTCGACACCAAGAAGGCTGTTTGATTAACTGACGGGCTGCCTCTTCATCAATTGATCAATGTTTATTAGCTTCGAGCTAAGTCGCGGTGCGTGTATGCATTTCAGGTCGCTCATTTCTCGAGAATCCGCGGAGTACGTAGATAATTACTACGTATACTATCACAAGCCCGTCTGCTCGTACATGTAGGTGACAGTTTTCCTCCCTCAAGAGTTGAAACGGCACGTATTACACCCATATGAAGATGTGGCTTGGGGCTACAGTGCACGTACGTACCCGACTGAGACGTCTTGTTTGACCCTTTGGGGCGTTTGTAGATGGCCCGCAGCACAATGCGCCGCACGCTCTCTATGAGCCAAGACATTGCGAATCCGGATCATGCCGACAGCGGTGGGTATCCGTACCGCCGTCTGGTTGACCGTGAGTCCGTGATTGATCATTGAAGGCTTGAACTCATAGCCATGTTATGAAACGAGGATAATTCGTTTAATTATGCCATGCTATCCATCGTGAAGAACAACTTCACCAGGCATAGTATAATGATAGACCCACACAGCACCTCAGATACCTACTACGTACTTCACATACTAATAATTACTAATAGTATGCTGCCAATGTCGCCAGCATTGTTTTGTTATAATAAGACGCGGGGTTTTATGACTCCCAGACCAGTCAACTGATAACTTGAGTCAGAAGGGAACATCGAGAGGATGCATCCAGTCCGTGGTGTCGCACTTTGGCATACAGGGACACCGCCCGTGTGTTCTCGAGCTGTTTATGAGGCCGTTCCGAGTCGGTCATGTGCATCTCCAGAAATGACCAGATGTCGGTCGAGCACACAAGATTGGTGTCGCCTCTCAACCAGTTCGTGAGGTGGTTTAGAATCCAGGGGCAGTCCGTTTTGGTTCGCCAAACTGCATATCGCCACATTCGGACATTTGTGACAACTTGGTTAGCCAAAATCCAGCGACTTTGGCCTATAGAGCTTTGCGTGGCCAATGAGGATCCTAACAGTTCGTACATGTAGTTGGTGATGATTGTGTCACGGAGGAACGACGTCAGCCTGTGCCCTTGAGAGGGGCGTTTTGTGTAGATTGGCTCTCTAGGCTCGATTGCCGGATACCAGCTAACGCCGGCAGATGTGCGTTCCGCGGGGCGAACAACTGCCACATATTGCCCCTTCAGCTCAATCGAGCGAGTAGCTTGCGCTGGATTTGGCAAACATTGTCGCTGGGGCCTTGGCTTGCCTCGAGAGTCATCGAAAGTGCCAGGGCAGAGATCAATTGAGATGAGGTACGGAGTACGTACGTCGATGAGCCTTGCAAACCTTGTGGCTCACCACACACCAGGCACGTCGACGCAGGGTATTGCTGGTATCAGACCACCACGTTCCGATGCGTACGCCACATGGAAATTGATGGTGGGTGTACTTGAATAACGCTGCAGGATGACCTTGTGCTTTTCACAAGATCCAAGTTTCAGGATTGAAAACACAAAGGGGCCCTCAACCTCGTGTGGCGGCTGAGGTCGGCCGGACGGGGCCAGATGTCTGTGATCTGAGTTGATTGGCGCCTTGAGTGAGAGCATCAGCACCGCCACTTCCGCCCCGTTTCAGGTTGCTGGACCGTGGTCCGACTCAGCGAAATGTTTGTTTATTGACCTAAATACATCGCGCGCTGGCTCGCATGATACGGATACATGCCTGTTGCGCGTACAGAGTACGTAGTGATAGTAGTTTCAATAACTGAATCAGGGACTATTTCATTAGAGCCTTTGGAAATTACAATGCGCGTAGTGCTACGAGGCCGACGGTGACCCCAAAAGTTAAAGGAATGTACTATATCGACCGGACGGACCGGGCTGTGACAGGCTTCCTACCCGTACAGAACGGAGAGCCGTCGCGATTGCCGGTTGATAAAGTAGTAGTATGTCTTTACCTTACGGTACGATTAGCAACTACAAGTACTTGACATGTGCGAGCCTCAGGGAAGCAAGTCGAGCTTATCTGATCAAAGCTTTCAATGATGAGTGTAAACCTGCACTGCGAGTGTATTCGGTATTGATTGTCACTGCATCAAGCCACTTGGACGCTGTCAAGCCTCAGGACCTGATGCTTCCGTTGCGGCACCGTTTGCACAGCACCGGCACCATCAGCATGTGTGTGCACTGATCCGTGCCACTTTCAGGTTTTGCCCAAGCCTCACTGGGATTTTAGGAGGGGGCTGACGCACTAGTGAAAAGGTATGCGCCACAGTTCGCGGCGCATGATGACAGCCACTTGGCATACTTGCGGCTGTGCAAATATCTACCACGTACAATTCGGCACAGGTAATTAGTAAGGTAGGGAATGATGCCGTTCGCCTCTTCTCCCATTTGCAACAACTAAAGTTCTCTTCCTTGCATAAACCAAAGACGCTTCACCACAGCGCTCGGATCCAAAACCGAGTATCTTCGCGTTGATCGGCGCCGTTCTCAAAGAGCCACTTCCTTGCGAGGCAGTCATTCCAGCCACGGTCCCGGTCCATCCTTGGAAAGGTGGGTGTGTGTGGCACAACGCGCGCTCCAGCAAGACAAGGTGTCGCCGCCGCAGCGCAGTGGAGCGAACGAAAAGAAGGTGGAAAGTGGCTGGGGTTTCCTTGCTTCCGCTGCACTCGTAGGTACGAATCCAGTCCCCCGATTTTTGTGTCATCCATCCTTCTGCTCGCGCGAGTCCGCTCCCTGTGGCGTCATACTGTCCGTACCCGTCACTGGCTCGTCCGCCTGGCCGTCAACGAAGCATCCAGATCCCTGCTGGGTGGCCGGCTGGCAGCTGGCTGGCTTGAACCCGGGCTTGCTCCCATCATTGCTTGACATCCCACTGGTCCGCGCTGTCAGTGGATGACGATCTTGGTTGGAGGTGGATCGGACAAGGACTTGCCGGGTACGGTGACACGGTCTCCTAGTGGCCCGGTGCCCGGTGGCCAGTGGCCACTTGGTTCTTGATGTCAATAGATTAGCGTGGGAGCCAGCGCGACCCAGCGGCGCGCAAGGCAGGCCGACCCGCCTGTCCCAGCCCCAGCCAGCACAGCTGCCGCCGTCAACAACTTTTTGTCTCCTCCTTCTGCGCCCAGGCAGGCCTGCCCTCTTTGGATCAATCAATCCTTGCCTCCGATAATTCATTCTCAATCTCCATGATAACTCCCCAACTGACTATTATCCCCTTAGCAAAAGTCAGACCTGTGGATGATTGAGAAATCGCCGAAAACTGATAACGCTTTCACATTCTTGTCCATGCCATCACAGCTTGGACACAAAAAAAAAAAACACGACGTGACTGAAGCATTCCCGCCAGCTCTCGCCACGACCCTCAGCCACACCTGGAAGCCGACGCCTCGACGCCTCGACATGAGTCCTTGAGCAAGCTTGGTGAATACTAGCTGCAAAACAGGGACGCGTCGGGCTTTGATATCACTCTTACTACCGGGCCAGCTGATCAAACACCAATTCACCGCTTATGGCATCCGACGAGGGCAACGCCGCGACCAGTACTCCGCCGTCCAGTCGCCATCTGCAAGCCTCTACAGCTGGCGCCGCGCTCGTCCCAGAAGAAACCGCGAGGCTGCTTAAACGCCAGCGCGAAAGCACGCCCCCGTCGCCGAACTCGTTCACGTCGCAACAACTACACCTTTTGCAGTCGCCCGCGAAATCAGCCCGACTGGCTCTGGCAGCTGGACACTCGCCACCACCCCCATTGACTGGTGCAGCAGCCCTCGAGGACGAACGTCGACGTCGCGAAGCAGAGCAGGCCGCGAGCCCGGCCCCGAGCAGCGAGAACCCATCTCACCGGGTTCTAGAATCCCTGATGCAAGGCGACGCCCAAGCCATGAGCCGACCGAGCGACGCGCCTCCAAACGCGCCTACTGCGTCCATGGACTCGCGAGCTGCGCCCCCCTCGCTCTCCATCATTCCGGGTGTGGGCGACCAGACCGAGCAACAGCAAGCCGACGTTAGCCCTCAGAGCGCGCAGAACAGCATCGCTGGCGCCGGGGTCACAGCTAGCCCCACGCCAATGGACGTGGACGGGAAGCTGGATGGCGGAGATGCGCATCACGTTGCTGGAGACGAGCGGCCACAGCCGGGTTCACTTTCGTATCCCGGGTCTCTGCAGGCCAGTGGCAGCATGACAGAAGCCTCCCCACGGGGCATGAGCTTCCCAACGCCAGGACAAGAGCAGACCTCGCCATCGTTGCCTGGATCGCGGAAGCACAGGTGCCCATACTGCAGCACCGAATTCACAAGGCACCACAATCTGAAGAGTCATCTCCTGACGCACAGCCAAGAGAAGCCTTTTGTGTGTACCGAGTGCCCCCTACGCTTCCGCCGGCTACACGACCTCAAGCGCCACGGCAAGCTTCACACGGGGGAGAAGCCACACACATGTCCCAAATGCGACCGCAAGTTCGCCCGTGGCGACGCGCTAGCGAGACACACTAAGGGAGCCGGGGGTTGCGCTGGAAGAAGGACGAGCATGGGCAGCTTTGCGGATGGTGATGACTTTGAGGGTCACACTCTCGACGCTGACGAGTCGGTCATGTCTGGGCTTGCGTATGACCACCCCGACGACGAAGAGTTGCGGCGCCAAAGCATGCCCACCGTCACTACGCAGCAACCTTCGGTCAGCGAGACAGATGGCCACGGCGCGCACGCGAGGACTTATCCACCTGCCATGTCCCGGCCATCGGGCAGCGGGCTCTACCCACCGAACGCCGCACAGGCACAGGCACAGGCACAGGGCAACAGCGCCGGTTCCACGAGCGTGCCCAACAGCATGGCTGGCAGCCACACGCCCAACACCAGCGTCTCTTCTGCTCCAGTGGCAGGGAACAGCGCTGGGCTGTACTCTCAGGCTGGCATGACGGAAAGTCCCAAGCCACTGAGTCCCGGAATCTCAGGCCACGACCCAAGCTCAGCTCCGCGGCAACGCTCGCCGGGGTTGTCACAGCAGCAGTCGCAGGCAAACCGTCGACAGACCGACCTTCAGTCACCGCATGGTCAGGCCAAGTACCCCGGACTGTCCCATCCAGGGTACGCCACGGCCAACAATGCGGGCTTTGCGACCAGCGGCAACCAGACTCAGGATAACAGCAAGAACATGTTTGCGCAGGCCGACCCCAACGTGTGGGCATATATTCAGACTATGGACGACAAGATCAAGGGTCTCAACGAGAGGGTCGCCACGCTCGAGCATGAGCTTGCAATGGCCAAGGCTCATCGCGACAATGGTGGTGGCGAGGTTGCTTTGTCGTCCTGAAAATGGCTCGGACAGGGCAATCGATCGCTGCGAGAGGAGGAGTGACGCTTTGATTTACGATTTACGTGGAGAAGGAAGGGAGGGGGGTTTGCTGCCATTCACAACAATCGTTTTATTGTTTTTAAGGGTCTGTAAGGCAAGGTGCTCGAGCAGGCGTTTCCACTTGTTTATTTATGGGATATGCAATGGTATCGACAGGTGCAATTGGAGGGTTGGCCGCACGAACAGCGAACGGAACGAGACGAGGCGCGAGTGAGGCTGCCCGGGGGCAAGGCGACTGGACTGGAGCTCATGATGTTGATGTCGATACCCAATGAGACGGAGTCGGCAAGTTTTGTAGGTTGGTTGGGACTGGGCGCGCCTTCCATGTATGTACCAGTATCATCACAGAGACGCGCAGATGTTGCAGGTAGTTAGTGCCCTCGTGGCAGAAGATGAAAAGGCTTGTTGAGAAGCATCTCTCTCCGTCAGGCATTCACTAACAATGCGTTACGTACCTCACCCTGGATTCATCAATCGATTACTGGGGCCGGCCCAGACCGTCCGTCCTGTCCATCATGGCAGACCGTGCTCTGTTAACTTAGACGCGCCCACTTTCACGTGCTTGGCTGATTTGTGGCGAGTGACATGGCTTCACCTCACCTTGGGCGACCGACCGACCGGCTGGGCGGCGTCATGCCAGCGTCGACGTCATTGGTGCGCCGACCAGCAATTCTCCTTCGTACTAGTAATTAGTTGATAAACTGCCCGCCGCTGCCGGCGCGACGACTACCTTACCTGTCCGACCCTGAATTCATTACTCAGTACATGTGCCTTGGAGCTTCTCTGGTTCCTGAGCGTGTCCGGCAATTCAACTGTGCTTCCCTTGCAGAGTCAGAATCACCATGACTTCGAACGACCCTCCTGCTGGGCCTGCGCTGGACTGTGAGTACCGCATGCTGCATACCTGTGCACGCACCAAGCCTATTTTCACCAGCTAACGTTCGACAGTGTCGCAAGTCCATCATAGCCCCGAGAAGGTAGTCACGGTGGCCAATACCTCCAACGAGAGGGTCGCCAGCACCAATGGAAGCAAGCCCGTCAAGGTACGTCTGTCAATGCCAGCAACAAGGATGATTGCTAAAGCTCTGCCCGCGCAGGTCAACGCCTCCGACCAGATCAAACCCAATGGCGAGCCCCGCAAGAGAAAGCCAGCGCAGAACAACGAGAGCCCAAAGTCGTATGCGGCAGCCGCATCGGCTGATGGTGAACCCGTCCAGGATGCCACGCCGAGGTCGAACAAACGACTGGATGAAAAAGAGGATGAGGAGTATCCCACCATCAAGAAAGGCTCCACGATCCGCCGGGGCACATCCCAGACCAACGAAGCAGAGGCGTGGGAGGCTGGCGGCATTCGCTTCGCACCTGTCCAAGTGCCGCTCGTGCGTCGGCTACAGACAGCTGCGGTGCTGTTCCACTGCATGTCCATCATCCTGTTCGTCTCGGCGTTTTGGTTTACGTGCGCCAACCCGTTCGCGTGGCCCATCTTGATTCCGTACCTGATTCACCTGTCCACCTCCACGGCATCCACGAATGGAAACCTGGCGTACAGGTCAGAGTGGCTCAGGTCGTTGCCCTTGTGGACGTTGTTTGCCGGTTATTTCCCTGCGAAGCTGCACAAGACTCATGACCTATCCCCGGAGAGGAAATACATTTTTGGATACCATCCCCATGGAATCATCTCGCACGGCGCCTGGCTGGCTTTCGCGACCAATGCGTTGGGCTTTGCCGACAAGTTCCCGGGAATCACCAACAGCCTGCTCACCCTCGACTCCAACTTCCGCCTGCCATTCTACCGTGACTGGCTTTTGCTGATGGGCATCCGCTCCGTGTCCAAAGACTCCATCTGGAACACGCTGAGCAAGGGTGGCCCTAACAACGACGGTGCTGGTCGCGCCGTGTCCATTGTCATTGGCGGCGCACGTGAATCTCTCGAGGCGCAGCCTGGCACCCTGCGACTGATTCTCGAGGGCCGCAAGGGTTTCATCAAGATGGCCCTACGCACCGGGTCCGACTTGGTTCCTGTCTTGGCCTTTGGCGAGAATGACCTCTACGACCAGCTCAGCCCAAAGACCCATCCTCTGGTCCACAAGATCCAGATGTTTGTGCTCAAGGTGTTCAAGTTCACAGTGCCCGCTCTCCACGGACGGGGCGTCCTCAACTACGATGTCGGCCTCATGCCATACCGCCGTCCGGTCAACATTGTCGTCGGCAAGCCTATCGAAGTCGACCGGCCGCATGGCAACCAGCCTGTGCAGGCTGACATTGACAGACTGCACGAGCTGTACGTCGAGGAGATTGAGCGGATCTGGAATGAGTACAAAGACCAGTTCGCCAGCGGACGTACTTCTGAGTTGAAGTTGATATCTTAGTGTGGAGGGTTAGGGAATGTGAGGTCGATCTGTTGGGTAAACTACAAACAGGTCAACCACGGAACTAGTGCTACGTAGGCAAATCTGTTAACAGCTATCTACGTTTAGGCGATGTAAAAAATGTACAATTTTTCAACTTCCATCGGTCACGATTCCTTGCATTTCCAAGCTTCGAAACTCCATGTCAGTCAACATTTCAGGCGCAGGGTAAGCGGCAATTTCGGGGAGGTATTATTAAGCATAAGGTATCATATCTGTTATTGAGCATACCCCGGCGGGGGCTGTAACTACCTAGTCCTTTAGCCGTAAATCCACTGCCTTGTAGTTTCGCTCTACCTACGCAGTAACTAACGGCTCGGTAACCTGCTCTTCTGAGGCTATCGCCAACCTACGAGTATTAGAGCGTTCTTCGTCCACCTATACCTTATCGCGCGTCTAAAATACTCGAATTAATAAAGATAATACAAGTAATTGCGGCCGACGAATGTTACTATTACGTACATTTAGCTACGGGCAGGGTGCCTTTACGCCACAGCGTCTACCAGACTTAACCCACGGGGTATGTCAATAACAGATATGGTATGCTTGATGATGACTCCCCAATTTTAATTCAATGACGGTGCTTGCACGTGAAGGCGCGTCTCACCTCGCGATCAAATCCACGCGTAGCCACTATTGACCCGAATCACCAACCCCTGCCCTTGAGCTATGATGACATGCCCGCGTCCATACATCCTCTTCATGCACTGTTAATGTCCTGGACCCCGACGAGATCCAGTGCACGTTACCCCTTCAGAATTGCCCATTGGCACATTGCGTCCACGATGGCACGCACATCATCGCGCACCAAGGCGACAGTCAACTACAACGAAGACACAGATGGCACCAAGGCCAAGGGTGCTGCGGTGAAAGTGGCTCCCAAGGGCAAAGCTACCGTCGCGAAGCTAAGCAATGGCAAACGCAAGATTGAGGAAGAGGAAGAGGAAGATGAAGACGTGAAGGCCGAGGTGCTTGAGGCAGAAGAGGAGAAGCAGAAGAAGCCCGCTGCGAAGCCCGAACCCAAGAAGCGCAAGACCAAGGCGGCAAAGGACGAAGACGCAACGCCCCTCGCGGAGCGGACACCCATTCCGTCTCTCGAGAAAGCGATGTACATTGGCGCCCACGTCAGCGCAGCAGGTGGTCCGTCACGTTTACCTCACCTCGACCCGTGAGAGCATAGCTGATGAAAACGCAGGCGTGCAGAATGCAGTTACCAATGCAGTCCAGATTGGCGCCAACTCCTTTGCGCTGTTCCTCAAGTCGCAACGGAAATGGGACAACCCGCCGCTGGCACCCGAGGCACGCGATGGTTTCATCTCTGGGTGCCGACACAGCTCATACGACGCGGCGGCACATGCCCTCCCCCACGGATCCTATCTTGTCAATCTCGCCCAGGCGGATGAGACCAAGGCCAACCAGGCCTACAATGCCTTTGTGGACGATCTTGCTAGGTGTGAGGAGCTCGGCATCAAGCTATACAACTTCCACCCCGGTAACACGGGTGGCGATACCAAGAAGGAGGCCTGTGGACGGATTGCGGCGCAGCTGAACAAATCTCACAAGGCGACAAAGTCTGTCGTGACCGTGCTCGAGAACATGGCCGGGGGTGGGAATGTTGTCGGCTCTACTTGGGAGGATCTCAGGGATATTATCGCCCTGGTCGAGGACAAGAGCCGGGTCGGTGTTTGCATCGATACGTGTCACGCCTTTGCGGCGGGCTACGACCTGCGCACACCAGAGACGTTTGAGAAGACGGTGGAGTCATTCAATGAGATTGTCGGGGCAAAGTATCTCAAAGCATTTCACTGTACGTCATCAACCCACCCCATCTTTCTCTGGAGGGTCCCCAGTGCTGACTTTAGCAGTGAACGACAGCAAGGCCCCCTTTGAATCCCATCGCGACCTTCACGCCAATATTGGCACGGGATTCCTGGGTCTTCGCGCTTTCCACAGCGTCATGAACCACGACGAATTCCGTGGGATACCCATGGTCCTCGAGACACCGATCGATAAGAAGGACGAGAAGGGCAAGACAGTGGAGGACAAGCAAGTTTGGGCTGACGAGATCAAGCTCTTGGAAAGCTTTATCGGCATGGACCCCGAAAGCGACGAGTTCAAGAAGCTCGAAACAGAGCTGCAAGCCAAAGGCAAGAGTGAACGAGACAAGATCCAGGAGCAGGTAGACAAGAAGGCGGCGAAAGACGCAAAGAAAGGCACCAAAGGCAAGAAGAAGAAGGCAGCGGCGTCAGACGACGAGAGCGATTAGCCTCGACCGCTATATGAATTAGCTATGTTGCAATAATCATGTAGATGAAAGAAAGGAGCGACAATGCCTCCGGCACTCTGGGTATCAACTAGATAGACGCTGCGCCGACCGTGTGCAAACCAAAACAACGCTTCTTCCATCATGGAACTCATACGGCTGGCTGGCTGGCTTCAATGCCTCCTCGCCTTGGCGTGGGCCTCCAACTTCATCATCATAACCTTCAAGCCTGTGCCCCTCTCCGAGTTGTCCTCTAGCCATCTCTCCATCCTCTCCCGCACATCACGCATCGATCGCAAGATGGGCATCTTGCCACCATCCTCATTCTCGAGGCGCGAACCAGGGTTGAGCAGCACATCGAAGCAGTCACCCCATAGCTCGGTCTGCCAGTACCTCTTCAACGACTCGCGGATGCGATACTTGCGCCCTCCAATACCAATACCACCTTGATCGCAGCGGACGGTCTCAATGTACTTTCCGAACAGCAGGCAGTGAATGGTACCCGCAAGACCATGGTAGTCAAGCTGCCACGTCCACGGCCGCCCCTCGCGTATCTCCGCGCAGTCCTGCTGCGTCGTCTTCCAGTCGGCAATGAACTGGACGTCTGGCACAAAGGCACGCATGTCAATGGCGCGTCCAAAGTCAATGAGAGTCACCCCCCGTGCGCCCCAGCCACCACTGCCGTCCGCCTGCCATTGACTGGAGAGGGGACCGTGTTGAGCGTGCTGGCGCTCTAGCTGATGCTCCCCAAGCAGATTATCGAGACGCAGAAGACAGTTGTCCGGCTTGATGTCTCCGTGCATGATGCCTTTGGCGTGCAGTGCCTCAGCGGTGCGCAGTAGCTCGATACTGAAGAACATGGCGAGCTGCTCATCCATGACGCCCGATGCCTCGGCTCTGAAGATGTTGACAACATCAAGCAGAGTTCCGTGAGGATGGAAAGGGAGGAACAAAAACGCCTCGTCCCGGTATAGGTGCATTTCGTGGGCATAGGATAGTGAAGCAGACGCTCGATGCTGAGGTCCAAGCCGACCATGAGCCACGCGCATCATGTAGAATTCCCATGGTGTCGGGGGATTCTCCATTTTGAGCGCCTCGATCGTGTGTCGATGGCTTACCGCAAACGCTCCCTTACCCATTGTCACCACCGCATTTTCATCATTCTCAACCTCGTATGGCGCTGGGTTCTCGACCAGGTACACGGGTGCAAAAGCCCCTGCACCCAGCTCTCTCTTGATGGAGTACACCTGACCCTCGGGGAACCCAATGTTCACGGGTGCTTGCGGCGACATTGCCTTATCACCCCTGGCCTGCTTTTGCAACGCCTTGGTGTACCGGCGGATGTCGCCGCTGCGCTCAGACTTCTCCTCCCGATGGTCGTAGAACCCGCTGTATGCGCTCAAGGGCGGCTGAGTTTTGGCTAGAATCTCGTTGCGCACAGACTCATCGACGGGGTTGCATTGCGCATCTTCGATGATGGGGCCTCGGGACACGACAGCCTTGTGAGGTACCGATCGACTCAATGCGACGGCCGGTTTCGGTGCAAGGGGACGACCAGCCGGCGTCATGCTGGGAGGGCTGATTAGCTCTCGAATCGGACTGCTCATAGGCTCCAAGTCTGAGGCTTCTTCATCATCGTCAACCGAGATCGCGGCGCCGTCTTTCTTACACGGCGTCTTGAACTGATCTCTCCTTTCCACCATCACCTCCAGGGACACCTCAGTCCGTTCCGTGATAGGCGTCATGAAGGGGAGACGATTATTCGCTATTTCAGCCGGGTCCCTATAAGGCCGAGTGGGCGGGTCATAATCTTCAGGTGGCACCGGCACAAAAGAAGACCAAGTCCTTGGATTGTCTTCGTCGGGCGTATCTGGGTCCTCTTCATCGGCACGAGGTAGATCATCCTGCGGGCTTGAGTAGTCATTCTCCCCAAGATCGCCCAGCTCTGACATCTGCGTGTATTGGCGGTCCTCATCAGGGAGGCTGTCCGCATCAGCTCTTATGTCGGGGATGTACCTCCGAGGGGTGAAATCGGACCACTCGCTCACACTCCTGGCATCCTCGTCCTCGTCGACCCGCTCGGTCGCATCGACCTGGCGTGTAGTGCCAGTGCTCTCCGCATCCGTGGAGTAGTCGCCCTCGCTGTCATGGTCCTCCTCGTTTTCGCTAACCTCGCTCTGCCCTGATGGTTTTAGGGGAGCATTGAAAATGTCGTAGATGTCATCGGTAGCTGCCCTTGTGTGCAGTGTCATGGTCGGTTCCGAAACGTTCTTCTTCTTGAGCTTCGGTCCAGAGGGGGAGTCGAGCTTTGCTTTAACTTTTGTCATGGTTAGCATCCCTCTTCATTGGCAATACAACATGAAACTCACTGATTTGTGTCTCGTTGTACTCCATCTGTTTCTTTTTCTTCGGTCCCCGAGCAGGGCGAGGCGGCTCGATGGGTGCACCATTTTCATCCACTGTTCCAACCGAGTCACGATGTATGACCAGCTTATGGCTAAGATCTTTGACAATGCCCCGGACCGGCGTAGGGCTCGCAGGTTCAGGATCGAGCGTATCATCCTGTGGTAGCTCATCGTCCCAAACGTGGTCCAGCCACCCTCGCCTGGCGGCGATGACCTCCTCAAAGCTCAATTCGGTACCCTGCTCCTCTGGCGTGGGGTACACCGTAGCTAGGTCAACATAAATGCGTTCACGCTTCCCTGTCTGGGGATGGACAGTTGTTTGGTTCTTCGCAGGCACAACAATAATGTTGTTTATTTGGGATAATGACTGAAATACAATACAACCAAGCAGGCCACACATTAGTCCTATGATCATCAACAGGTGGGCTTAAGGGGTCAAGGAGATGGACATACCGGATCCCTGAACACCGACATCTTGGCCGACGTGGCTTTCTTCCCACCGGCCTTGAGCGTCTCGCCGACCCATGGCTTCTTCTCCACCTCGTTCTCCTTCTTGCGTTCCGCCATCGAACCGATTGTATCCCATCCCTTTGACTCTGTATCTCTCGTCGACAAGGCAGGAGGCTTCGAATCCGCATCTGAGAAGATGGCCATCTTGGACTTCGTTGTGGACTTGGAAGGTCCGCCGCTCGTCGGCCGCCGAGCTTGCGGGTCGCTCGAAGCGGCAGCAGCAGTGAAGGGGTTGGACTTGGCCGCCAATGCTGGCCGTACACTCGGTAGAGCGGGGGACGTGGGCTCATTGACGCTATCCGGCTGCTGCGCGAGTCTCTCTTCGAATTCTTTGAACTTTCGCAGTAGTCTTTGCACGGGGCGAGCCTCACGCTCAATACCCATTTTGTAGACCTCCTCGGCTTGTGCCCAGCGACCGACTCCCTCTAGCCATTCTGCGTATTCCTCGTAGAATAAGGCAAGCTTCTCGCCAATCGCATGTCGCGATAGGAAGACGAAAGTCTCCCGAGGTGAATCAGAGAAGAAGTGAATGTAGTGAAGCCAGAGCTTGAGATATCGTGGGTCGTTTTTGTACTGTGCTGAGCCGATAAAGGTCTTTGTCGCCCGCTCTAAAAGAGTGTGGAGTTGTGACTGAGGTGTTGCCTGGGCGGAAGGATAGGCATCTAAAGTCCATCGGACATATCGGTCGAACACGTCGAGGGGGTCGTCGGACTCGTTGATGTTCTGAAGCTCCGCCTCATACTCGGCGCGAATGCAATCGTTGACGTTGCGCGTGTCCGAAGGGGTTGGGGTTGCCAGTTTGTGAAGAGGAGATGGCGAGTAGATCTCAACAAGCTTCTTCGCCGAGCGACCGCCAGGGAGAGACTGGATGTTTTCCTTCTGTCCCTCGATCACGTCGAAATCGACCGAGTCGTCTTGCGCCATGATGATGCTGCTGTTGATGTGGTCAATACGATACTGCTGCGCCGAAGCGAATCTGACGCGTCAAGGCGTCGGCCGATGCTGTCGAGCCGTCTGTGTTGTGTGGTTGATAAATACAAGTGGACAACATCAACATGCAGACGAGGTTCTGCTAATTACTCCACCACCGTAAATATTGACCTTCTGGACCCTGTTGCTGTGGCGACAGCGTGTCGTGGCTGGAGGGGTCGCGCGCCTGTGTGAAATGTGGCTCATTACGGAGCTGGGCAGCTACCGCCACAATTGGTGTGGGTGTACGGAGTACGGCATTCTCACTGTCAAACCTCATCAATCTTCATCACCACCCATGTCATTTGTCATTGTATCATTAATTGACTTTTATCTTCCCAGTTGTCATCATATACTCCTCATCCTCACAAAATTTCAGGTGCGATCACCCTTTACATGTTGACAGCCTTGCGGAAGTTGGCACCGGCGTAGACGGCCAGGTCACCAAGCTCCTCCTCGATGCGGAGGATCTGGTTGAGCTTGGCCAGACGCTCGGAACGGCAGGGAGCACCGGTCTTGATCTCGCCGGCTCGGATACCGACGACAATGTCGGCGATGGTGACATCCTCGGTCTCACCAGAGCGGTGAGAGACCATGACACCCCAGCCATCGGCGTAGGAGTCCTTGGCAGCCTGGATGGACTCGGTCAAGGTACCAATCTGGTTGACCTTGAGCAGTAGAGCGTTGCAGGACTTGAGCTCAATGGCCTTCTTGATGCGGAGAGGGTTGGTGACAGTCAAGTCATCACCGACAATCTGGATGTCCTGGGTCTTGAAGAAGTAGCTCCAGGCCTCCCAGTCGTCCTCGGCGAAGGGGTCCTCAATGGAGACGATGGGATACTTCTCGCAGAGCTCGCTGTACTGAGCGGCCAGCTGCTCGTAGGTGATCCACTTGGTAGGGTCGCTGTCGGGGTTCTTGAAGTCAAGATCGTACTTCTTCTCAGACTCCTTGTAGAACTCGCTGGCGGCAACATCCATGGCGATCTTCATCTGGCCAGTGTAGCCAGCCTTCTCGATGGACTCGGTAATCAGGTTGAGAGCCTCCTCGGCAGTCTGGATATCGGGGGCGACACCACCCTCATCGCCGACGTTGCCGGCAGACTGGCCGTACTTCTGCTTGACAAGTCCCTTGAGGGCGTGGTAGACCTCAGCACCCTGGCGCATGGCCTCGGAGAAGCTGGGAGCGTCGGTGGGGACGATCATAAACTCCTGGAAAGCGAGACGGCCACCGGCGTGGGATCTGCTCGAGTCAGTCACGGCATTGCGTTTCTAGGGCCAGGTATCTTACCCTCCGTTGAGGACGTTCATGAAGGGCACGGGAAGAACGTAGGGCTTCTTGGTACCAGCCAAGTCGGAGATGTGAGCGTACAGAGGGACACCCTGGAGAAGTTGTCAGCTGCTGTGCTGACCTCGACTTAGGTTACGCCAGAATCACTCACCTTCTCAGCAGCACCAGCCTTGGCGATAGCCAGGGAGACACCGAGAATGGCATTGGCACCGAGCTTGGTCTTGTTGGTAGTACCGTCAAGTCCGTTGAGGAACTCGTCGACCTTGGACTGGTCCTTGACATCGATACCCTCCTTGATCAGAGCAGGACCAATGGTGGCGTTGACGTTCTCGACGGCCTTGAGGACACCCTTGCCAAGCCACTTGGACTTGTCACCGTCACGGAGCTCGCAAGCCTCGTGCTGACCTATTCCAATCGGTTATTCGCTGCTACGGGCCGAGATTTGGGGAGGGGTCGGGACGAACCGGTAGAGGCACCAGAGGGCACGATGGCGCGGTGGAGGCCAGTCTCGGTGACAACGTCAACCTCGACGGTTGGGTTGCCACGAGAGTCGTAGACCTGACGAGCGTGGACCTTGGTGATACCCATGTTGTCTGGTGTGTTTGGGTTGGGGTTTCTGTTCGTTGCTGTCAGTTTCCAGGACCGATCTCTGTGGTTGGCGGGGGTACTGGATGGGAGACGCGTTGCGACTTATTTGCAAAGGGTCTAGAGGCAATACAGGGTAAGGATTGAACAAGTCTTCGAGCGAAGAGAAGCTGTAGAGCTCGCCAGCTGACTTTGGCAGCTGTTTCAACCATCATTGGCAATCGAAGCCCTCGAACGCAGCTCTCCAGGCCTTGTCAACACAAGGAGAGCTGCGATGGTGGGGGTTGTTGGAAACAGCTCTCTTGCGAAGTCATGTCGTCGAATCATGCAAGGCCAAGCTTGTCTTACCTTGAGTGTTTATGGTATATCAACTTCCGACAGTATAATGTGAGAGTCGATAGAGAGTTGGAGGTTGTGGGAAGAGAAGAGGAGGAATGGATCGTCCGGAAAGAAGAAGGTTCTTCAGAAGAAATGAATGAGGCACCTTAGCAGGGTCGCCGCCGATGGAGGGGGTGGGGCTCGCCGTAACGGACGCTCGATGAGCCTGGCCTGAGCTGAAGCTGGAGGGGGGATCCCGCCCACCTTTGGAGGGGCAACGTCGTCACGGTCCGATAAGCCGGTACCGGATTTTGCGCCAGATTCGCTTACATTTCGGCGTATCCCGCTAGCTTGTCCTGCCGCCATCCTTCCAACAGTTTTGTTGCTAGATATTTCTGGTTCGCTCATGCGAGCATGTTTAGCGAGAACGCAGCTATGGGATCAATCATCAGAAATTGATTCACAGATAGAATAGGAGCATTGAGGCTGATTCTTGCTGATCCTTTGTTACGACAGCGGAGATGGGCCAGAAAGGTGCACACGACCGGATGTGATCAAATGGCAAACGTCAAAGCATCAAAATCCCTCTCTCGTCACCCTCCGCTGTCGCAGGCCCTCGTTGGGCTGCGAAACCGCCGCGCCTCATTCAGTGACTAAGAAAGATGACCTAACTCCAGTTGCCGCCACTGCTGTTAGCCAAGAGCGATAAGGCAGGCTTCTGGGCCACCATGTTCGCGAGAAAAGAGGGATTTCATTTCAATAACGGTCACAACTCAACCAACCCGGTGAGCGAATCTGGCGGCACCAATGTCACACGTTGAGAGGCATTTTGCAGACAATTGCATTGCAATGTGCTTTATTGGTCAGGACTAGCTAGCACAGCCAGTCTGAATGCATAAGATGTTGTGACCGGTGAGTAATAAACCAAAAACCCTGCCTGAACGCCAGCTATGAAGAGAATGTGGTATCCCCCGATTTCCCGCCTCCATGGCCGTCCCTAGAACCGCTCCTTCATCCGCGCCGATACCGTTCTGAGGTTTCCATATACCTTGCTTGGAGGCTTACCCAGAATCAGGCTCACGACTGACTCACGAGCAATGTGAATGTTTTTGAAGCCGCCAAGAATGTGGATCTTGGAGTCGGCCAGGACGATACGGGTTTTGCTGGTGTTCTCAATGGCGTACTTGGTCTTGCCATCCTTACCGGCGATGCGGCCGATGGCGCGCGCCTGGCTGTCGCCGTGCATTGTCCTCACGTCCTTGATCTCGAAAGTCTCAATGTACAGATCGTCCAGTCGGAGCAGGGCTATCGCATCGTCCACATCGAATCCTAGTGTGAATGCCTTGACAAAGTCCTCGCCCTTTTGCAATGCGCCCGAGTCTTGTGTGTGTTTTGAGGTGCGTAGCTCTACTGTCTTGCGCTTGATGTTCATGCGACACTGCAGCTTGAGGTGCTCAACCAGCGGAGGGTAGATGGACGCCCATGCGTGCTTCAATGGTGTCATGCGATGCGGCGGGACGGGAACTTTGCGTGTCTCGATGCGGGTGACAGGGTCCTATTCATAATCAGTATGCCGGATCAAAACTGGGATGGAAACGTAGGTTGAACGCACGATATCTCTTGCTGCCGCGAACCTGGGTCGGCCCTCCTCGTCTACCATCATCGAGTCGTCGTTGTCCTTGACAGGCGCAAGAATCGTATCCGGATCGATGTTGTCGGTGGTCTCTAGAGTGAACTCCTCCTCGCCATTTTCAAGGTCCATGGCTAGATGTAGCGTTAGCTGCCGAGCGACAGATTTCTCGTCGGGCCTCCAAACCTTCTGGCATCGCATCGCCGTTGTGAGCGACAGGCGGGGCATCCTCTGCCTTCTTCAGCGCGGTGGGCGCAGGCATTTTGTAAGACAGGACCTGGAGCTATTGGCGGCACAGATTGATCGAGGTGGAAAGCTTTGTAAAGTACTCGAGTACTTGCCAGAGTAAACAGTGATTGTGGTACTGACGCTTCGAAAAAGTTACACTTTCAACATTGATCGTGGGGCTTGCCGCACGGGACCCTGATAAGCTGCACTAAGCACAATTTTTTGTGATATCTTATCTTATCGTTGCTTATCGATTAGAGCTACAGTGGAGCAATCCCTTATCCCCGAGGCGCGTCATGGAGACTTTTCCATGTACCTCGAAAGCAGGTTGGCCATTTGATACGACATCATCCTGTCTGTCTCGTTTTGTTTGCTTCGCTTCGCCATCCACGCACCAGTGCGTGTTGTTCTCTCCGTGTCTTCAGGCGCCATGAAAAGGAGACATGTCTAGAGTCAATCCCTTATGGTTCTTTGGTCGTATTTTATCACACACCAAGCCCGATAGCTCTGGAAGCAGATTTCTTCCCCAGCTCTGCGCGACATCGCGAGCGTTCACCACAGGCGACCAGTCAACAGCGCCACGAAGATGTATCGACACAGGATTTAGGGCGCAGCCGGTTCGGCATCCGCAGAAACATAATGGATTCATCGCCTTTCGTTCATCGCTTTCCACTCTGCAACGCCAGGTACACCCGGTCGACAAACTCGACACGCCATGGAACGGCCGGATACGCTGGCGATGGCGCCAGCACCGAGCCTACAGCAAAGGCCACGATGGCCAAGGGCCGCACCACGTCAAAGATGACACCCATCATGGCGTATCACAAACTCGCAAGCCCGATCCGAAACCAGATCCAGGCGCGCCTACGAACAAGCCCGACGCCGAACCCGAGGCCGAATCGCTTACCGCGTCCATGTCGAAATATCTGCCTCACCTACCACATCGACCTACGAAAGCCGAGCTACTAGCCGCAGCGACGAATTTCCGGCAGCGCATGAAAGTCCGTTTCAAGTGGATGTCGATCAGGTCAATGCGACCGTGGAATGCTGATGAATGGGGAGCATTCGTATCATGGATTATGCTTGGCCATTTGGTCTGGGTGCTGGTCGGGACGACGACCTTTTTCTCGTTGCTCATCCTCTCCATCAACACTGTCTTTGCGCAAGGTATGCGACCAGCGCTACGCGACGTACCATACTGTTGCTAACCGTGAAAACAGAAACTCTTGCGCGATGGGTCGGCGACTATCTTACGCAGTCTGCAGGACTGACAGTAATCTTTGAGTCTGCCATTGTTCCCAAGTGGAGGAGTGGCGTCATCTCCTTCCGCAATGTGTTCGTTTCGCGTCGGCCAGGACAGCAAAAGTCCACCGTCAGCAAGGGCTCGACCGATGCGGCTGCTGTGGCTGCTGCCAAGGGCGCCCAGCAAGGGGGCACTGCGGATGAGGAGGACGATGGCAACTACACACAATTCGACGTGACCATTGCCAACGTTAACGTCACCCTTTCATTCTTGAACTGGTGGAATGGAAAAGGTCTTTTGAAGGACGTGGAAGTGAAGGGGGTACGAGGCGTCATCGACCGTACATCAGTTCGCTGGTCGTCAGAACAGGTCGACCCGTTGTCATATCGACATGAGCACCAGCCTGGTGACTTCGAAATGGAGTCTTTCAAGCTTGAAGACTTACTGCTAACAATTCATCAACCACACGGGTTCCGGCCCTTCTCAGTCAGCATCTACTCGTGCGAACTCCCCCAACTGCGGAAGCAGTGGCTCTTTTACGACTTTCTATCAGCAAAGCACATGTCAGGATCCTACGACGGCTCCTTGTTCACGATCCACCCCAAACAAGTCCATGGGACATCAGCTGGAGAGAATCAAGGCAAAGCCCTTGGATTTGGTGAGGCAGATGCCTGGGAAAAGTTCAGCAGACTCAGGATCGACGGGCTGAAAATAGATCACCTCAACCGTGGGGTCGAGGGTCCGTTTGGCTGGATCTACGAAGGCGACGTCGACATCATCGCCGACATTGCGTTCCCCGCGAACAATGACGAGAGCATCACAAAGGTCGTCTCGGACTTTTACGACCAACTAGAAGAGGTGGTCGTGGCGAATCGGCATCGCTTCATCCGCAACATCAACGACAGCGCGCCCGACATGCTCCGGTCAGGACATTTGTCTGAGGCATTCGAAGCAGAAGCAGCGGCGGCAGAAGAAGCCGTTGCTGACAAGGGGGCGGCAGAGGACGCCTCGGACGAAGACCGGCGGTATCTGCTGATGGATCTACGCATCCACCTCAACGACGTGAAAGCTGCCGTGCCGCTGTTCACCAAGGACTTGACCTATGTCAACCAGGCCCTAGTCCGGCCCATTGTCGCCTACATCAACGCCAAGAAGACGTACATTCCCATATCCTGCCGCCTCGTCAAGAGAGCCAGTGACTTTGACGGCAGCTGGAGCGTCTACGACTGTGGCCTTATGAACGACATGTCTGCCGAGACGTATGATGCCTTTGCAATGGACATTGAGAATCAACAGAGTCGGGTGAGGCGCTTCAAAAAGGTCGGCTTCTGGACCTTGTCACTTGCTATCCATGCTTTGTTCATGGGCATGGCGGGCCAGGTTGCATGAGCACCCATGGTTCGGTTGTTATTGTGTTGCGTGTGTATATATATACCTGTCTGTCTGTCGGTTGTCACTTATACGAAGGGAGCAGCGCATGGTTCTGGGACTTAGGGGGAAGGGTTTGGAATAATAGGCGCTTGGGAGTTCCGAGCCGAACTGGGACTTGTCGATACCCTACTTTGAAGACTTGTCACGAAATACACGTGTATTGCTCAATTGATATTGCTTTTGACAGCGGCCGCTGCTCACGTCCCCGTCTGACATGATCATCCATGTCGTATCCAGAGATGGTCCCGCATGCACCGCCTATCACCATAATTGCACCAGACTCATCATGTTCTTTTTTGACGCCTATTCATGCAAATGCAAATGTGCCTGCACCCTTCACCGGCCACGAGAGACTTGTCCCCGTGCCCGCGCTCTGTCCTCGCACAGAACGTCACACAAACCCCGTGCTCCTGTATGTATCACACATCGCCCCTATCTGCACGGTCGCGGTTCATTGGGACAGGGATATGGTCGGTCGGTCGAAAGACTATACCGAAACCACCCCAAACCCACGGCAGATGTACCGCGATAGCAATTATGCAAGGACTGGATAGTTGTCGAAGCGAAAATTTTCCGAGAATCATCAAGCCTTTCACATGAAGTCGTCACTTCAAGAAAGCGTTAGCATGGTCTCCGACGAGGGGTGACTAGCCATAAGTACTCACTCTCCGAAAGCATCATTGTTGTCGTAGTTGCCCGTCTCATCGTCGTCGGCGTGGTTAGAGACGAGCGTGGCCTTTGTCTTGGACGCCTTTGTCTTCTTGCTGCCCCCCTTGGCCTGGTCCTTCTCGGCCTTCATCTTCTCGTTGGCCAGCGCGGTGAGGGAGGAGGAGACCTTCTTAGTCGCCTCGCTCGACATCTCGGCGGCGAGCTGCTTGGCAAACTCCTGGAGGAAGGTGGCATAGTGGGACTTTTTGGCGTTGGCGGTGATGATGGGCGCGAGGGTGTTGCGCAGCTGCTCAAACTGGCTCTTGGTGGTGGGGTTGAAGAGTGGGAGTGCGGCCAGGTTGACGGTGTTGGTCGGGTCGTCCTTGTCAATCTGGACGGCGGCGCCGGCCGTGTTGGCCTTGCGTCCGCTGCTGATGCCGACGCTGCCAAAGAGGTCCTCGGCGTGGGCCAGGTCACCCTCCTTCTCGGTGCGGCGCAGGCGCTCGCGACGCTGGGCCTCGGTCTCCTCCTCGGATTCCTCGTCCTCGAGGGCGGCGGCGGCGCGGGCCTTTTGGTGCTCGGCGACCCGCTCGGCTTTTGACTTTTTGTTGGCGGCGGCCTCGGCGGCGGCCTTGGCCTTGGCTTCGGCGACCTTGCGCTCCTTCTCGCGCTCTACCTCGGAGTCTTCCGCGGCATCCCACGAATCAAGAACCTGTGATGGTGTGAGGGGGCTATTCTTTTCTTCGAAATCGCTTCGGCTGGTGGGATGGGTGCTCTTACGTCGCTGTCGTCCTCCTCATCGTCGAATTTGCGCCGAGGCGCAACGGCTGGCACGACAGGTGCATCGGAGCCACTGCTGGAGGAGTCCTCTTCCTCGTCATCTAGTTTTGTCAGTATGCTTGGTGACACACTTGAATAGATGAAGTGCAGTGTACTCACCCCACTTCTTAGGAGGCGCCATAATGTTTGTCGAGGTGTTTCAGCAAGTTCGTTCGGTTCGCAACTTTCGTGATAGTATGTATCGCGGTGCGGTCCGTACAGGAGCGAGTATGGATCGATCGAAGAGGGGTGCTGTCTGTGGATGCAGTCTAGCAGTGCGCGTATCGGAGGATTCAGGGTTAGAAATCCACAAAATCACCAAGAAGCAGACGCAAATGATCGCGAGAAGACAGTTGAAGAAACGTGCAGTTGAATGAAGTCGGCGAACAGTGGAGGGGTGACTAACGACGGTTGGATCGAGGAGGGGCAATTCTGGCCTGCGAAAAAAAAGGGCTGGCTTGCTTGCGTCAGGCGCCAAAATCTTTTCCAATTTTTTTGCTCATGTGTCGCGCGATGCGACAGTGGCATTTGGACAGGAAGCCTAAGTTCAGGTACTCTTGAAGTCCTGATGGCTTAGATATAGGCTATGCTACAGCGTACTATGTATCCCATCTTCGTAGCAAGCTGTGGACGCGTTAAGGCATGTGCAACGGCAATTTAACGTTGTGCGTGCGCTGTTCGTAACAATGAACATGACGCTGTCTGCCCCTCTTAACTTCAAAAACGCGGGATGATGATGATCGTCTTGGCACGGATCGTCAGACACGGCAGGTCGCGTGCATAATCCGTTCATCAGAGCTTTGATGTGCAGAGACGTCACCTCCAAATCGCATAAGTTTTCTGTATTTCGCTAGGCTCGCCAATAACAGAGGAGAAGGGACAGAGAAGCACGTGAAATTACGTTGGCCTGCTCATGAAGCCGACTCTACGGGGTAGTCTAAATGCTTAAAAATAGAATGCGATCATACGAGTCGGCTTCATCATTTCGCAAAAGTCTTACTTTCCATGCGGATGTATATCTCTGAACATCGGAACTGACAAATCCTTTCTTAAGAAAACCCGTCATTAAATTGTAGCCCTCAATCTTTCCGGGTCTGAGTCACTTGGTCCCCATCTTCCGGTTCTTCCCTTGCAAACACGCTCAAAGCTGCTCAAGTAAGCTCGCTCCGAGCTCTCCCATTTCAGTACTAGTACAGATAGACCCGAGATGCTTTTCTACGGCCTCCTCCATCTCCGATAATCATGATGCTACTTCGGAATAGCCGAATGTCTTCTGGAGCGTACCTCTGATATTTTATTGCCTTAATGTAGTAGCTTTCAAGTTTGCAAGCGTCACACGTACGTCGTAAGTAACCCGCTCTTCACCTGTATAGGTCAGGCTGTGCTCTGTATTACGGAGTACTCCGTAGACGAATTTCATTTCGGCCTTGACTCACAAGAGGTAGGACCCATACCAACACGACATGCCGCCTAACAAGCGTACTTGAATTCGCAAAAGCGGTCTATTTGTGCTGCGCATCGCCTAAAAATTGTCCGCAGGTGAAGATCCATCTGAAGGCTCACCTGTCTAATTAACGTCACTTTCCCTCAACCTTCGGGCTGTGCGCACCTTCCCCTTGAAAACTCGGTCGAGTGACTTCTCGCATCCTCCACCCGACGACTGAAACGACCGATCAACCCCAACACAAGGTGTTCAAGAAGCAGCCGCGAAAACATCATCACAAAGCAGCACCCGCGGTGGTAAAGAGCCATTCGTCAGCATGGCGAGCGTCCAAGCGCCATACGCACCTCAGAGCACGGAGGAGGTGGCTGCGATGCTCCAAGGGCTTGAAATAGGTCGCAAGAATAGTAAGAAAGGCAACTTCTCAGTGAAGAAGACCACCTTTGAAGTGAAGGACTCTCCGGCTGGGATTCAGGTCGATTCCTGGCGAATGCACGATTGGGATTACAAACGCCGCGACCTCCCCACCTACGCGAGAGGACTCTTCACAACCAAAACGCGCAGCAATCAACCCGAAATTGCTGTAAGAGGGTACGATAAATTTTTCAATGTTGGAGAAGTCAACGAGACCAAGTGGGACAACATATTTTCCCAGACCCGAGGCCCGTACGAGCTCACTCTCAAGGAGAATGGCTGCATCATCTTTGTGGCGGGGTTGGAGGATGACACTCTCATCGTTTGTTCGAAACATTCGACTGGGGATCGTTCAGACGTAGAGCTCAGCCACGCCAGTGCTGGTGAGCGACGGATCGAGCAGCAGCTTGCGGCCATAGGCAAGACAAAAACCGACCTTGCCAGGGAGCTCAGACAAAGAAACGCAACGGCCGTCGCCGAGTTGTGCGACGACAGCTTCGAGGAACATATCCTGGCCTATGGTCCTGATAAGGCAGGCCTTTACCTCCATGGCGTCAATCTCAACCTACCCGAGTTCGCAACGTACCCCAGTCCGGCAGTACAAGACTTTGCAGACCACTGGGGCTTCCGAAAGGTGGAACTGACAACCATGGTTGATGTGAGCGAGATGAAAGCCTTTCTGGAGGAGGTTGCGGAGACTGGCGCCCACGATGGACGTGATGTCGAGGGTTTTGTGATCAGGTGCAAGCGTTCCTACAGCCCATCAGCGGCGCCATATCAAGACTGGTTTTTCAAGTTCAAGTTTGAAGAGCCATACTTGATGTACCGACAGTGGCGAGAGTGCACGAAAGCGCTCATCGCGGGCCGGACACCAAAGTTCAAGAAACACACCAAGATCACCGAAGAATACTTGCTTTATGCACGCCAGCGTCTCGCCGCTGACAAGGAGCTCGGGCGTCTGTATAATCAAAATCACGGAATTATTGCACTTCGCGATGATTTCCTTGCCTTTAAGAATCTCAAAGGCTCAGACGCTGCCAACTTGGAGCTGAGCTTAGATTCGAACGACAATGGCCCAGCACCGATGACAGAAGTGACAGGCGATGTCATTTTGTGTCCTATTGCCACAATAGGCTGTGGGAAAACCACCATTGCTCTGGCTCTGAACCAACTTTTCGGCTGGGGGCACATTCAGAACGACAATATCCAAGGCAAAGGCCGACCTAGCAGATTCACCGCCGCAGTCCTTGACCAGTTGAAACAGCACCCAGTGGTATTTGCTGATCGAAACAACGCCGGCGCTCACGAGCGAAAGCAACTCATCAAGGATGTTAAATTGCAGCATTCCACAGCCAAACTTGTCTGCCTCCACTTCCTGCACACCGAGGATACCATCGAAGATATCAGACGTATCACACAGGAGAGAATTATCAGCAGAGGGGACAATCACCAGACAATCCATGCTGCGACCGATGCCGGCAAGTATATCGGCGTGATGAACAGTTTTGTTGCGCGGTTCGAAGCCTGCAAGCCATTCTCTGCCCCTGACAATGGGTTTGATGTCATTATTAACCTTGATCCCACCGCCGAAAGTCGACATAACCTCGAAACTACCATCGTGCAGCTCAACAAGTACTTTCCAAACCTTGTCACCGGAGTACCCTCGCCAGAACAACTGGATGCGGCTCTAGAATTTGCGCTCAGTTATAAGCCAGATCTTAGACATGACATACCTGATCGTGGGAAAAGAGATCGAGGGGCTCAACCGCAACAGCAACAGCAACAATCAGTTTCCAAGAAGAAGACAAAGTCTCTGGAATACATGGCAGTCAATGTGAGCGCCAGCCGTGTCAACGAGTGCCTCGACGAGGCTTTCTCGAAGACGGATGCAATTGCATCTCGTTTCATGAAGCAGCTCAAGCAAACACGACGTGTCCAACCCAGGTTTCACGTTACCTTGATGCATCGCGCTGCCTCAAAGGAGCGACCTGAGCTATGGTTGCGCTATAAGGAGATGCAAGAGGAGATGAACAAAGCTGGCAACCCGGAGGGCAAGCTCGGGGACTGTGATGTTCTGCTGGAGAGAGTAAGTGCTCTGAAATCGCCATTTGATACCATGTGGAGCTAATGATACGTACCAGATCGTGTTTGACGAAAGGATCATGGCCATCGTGGTTCGTTTAATAGACGACGCAGGCCGCTGGGAATGCGTCAACCAGACCGCTCATATTACTGTTGGCACTCGAGACGATTCTGTGAAGCCGAAGGAAAGCAACGACCTACTCGCCAGGTGGTTGAAGGAAGGCTGCACAGCAGACAACCAAATTCAGGAAGTAGTGTTCGATAGCCGACCAGTCCTGCGCGGGGAGGTCAAGCCTGTGCTTTCGCGTTGATTAGGCCTCTGCAAACGCATATCTTATCTCAGGTTGACGCGTTGGTTGACCATAACCTCAAACAAAGATTCAGTTCTCGAATGACGGGTGCCTCCTTGATGCGCGGTAGCGAGAGAAAAGGCCCCGGTCAGGTCAGCAGTGGATCAACGGGGATGGATTGCTTAAGGATCGCATCACCAATGCTATCGCCATCATACGTTGCAGCTCCGGGGAAGTTATCAGTAGATGGTGCACAATGCCACCGTACATGGTGGGCGCCATGCAATCACTGACATTGATGGGAATAATCCATGAAATAAGAACTCCGACGCCATTATATCACCTTGTTTGAACATGGGTATCTGCAAATTTTCCGGCGAGCTCCAGTGAATCCAAGACCTAGATAGGCTTGATTTTAAAATGCAGGGCGATCAGGCTGAAAACCAGAGCCTTCAGATCCTGCACCAGGTAGTAAAACACGCGTAGTCCCTCAGGATCCGCCGATTCGGTGACGTCGACCAGTGAACCAATTTTCGCCGTCTAGATATGATCAATGATCGAGTACGCAGACAGAGAGAGTATTGAAAACTAACCTCGAAGGAGATGTGGTCGGACCCCAGCCGAATCTCGAGTTCTTGCCTCCCATCCTTGTTCTTCTGAGGCCACTTCGCATCGTCTTCCTTGGTAATTTCGCTGGATTTGATAATTCGTTTGATTTCGTCAACGATCACGGAGCTCACGCTCACTTGTGACGGTTAGCCACTGTTTCGAGACGAAGCCTTCGTACGTACTCTCTTTGCGGATCAAGCTGTCATTTCGATAGTTGGAGTTGTTTGCATAGCGAGCCACTGCGCTACGCCCGTCACCCACTACCCGGAAATCGAATTCTGAGCCAAGAGGTTAGCATCGTGATGACATGGCACTTTAAGATGCATCTTGAGGTTACTGCACCAAGGAATTCGTGGCCAAAGCGGCCCATGTGCCCCGAACTGTAAATCGTCAGTACCTACTACCGATACCTTGAAAGAAGGATGCGTACTAATAGCGGAGGTAGAATGGTTCCGCTGAAGTTGACATATTGACTGATTGCGCCTGGGGAAATAAATGCGATGCTCGGACCGCTACGAAGATTCGACGTCCGCGGGGCATTCAGCTACAGGGGTCTGGGTCGACGTTGAGGCAGCGAGATCGCGTTGGTGGGGCCTTCACGTGACGACTACTACCCCTGTAGGCGTCGGTCTCTGGTGCCACCCTGTTCCAGGACAGATATTCATGAAGCTGGCCTCCATCGTGCGATTACACCAGCACCTGCGACCGTCAATTGAAAGAGTTCGGACATTGCGGCTCAGGGTCTGACCTTCGAAATAGCGACCTGCATTCACCAGGGGTTTCCTCATTGCCCCAATCCGAAGTCGCCAACCTCTGGAGTCTCCGAAACCCCTAATCGTATCCCCACCGCCCAGCTGTGAACAGCTCGTCAAGGGCCGCTCGCAAACGAAACTACAACGCATCGCGGAACGCTCAGGAGATACGCGACGGGGCGGAGCCCGTAAGACCTACACAATGTCTGGGTTCCTTGAGCATTCATACAGCTTGGTCCACCAGGACAATGCTGCGGACGTTCCCTCCGTGTCCGATCTGCGGACCCAGCTCGAGAAGGGGACCGACGATTCGAAGGTTGAGACCATGAAGCGCATTTTGACCATCATGCTCAATGGTGACTCAATGCCTTCTTTGCTTATGCATATTATACGGTCAGTACTAGGCAACCTGCTGTATAGCCAACTGACTCACATGCGTCGGTAGCTTTGTTATGCCCGCCAAGGACAAGCGACTCAAGAAGCTCCTCTACTTCTACTACGAGATATGCCCGAAGCTTGACGCTGGTGGCAAGCTCAAGCAGGAAATGATCTTGGTCTGGTAGGTCGAACAGTTAATGTGGGAGGAGCTGTACTGACGACTGCTCCCCAGCAATGGCATCAGAAACGATCTCCAGCACCCGAACGAGTACATTCGCGGCAACACCCTCCGCTTCCTCTGCAAGCTTCGCGAAGCTGAGCTTATTGAGCCCCTCCTTTCTTCAGCCCGCTCATGTCTGGAGCACCGGCATGCTTATGTCCGCAAGAACGCGGTCTTTGCTATTTCTTCGATCTTCTCCCACTCCCCATCTCTGATCCCCGATGCTTCAGAACTTATCGCGACTTTCCTAGAGAGCGAGACGGATGCGACCTGCAAACGAAATGCTTTTGCTGCGTTAGCCAGCATCGATCACGATGCGGCTTTAATCTACTTGAGCTCGGTATTCGAGGGTATTGCCAACGCTGAAGAGCTCCTTCAACTTGTAGAGCTGGAGTTCATCCGCAAGGACGCAATCCAAAACTCACAGAACAAGGTATGTCGGTCCGGCGTGATTCTTTTCTATACTTACCCGTCTAGGCTCGTTATCTTCGCTTGATCTTTGACCTTCTCGAAGCGAGCGCATCTACAGTTGTCTATGAGGCTGCGTCGTCTCTTACTGCCCTAACCAACAACCCAGTCGCCGTCAAGGCTGCCGCCGCCAAGTTCATCGAGCTGAGCATCAAGGAGGCAGATAACAACGTGAAACTCATCGTCCTCGATCGCGTCGATCAACTGCGCAAGAAAAACCCCGGTGTCTTGGACGATCTCACGATGGAAATCCTGCGTGCTCTAACGAGCACTGATCTCGACGTCCGCAAAAAGGCCCTTGAGATTGCGCTGCAGATGGTGACCAGCAAGAACGTTGAAGAAGTGGTGCTACTTCTCAAGAAGGAGCTGTCAAAAACTGTGGACCAAGAATACGAGAAGAACGCCGAGTATCGATCTCTCCTCATTCATTCTATTCACCAATGTGCTATCAAATTCTCGGAAGTTGCGGCCAGTGTTGTGGACCTTCTGATGGACTTCATCGCCGACTTCACGAATGCGTCAGCGGTTGATGTTATCAACTTTGTCAAGGAAGTCGTGGAGAAGTTCCCCAATTTGCGCCCTACTATCGTTCAGCGGCTAGTATCTACTCTCGACGAAGTACGCGCCGGAAAGGTTTATCGTGGCATTATGTGGATCATTGGCGAATATTCTCTTGAAGAGAAAGATATCCGAGACGCGTGGAAGAGGATCCGGTCCAGCCTTGGCGAGATACCGATTCTGGCTTCAGAGCAGCGACTTCTTGAAGACCACGGTTCTGAGGAGCAAGCAGACGACCAACCTAACGGCGGGTTCAAGCCTGCTGCTCCTAGCGGATCTCGTAAGGTCCTTGCGGACGGTACGTACGCTACGGAAACTGCCCTCACCAGCCAGTCCTCAGCGGCGGCCAAGCTTGAAGCTGTTAAAGCGGCCCAGAAGCCCCCATTGCGACAACTGATTCTTGATGGCGACTACTATCTTGCTTCTGTTCTTTCATCAACATTGGTCAAACTCGTTCTGCGACATTCTGAGCTCTCGTCGGACAAGGCTCGGACCAACGCTCTGCGTGCCGAGGCGATGCTCATCATGATCTCTATTCTACGCGTGGGCCAATCACAATTCGTCAAAGCACCCATTGATGAGGACTCAGTTGACCGCATCATGTCTTGCGTTCGCTCTCTGGCTGAATTTGAGAAGAAGAAGGAGCTTGAGAATGTGTGGCTCAAGGACACTCGCAAGGCTTTCAACGCCATGGTGCAAGTGGAGGAGAAGAAAAGGGCGGCAAGGGAGGCGCATGAGAAGGCCAAGACAGCTGTGCAAGTTGATGATGTAGTAGACATCAGGCAGCTGTCCAGGAAAAACGCCAGTGACGGCCTCGACGAGACCGAGGTTGACCTGGAGAGGGCGACAGGCGGCGAGTCAGCAACAGAAGACCTGTCTTCCAAGCTCAGCCGGGTTGTTCAGCTTACCGGATTCTCCGATCCTGTGTATGCGGAAGCCTACGTCAAGGTGCACCAGTTTGACATTGTACTCGATGTCCTTTTGGTGAACCAGACCATGGAGACACTCCAAAACCTGTCGGTCGAGTTCGCGACTCTCGGCGACCTCAAGGTGGTGGAGCGTGCCACTACCCAAAATCTCGGGCCGCACGATTTCCACAATGTGCAGTGCACAATCAAAGTATCGTCGACTGACACTGGTGTCATTTTTGGTAACGTCATTTATGATGGTGCCCATTCGACCGATACCAATGTTGTCATTCTGAATGATCTTCACGTCGACATCATGGACTACATCCAGCCCGCTTTCTGCACAGAAACCCAGTTCCGAACTATGTGGACGGAATTCGAGTGGGAGAACAAGGTGAACATCAACTCCAAGGCGAAGACCCTCCGAGAGTTCCTGGAGCAACTCATGGCGTGTACGAACATGGAGTGTCTGACCCCTGAGGCAAGCCTCAAGGGTGATTGCCAATTCTTGAGTGCTAATCTCTATGCGCGGAGCGTATTCGGTATGTCATGCTTCCGTTTCGAAAGGACCACCAGTCGTGTAAGCTAACAATCAAAAGGCGAGGATGCACTGGCGAACCTCAGCATTGAAAAGGAGGGCGACGACGGCCCTGTTACTGGTTTCGTCCGGATAAGAAGCAGGTCGCAGGGCCTGGCGCTCAGCCTAGGGTCATTGAAAGGGCTGAATAAGATTGGGTCCTCTGCTTAGATCGACCGGGGCTGAATCAGCTTCTTAATGAAAACTGGCCCTTTCCCCAGCGGAATGGGTAGGTTACAGAGAGCTGGCACACATTCCACCGAGGACGACGACCATCCCAAATGAAGGGCGATGGGGAAACTGGAAACGTAGGAAAACGCCATTGCCACTATAAATCCACGCCAATCTGTACTATCATTATGGTCCGTTTGTGCATGTAACAAAGAACAAATCCTGAACTGAAAGAGTGAATCAATAAGAAGACAGGCCCCTGTGACCGACGATGGGCACCGCTAGACTCCCAACTCCATTGACGCTGTAGATTGCACCCTCGTGAGGAAAAATAAAGGAACAGAGCGACAGGGACAGCCTATCATGCCTTGTGATCAAAGACAAGAGCATTGACAATATGCCCCTCCTGCCACCCTTGTGATGCGAGGGACGCGCCCCCCTTCAAGATCTTGCCCATGTACGCGATTCGGATGCTTTTGTCTGCGCTCAAGGATGCCTTGTTTGCGATTTTCCTTGCAACGCTCCGGGAAGTCTCGGATGGGCTAATCATGATCTGGTAGTCTCTGGCGTTCTCGCTCAACCTCGCACGAAGAGTAACTTGAGGGGTCACGTCCACGACGTGTTTGTCTTTCTCCATGTCTTCCGAGATATCCTCGGCTTGTGGGTCGTCCACACCCGTTGGAAGCTCGCCCTTGACATCGCTGTCCTCTGAGACATTGTTGGGATCGCACACAATGTACTGTGGCAGAGGGTAGTAATTGCCCAAGGAATCGTACACACCGTTGGCAAGACTCCCGGTAGGCAACGAGATTTCTGCGGCCGAAAGGATCGTCTGCGCCAGCGCCACGCCATCCGCCCCATTTGGGTCTTCCCACATGGCCTGGAGTGCAGCATGTATGGTCTGCCAGATCTCTGCTCTGCCTGTCACACGTGTGTCGAAGAAATCCCGACGCTCTTGCGCCAGCTCCCGGCGCGTCCACAGCCGGTCTTTCGAGATCCATGAAAAGGGCTTCAGGGGCTTGTTGATGTGCTGGTCGAGCGGCCGCTGCTGTCGGCTATGCCTTCGGGAGTTGTCGGCGAGCGTTTGGTTCCCGGCGGATCGATGGTTACTCGCCGTGTTGGCGCCCGCATGCCCTCGTCGAGCGGCGCTTTGTGCGCTTTCGGGAAGAGTGAGAGGCGGCGGGTTGATCGCACCGGCGGACGTCGTCAAGTCACCTCCCGGGTAGGGTGAGTTGGGCCCGGAGGAGCGGGAGAAGCAGCAGCCCTAAACGAATGTCAGCGGATCTGCTGTCTGAGACATACTGTTATAATCGCATACCATAGTGAACGACAACCGGGGCCCTGGAGAGTGGACAAACTCGCGGAGTGCAAGCAAATGCGTCGAGAACAGTTGTCTGGCTCAAGGCTTCAAGAGTGTAAGGCCATACCCGACCCTAGCACTTCGTTGACGGCCACGAGAATAATTTGGGTTCAGAACCAGTAGTGACTCAATGCAGCGGTCATCGCAAGCTGCTTCGGAAAGGTACAGCGGAATCGGAACGAAGTGGTGGGTAGATGGCAAAAGATATGTCGCAATCCGCGGTCTGGAGGGCCGGTAGGTTTAACAGGTAATAGGTGGAGGCGATCGCGGCTAATGACAGTCACGGTGTTGAAGTATCAACCTGCCCTCTGATGAGTTCGCCAAGTACTTTGGCTGCTCCAGGGATCAGCGGGGGACGGCGATGCGGGCGGAAACGAGGCAAGCCGACGGAAGGGGAATGGCCACGCGGTCAGCGAGCTTAGCAGAAAGGTTGTATTGATGATGCTCGCCATAAGGTATTTGACGAGGCGCGGGAGGTGAATGATGGACTAATCGGGTGGCTGCTAATTAGCGCCAACCAATCTCAGGCGCATGCATTTAGGCTCAGTCTAAGTTACCCTACACTGAACTTCTGAAGTACGTACCGTAAGTTCTCGACAAAGTCGCTAGCGCTGGTCTGTCTTAGCTGACCACAGTCCTTGCTAGAAGCGGTGCCAATTGAGCAGATATTGTCGGGCTGTATGGCCTGAGTATTGCACAGGGCTGTATACAGGGACAACTACTATCCTTCATCCATCCATCCATTGTCTCTTTGTCGGTCGCACGACAAAACCACCTTTGTACACGAGGACGGCCGAAGCTCGCGACACAATGTCAAAGCCCTTAGGGTGTCGGTATTTATACCCGGTATGACCCCATGGCGTGACAGTGCTGTGGCTTTACCCTGTGATAGCACGGTAGTGTGATGCCCGACAAAACTTGGCAAAATCATCATCCCATCAACGCCACCGGCACCGACACGTTGTTGGTCTCGAAAACATCATGTCTACAAGAACTAGCTTCGATGGCATGCAAAGCTCATGGCTTGGAGGAGAATCATGGACGTCGAACCAGACACGATCTTCGAGCTTGAGTCGTGGAATATCTGTCCCAGCAGGTGCTCAGACCAGATCGACGAAGCAACAATATACGCAACTACTCAGGCAGCTGATGCTCGAGCTACCGAGACAGGACCGAGACCCAAGTCTTCTTGACCGCTCAAGTAAGATGAGAGCACCTGGGAAAGGGCCTGTACCCGTGCAAGTTGAGCGCAGCCTGCGGCGTCGTCACGCTGATTACTGGCGTCAAATCGACGAGCAGGTCAAGCATGGTCGTCCGATTTATGGATGGCAGCAATGCTGGGGCAAGAAGTGTTACAATCGCCGTTGCCTGTACACTGACCTCCATAGCCTGCCTGTTCTGACGAAAAGGTATTCGCAAATGATGGATCCCGGTGGCAGAAGCGTCTCTTTCGTCAACGCCATAGCTCAGCACTTTTGGGGCGTGAACGTGGACCAGAGCCATCGTGCGCTGCTCGAGGCATTCCTGGAGTCGCCTGTCATTCATGGGGCGTTGGGTCAGTTCTGGAAGCAGTGCAGAGACAACAAGATAGAGCTAAAGGCTACGAACTTTGCACGTTCTGTGGCCAAGCTGCAACACCAAATCACCCAAATTGTCTTGTCTACCTTGAGCAGGACCCCGGTGTCTCTATCTCATGAGTTCTTTGGTTGCGAGGAATACGGTTCACCCCGGCGGTGGACGCTCCGACAGCTGGTAGTCCAGTTCGTCTGCACCGCCGAGACTTGGCGACGGTATGGATTGAGTAGAGGGTTTCCTTGGGATTTTGGCTCTCCGAACGCTGTTGCAGAAGCCTATTGTGGGATTCTAGTCAACTTCGTTGACATGGTTGCCTCGAAGGCCTTTTACTTGCGGATCTTGAGTGACATGCAGGTCAATGAGGTTTGGCAACAATGGATCAACGCGTATTCGGCATGCAGGCTCCAAGGTCAAGACTCGACGCCCGGCAGTCTGGCTTTTGGCCCAAGTGAGCTTGCCATAGACTCAGGCGGCGGTGGCCGGACGGAGGAGGTCTTCACTGGATATGGCTGTAACGCAACATCGGACGTAACCGGCGGGCCCCTCGAAAGTTTTGAAGACGCAGAGTTAGATGCGTGGACAAGCTCTGACGACGAGGACCACGAACAAGAACACTGCGGGTGATATCACCGCGCACATGCAGGCGGTTGAACCCATCTAACAAAAGACCTGATTGATCTAACCTCTAACCAAAGACTGGAGCTCGTCCGCCAAGCAGTTGGAAAGCAGGACGGTTTCCCTCAGCGCAATGGAACATGAAGCTTGCTGTCTTGTTACTTGACTATTTCAGCGACGGTAGATACAAAGTGGCATGACGCTGCGTGCAGAATCACCTGCCCCCCGCCCTCCATGGCGCAGAAACGAGGGTGTGACCTTGAATATTGTGCATTTATCCGCCAAAGAATCACCTTATCCCGCGGGCAAGATCGCGAACAAGACGTCACCTCGGTGGTCCAACAGCGAGAATGCTATGTCCGAAGCCTGCGGAGACCGACACGCGCCGCTCTAGCTGTAGCCGAAGCCTCCCGAGTGCTCCCGGTTGGTCGGTAGGTCGTCTGTATAAGTGAACTTGGACGCGCCCCCTCGTTGCAATTACCCCGTGTTAGGATACGTAAGTAGGGACATCAATTGAGAGCACCCGGCTAAACAAGGCTCAACCCATCAACCACCTCCTCAAGCTTTAAACTGCGCGAACCGCACGTCTCGATGGTGCAGCAACGTCACCCCCGACCTTTCTCAACTGCGACCAAGGTCCACCCGGCGCATCTCGCTGAATTCCATTTGCATTATTCCACCCGACGACGAATGCCGTCGCGATGGTACGTATTTTTTTGCTTAACCAAGGATTTCGCTCGCCTCCCGAACGTCTATACTCACGATTGAAAAGGCTCACGTCAGTAGCCGCCCTGGCTGTGGCAGGATACGGCATCAACGCCTACGTGCTGCAGGCGCGTGATCGCCGCTTAGCCGAGGCCCGCCAAGCCGAGCAAATGGACCTCGAACGAAGGCGGCAGTACGAAGCATTGGCAGACGTCTATGGTGGACGCTCAACACTTGAAGAGCTGGAACAGGCCGTGGCACACTATGAGAAGAAATGATATTCGCCCGCAACGTTCGAGGAGGCAGGAAGCACGCATCGATTTGAACAAATGCTGGTTGATGAGCGGGCACAGTCGCATTGCATATGGCGTTCGTTTATTATCGGCTAGCGTCGTCTTTATGAGGGTCATCATCACCAGCTGAAGGACCAGCTCTTGAAACGATATTTGCATACAAGTCCATGGCATCAAACCACGACTCGACGAAACAACTTTGGCGCACAGAACGGAACAAGCCTCGCGATCGCTTTGGCCAGCGGCCCGAATAGGCATCGTGGCCCCTAACTCATCCGCCAGCGAATAGTGCTTGTCCCGGGTCGAAGCTGTCGAACGCGAGGAACGCTTTGGAGCGCAGATATCTGAGTTCTGCGTCAGCCTCATCGCCGCATCTCACCACAGGACCCAGAAACAGCCAATGGGAAAGGCGCCGGTCAAGGTCGCGAGCTATTGAAGCGGCGCAGGGCGCTGTACGTGACGTGGTAAAACAAAGGCAGCAGTCACGCCAATAGCATTACCAACAGTGAGCTCAATACCCAGTCCGTGATCCTTGGTGAACTATCCCACTTCATCCTCGTCTTGACCTTTGCTGGTATGCGAAGAAGACCCATGAACCATCGCCACCAGTGAACCCCTGGGAGGGCGTAAAGCCGCCGTATGTAACGCATCTTAATTAATGCCTTGTAGATGTGAGCGCCCCTTTTTCGCCCCTTTGCCCACCAATCCTGATACCCTTGAGGCACCGCCTGACTAAAAAGCCTTCAAGTTCGACCTTAGTCCCAATCCGCCTCCTGGACACCATCAAGTCATCTCGCCACCTCCTCCCCTGAAAGTCCAGGTGATCTGCGCATCTCGCGACTGCGCAGTAGCAATCGTCATGCAAGACTGCAGCATTAGTATTCTTCACAGTCTCCGCCCACTTGACTTTGTCTTTCCGTTTGTCTGATCCTGACGGGTTCGAGATGGCAGTGCAGCCGCAAGAGCATTGCATATGTTGAGGACCCGTGTTCAAATTCAGGTGCTGGGGGCTGTACAACTGTTCGACGGGGATCTATCCAAAGGCCAATCTTAGGCTCAAGGCATCAACCTATGTGGAACAAGATAAACGTTATCAGGTTGACATTGCTGTAACCTTTTGCCGGCTTCCATATATGAGGTTCTGTTTTTGACTTACATGCCTCATGAGACTCAATCTTCCTCCACCGATGGGGATGTGGACTCATGGAGCGGACGCCGGCGGCTTTACAAGGTATGAGAAAACATATTGAGGCTAATCTGGAGTGGCACGCCATTGGATCACTGCTTTTGCTTGATTGGTGCTTGAGAATAACCGCTCTTTGATGTAATAGGGGTGAGGGAGCCAGGAGAAGTCCAGCACCCAGGAGTCCACGACGCTACCAAATCAACCCGAGCGCTGGAAACCAGTCCTTACTGTTCCGCCGCTTTGAGCTCTCGTCGCTTCATCTTCCTTCCGTCGACTTGCGTTTTGAGCTTTCTGGCAAATTCTTGTGAGACTCTAACCACGAATGTCATTCTATCCGCAATCTCATCGACGTGTTGTTCCCAAGCCTCAAAACTGACTCCCTCACAGAAGTACTGTATCAGTGTCGAGGCTATCGCCTTATGGACAGCCCCGTTCCCCAACGGCTCGTATGCATCTGCAAACTCACGCATCACAGCCTTCTGGTGTGCTGTGTCAAGCTGGAAGCGAAAAAGCGTGCGGTGCGCGTCGCTGATGCACGTATATATGCAGCCAACTATATAATCGGCCAGCGCTAGGCAGATGAACCGATCACACAGCTTATGAACCTCAATGAGGTCTTTGATCGGAGTGCGTTTGTTGCTTGGTTGTGGGTCGGTTTGCGGAGTGGGAGGCGTCAGCGAGACGATCGAAGAATGCGAATATGCGAGGCCGATGAAAAGTGCTAGATATTTCGGGTCGATATCATCGAATGTAACCGATCCTCTCTGGCCTTCGACCCATGTATCTTCGAAGCAACGTTTGAAATACTCGGAGCAGCATGTGAGGATATCTCGATGAGCCACAAGGACTTCGCCGCTGGCAATAAGATCTATAGATTGTTCAGCGCTTCTGGCAACGTTAGTATTGGCTTCATCTTCATTTAGAAACGTACTTAATAAGCCACCCGGCTCGAGAATCGCTGAGGAGCGCCGAAGATGCGCCGCGGCCTTCTTCTGAGGTCTTCTGCTTCTTCTTCAGCGGCGTCATGATGTTTAGTGTGATATAAGGAGCTGAGGTGGAGTTGTAGTATCAATATAAACTTGCAGCAGCAGTGCAAATTTTGTGATCTTGGGTAAGGTAATGGAAGGCACGTGCTAGCCACGGACAGCGATAGCTGTCAACGGAAGAAAAGGCAGGAGGCAGGGACGGGTGGGGGGAGGAAGGAAGGAAGGAGAGGAGGAAGGAGGAGATAAGAAAGAGAAGAAGGAATCATATGTGGCTACCTGACTGCTGGCACGCCACCTGGTGAGTGGTGATATCGGATGGCCAGGATTTGAAGCGAGTGTGCACAACGAGATGCCCGATGATTTCTCTGAGCCTCGGTTTCGTATGTTTCGAGAACAGGATATTGCTATCGAATGCCTCAATGAAGGTCGAACACCTCAATCACCCACAATGCTTCCATGGGAGAATACAATGAGTACCTGCGTCTCCTCTTTGATCAGAGAGAAAGTTGCCAAGACCCTGTGACAGTAGTAGACTCGCTTTCAGAGCTTAGCCATATACTCAGGTTTTCATCGAGCCGCCAATTCGCAAGACCCTACGTGTCCCGATACCCTCAGGCCGGGGCCTTGCCCTTGACTTTTCGAATAATGACCAAATCTCCTTCTCTTTGCCAGCCACATTCATCCTCTTTCTGTATTTCGGGCCACGTTTTGTCTGTCATTGCCTCCAAGAAGTCCACTCTCACGCTCATGTATGTCCTCCCAAAAGCCTTCAGTGTCGTGATTCGCATGTCGTTCTCCGCAAACTCCATGATCCTTGCTTTGTGACCGTCCACCTCACCCTTGAGCTTCCGAAAGCGGACCCAGTTGTCATGGACAAGTGCGTGGAGCACGGCGTAGACCTTGGCACTCCTCAATTGATACTTCTTGGCGAGAATGAACGCCTCTGTGAGCTCCTTTCTACGGCATGCTGTGTCGAGAACGAGATAACCAACAATTTCCTCTTTTGTCATGGACTCGAGAGCATTTTGCGGGTGAAGCCATTGAAGGAGCCACAGTATGGCGGGATGGTACGACTCAGGATGGCGAACGAGTATGCTCAACCGGACGCAGAAAAGATAGGCTTGGTTCGCGAAATCATCGACCCGCTTCGAGGCTACTATACCTTCACGCAGCTTTCGGAGAGCCATCAAAATGTCCGAAAGTGCCCTGGTGTTCTCCGGATCTGCCAACTTTTCCGAAGACGGCCGAGGCGCTGTCTCTGAGGAGGTCGAAATTGTTGTGGACTCCCTTTCTGTGCTGCGAGAAACAACTGCAGATTGCTTGCTCTTTGGAGCAACCGCTATGTTGGTCTTGGATTCGAATTTATCCGGCGATTCTTCTGGGTGCTCCTCTGCATCCGGCTTCATGTTGGGGGTTTCTGCTCTGCTCCTTCCTCGCAAGGGCGCAGCTGTTGGTGCTGAGAGCGGTCCTGCTCCCTCTGCCAACTCCAGAGCTGCGAATCGTCGGCTCAGCTCGTCACCTGTTGCAGCATCTACGCAGAAGATCATGTACTTCTCCATGATCTTACGAAAGTACTTCTCTTGTGTGATTTCGTCTTTCAGTCTGCCGTTTCTTAGATACTGTGTGGATACGTTGAGCCAGCCTTAGGTGCTGAAACAGACGACTTACCGATCATCGCCTTTCGAGACCAGGCCCATGCTGTCGAGCGACTCTTGATCCACGGGCTTGAGCCTGCCCCAAGGCCCCGATGTAAGGCGACCGAACTTCTTGGACATGCTGATGCTGGCGCTGGCCGCTGGCCGCAGCATTCAGCTCAGGCTATGATAACAATGCCAACGCTTCCATAAACGGATGGTCCGGTTGACGCGCGTTGATGCTTGTGAGTGTGTTGACGAACTAAACACGAAGCTGTGGGGTTGTATGAAGAGCAATGCGCTCCGGGTAAGCAGGTACCTCGACCAAGGCGCCTGCTACGGCGGGATATTAGATCACAAGGTGCCAACGGTATCAACCCCCGCAGTGCAACGACACCACACCGGTGGCCCCTCCCACACTTTATAACCTATATACTTTTTAATATACCGCCACGAACGAATATCGAAGATTATTAGGCCTTAATTTTAGATACACGTAATAAGGGCCTTTTAGCGACTTAGATTCTTGAATTTCTAAATAATACGATCGTTAGTGACGGTGGGAATGCTATGTTAAAAATCACGCTTAAAAGAGCGCTAGTATTATGGACTGCCCCTCGTCTAATAGCCCGCTTGTGACGTTCGGGTCTAGACTAGCTACCGGGTAGATAGAATAGAAGTCGGGTTTGAACTAAGTACACTAGGATGTCGTTGACTTGAGCGGTCGGGTTATAGTCTATGTGCGAGATAGTGGATCTTACGTAGATAATTATATTAATAGCTAAGGAGCTGGTAGAGACTAACTATGGTGAAGCTAGGCTTCTTATATACTAAGGGGATCTTTGTGTGAAGCGAATAATACCCGTGGATTATAAGGCTTATAAGATAAGTGCGATAATCCGGATTATGGTGTTTTATAGATAATCTAAAGTAACTAGTGAAAAAGAGTGGGTTATGCGTTATATCACGTGCGGGCCGTATGGCGGCGCATGCGGTCGTATATTAGGTCGTAACATAATATCTCCTCTCCTAGGATCTTATCCTAAGATCTTAAAACCGTGTTGGTTCCCGTGATATGCGTTCCTTGCTTCTTGCTCCTTCTTCCTACGGTATGCTGATTAAAATACTAGACCGCGTTACGAAAAATCGTAATTTTCGTTCCTAAAAAACCGAATAACGTGACGCTCTTCTCGAGGTCGTGTTCCTGAATTCCGTAAAAATAAAGAATACTTATTCTACTTGCGAAAAGAACGATCGTAAATATATTGCTTCCGAGGAGGATTCTTCGCGCTATTTTAAGTGCGTCCGTCTTAACCTTTCTTATTGCGATATTAAAGCGCTTTCGCTATAGCAATTACGTCGAATTACTACGTAATATACCCGCTTCGAATCTAAATTAGAAAAGGCGGAGGAAGCTCGTTATATAATAGACGCTAAGGTAGAGCGTCTTCGAAAATAAAAGAAATTGTGGTTTGAAAAGATAATACGAGCCGTGTCTCGTGGTATCGATAGTATGGAGGAACTAGAGCGTGTCGAGCGTGAGGAGGCCGAGCGTGAGAGTACTCGCTAATCGGATGCCTCTATATCTAGTAATTTCGTAGCTCGTTCTTCGATAGATGGTCTAGTGACTCTAGATTTCATAGAAAATTAGGAGGAGTGTTTTGGCAGTGGTCCCCCGGAGCCCTTGTTTATGGAGGATTTTACTATGTCTGCCTTATAGTATGCCTAGGCGTCGGGTTAGAGCGATAGAAACGGCGGACCTTGTCCTAGTAGTTCGTTAGGTGTTTAGGTGGTTCCTATATATTTTCGCTATTCGCATAGCCTTTTTATTTAACTAAGTACTTAACTTCTCCGTTAATTATTTATTTGTCGAGGATTCGTTCTAGTTCGTAGAGTTCTTTAAGAACTTCTAGTTCGTAGTTTGTTTTTACGTTTTATAGTGCCTTTTCGAGTAGTAAGATATAAAAGACTAGGTATATTCTTATACTTAAGGGTAGTAAAAGTTTATAGTTAGTGTCTAAGATAACTTTATTAATCTTAAATAGTCTAAGTTTTTTGTAGTCGAGCTTTAGTAAAAGTCGAGTTATTATGAAGTTTTTGCGTAGTAAGTAGACTATATCTCCCCTCCGAAAGATCGGTCCCTTCGATCTTTTCTAATTATAGTACTTCGATATTCGTATGCGTACGAATTCGAGTTATTTCTTTATATATTCGTGTAGTAAGCGTAACTAGTCTACTTCTAGCATAGCTTTTTTAGTAAGTAGTCTATCCCTTGGTATCTTATTACTAAACTTAGGTTCGTATCTATAGTTCGCGTAGAATAGTAAGATCTTAGTTAATTCCGTAGGTGCACTATTATAGGCGAGTTAGGCGAGTGGTAACTTCGAGACTTAATTATCCTATTTATAGTTAATATAGTACCGTAGGTACTATTCTAATATCTAGTTTAACCTTTCTATTTGTCTATCCGTCTAAGGGTAGTAAGCTATACTAAGCTTATGTTTAGTTCCGAGTTAAGCTATTAAGGCTTGCTAAAATTTCGAGGTAAATGTCGTCCCTCGATCCGAAATGATTTCTTCCGGAAGGCCGTGGTTAGCCACGATATGTTTGAGCACCGTATATGTAAGTATCTCTGCGTCTATTGCTTCTTAATATAGTAGGAAATATCCGAATTTGCTTATTCGGTCCGTGATAACGAATATACTATTATATTCGACGTTAGATCCTGGTTCCTTTGACTTAGGTAGCTTCGTGATATAATCGAAGGCTATTAATTCCTATAGTCTTAAAGGCACTAGTAGTAGCTTTAGTTCTCTATATAGTTTGTGCCGGGTAGCCTTACTACGTGCGTAATCTTCGTATTATCCGACGATACGCGCGACGTCTGCCTTAATTCCTTAGTAATCGTACGTTCGTCGTATTCGTTTAAGAGTCTTTCTAACTCCTTGGTGTCCTGCCGTAGGATACGTATAAATATTAATTAAGATTTTATCGCGTAGCGGCGGTAGTATCTAAAGTAATCTATTCCTAGTGGGTCCTTTTCTTATTTCTATCGCGCAGTCCGTAGGTATTTCCTTATTATATTTAGACATCTAATCTAGTATTTTATCGTAGTGTATAGTATCTACTTCTACTCTAAATATAAGGAGGTTAAGTGCTATTTATACGTAGTTTCCTTCGTTATTTCTCTAAAATATCTAGCCCTTGGCCTTTAGTACTTCTATATCGTAGTCTGGTCGGCGGCTAAGCGCGTCTACTCTACCATTCTCCGATCCCTTCCGATAGATAATCTTAATATCGTATTCGGCTAGGAATTCAGCGTATCGTACTTATCGTGAGCTAAGTTCTTATGTCGTAGCGAAGTAGGAGATATTCTAGTGATCGGTGTAAACCTTAGTCCTAAACTTCGTCCCTAGTATATAATACTTGAATTCTTTAATAGCGGCGATAATTGCTAAGAATTCCTTATCGTAAATAGGGTAGTTTAGTTCCGCGCTATGAAGTTTCTTCGAAAAGAAGGCGATTGGTCGTACGTTATTATTATCGTCTCGTTAGCTAATTTGTGCTCCTATAGCGTAGTCCGATACGTCGGTTTCTAGTTCGAGTGGCCTCTCGGGGTCGTAGGTCGTGAGTATAGTATTTAATAGAATATTATCTCGCAACGTCTCGAAAGCCTTTTTCTATTCCTCTCCGAAGTAGAATTCCTTTTTACCCTTTATAAGTTCCGTGAGTGGTGTTACGATCTTGCCGAAGTCTCGTATAAAGCGTCGGTAGTAGTTCGCGAATCCTACGAATGCTTATACTTCTTTGAGGTTGTTTTTTAGTTCTAGCCAGTCCTTAACTACGCTGATTTTTACTTATTCTATTAGGATTTCGTTTAGTCGGATCGTGTATCCGAGGAATACGGTTTCTTATATATAAAACGCGTATTTCTCTAGGTTAACTAAGAGGTTCGTATCTTAAAGTGTTTTCAGTACCTAATAGACGTGTTTCTTATATTCCTTAAGGGTCTCCGAGAAGATTAGAATATCGTCTAGGTATACTATAACGAAGATATCTAGGTGCTCTCTAAGCACGTTATTGATCATTCGTTAGAAGGTAGCTAGAGCATTAGTAAGGCCGAATAGCATTACTAAATACTCGAATAGACCGAACTTAGTGCGGAAAGCTATTTTCTACTCGTCTCCCTTCTTTATACGGATTAGGTTATAGGCTCCCTTTAGGTTAAGAGCGGTGAACTAGTTCTTGCCGTGGAGTCTATCCTTAAGCTTATTGATAAGCGGCAGGGGCGTCCTATCTTTGACCGTGATATCGTTAAGCTACCGGTAGTCCACGACTAACCATAGCTTCCTATTCTTTTTTAGCACGAATATAACGGGATATCCTGCTTCCGAGGTAGAGGTTCGAATATAGCCTTTCTTAAGTATTTCGTCGATATATTCTCGTAATATTTTAAGTTACTTCTCGTTAAGGTTATAGAGCTTATAGAACTTAGTCGAGGTTCTAGTTTTAAGATAGATTTCGTGATCCTACTAACTATATTACGGAATACCCGTTTCGAGGGTTTCCTTAAATAACCTACTATACTTTCGGTATTCTAGCGGTATATTCTTTATTCGTTCTTCTTCTATTATAGGTTTCTTTTTTCTTTCTTCTTATAGGGCTTAGTTTGCTTTAAATATCTTTTGTATAATATTAGCGAGGATTCGTTTTCCTTGTTTATATCGTATACCCGGTTGTATAGCCTTCTCGGTTAGTACTACGGCTTTTGCCTACTTCGGCTCGCTTATATCCTTCGGTAAAGATCCTTTAGAGGCTAAGTCGTCGCGAATATTCGCTTCTTTCTAGTTAAATAGTGATTATCGCGTTGTTGTATCTATCCACGCTAACTAGCCAGTGCGCTAATCGACTACCGGATTACTTCTTATTAACTATAGGTGACCTAGTATTATATCGTATTTATATAAGTCTATAATATCGAAGACGATTATCTTATAGTGTCCTTATATCGTTGCGTCGAGATAATCGGTCTCGCGGTCGATAGTTCTATTATTATAATCGAAACTTTATCCTTTAATATTAAAAAGCTTATATACCCGAGTCTTGTGATTCTATAGTAGTATATATCGGTTAACTACTAC